TGTGATGTATGACCTAGATTATTATCACTCGTATTTGTGATATATGATCTAGTTATTATCGTTCGCTTTCTTTTAGTCTTTTCTTTCTTTTTCTATCGAGGTCGTTAATATATAGTTCATATATATGTTTCTTTGTTCTCGTGTATTCATTAAGATTATTCTCTGTTAGAATAATCTTTGTTATTATCGAGGGATATTCTATTCTAGAATATTCCTCAGTATACGTGTATTGCATCATATATATAGAGGTGTTTGAAGTAGTTTATTTATCTAAATAAATATCGTTTAACACACGACTTCAGAACGTGACAGTTCTCATCTTGTTCTCTTTTCTAGTCATAACGAGTAAACGAAACAATTTTATAATGACAAGAACATGATTCATATTTTTGTTTTTACAACTAAGAAAATTCCGTAAATTTTCTTTTTGATTAGATTTTTTAACTATTTTCTTTTGCAAAAATGACCGATAATGGTGCATTGACTAAACGTATTGTTAAAGTGAGAATCTATTGAATTCTGATTGAATTTAGTCTTATATTAATCTTTAGGAAAGTGCTCGTTTACTACAAGAACCAGTACCAGGTATCAGTGCAATAGTTGATGAACAGAATCCACGATATTTTAAAGTAATCATTGATGGACCAGGCGAGGTATATTCATATCATTCAAAAATACTTTTATCAATTCATATCTTATCTAATTCAGAGTCCTTATGAAGGTGGTAGATTTAAGGTAGAATTATTTCTTCCTGATGAATATCCAATGGCACCACCTAAAGTTCGTTTTATGACAAAACTTTATCATCCAAATATTGATAAATTAGGCCGTATATGTCTTGATATTCTTAAAGGTAAAACTAATCTTTATTATAATTTATTTATTTATTATTTTATTTTTCTAGAGAAATGGAGTCCTGCTCTTCAAATACGTACTGTTCTCCTATCAATTCAAGCTTTATTAAGTGCACCAAATCCCGATGATTTTTTAGATGCTGATGTTGCTGAAAAATGGAAAGCCGATGAAAAAGGCGCTCAAGCTATAGGTTTGAAAATATGATTACTGATCGTATGACAATAATATATATATATATATTTTTTAGCTCGTGAATGGACTCAACAATATGCTCATGATGTGTAGAAAAATTACTCATATGATATATATATATATATTCTTTATATATTTACAAACTTGGTCGGATCACAGTGCATAACAGACACTCAAAATATAAGATGGTGAAAACGTTCTTTTTGTATGCTTTTTCTTTGCATGTTCATAATTTCTTTCTCTCTTTCTCTTTTTTTTTGTCTTCTCGTCTCTTTCTTTTTTTTTGTAATCATGAGCAGAATGTATATCCATCAACAACAACAGCAGCATTCATTACTAGCAACTGTATGTGTGACTTGATCATCTATTTTTTAAAAAAACCATTTGCTTCTTGTTCTTTTCTTTTTTCGATTATTATGATGAATGAATATGTGTGTAACAACTAAAACAAAAAAAGAGAACAGACATCTTATGTTATCTTCGTTTACATACTCAGAACAGATGCGTTGAACAGACATTCAGTCGCCTGACATGTAAAGAATATTTCTATTCGAAATATTAAACTTTCATTGCATGATCAACATTCTAAAATATCGATTATCTCTTTTATATGACGACAATAATGAATGTATCATATTATAAGATGATCTTTAATCATGCATACTCGCGCTAAATAAATTCTTTTTTTATGCTCATTTAATCTGTTGATAAGTAATACATGCAAAACTATCGTGAATAGTTTGTGTTTTTTTTCATTTAAATATATAAATACATATGATTTTTTTTTATTCGAATATAGATTATAATAACGAGCCGACGTTAAATCAAAAAAGAATGAAATAATTATGCGAACTTTAAACAATCGATTAGTACTTATGAAAATGCGTCGTTTATTTGAATTTTTAATATTAACTTTGTTTATTGTTATTATTTTTACTATTAGCTCAAAATGGACTTCTATAACAACAACAACAGTAACTGATACTTCCAAACATCTTAATATCAAAATAACTCCTTTTCCTATTAATTCATATTTACCACAAGACAAATCCATAAATTCAAATGATAATATAATAATAAAAAACTCAAACAACAATGATCCGTCATCTAGTTTAGCAAAATATATTCATCTAGATTTAAAAGGTGCACCACCGCAAGCAGATAAATTTTATGAGAATTTTTTTAATTTTATTGATAAATTACAAATGGGTGTCAAAGGTATTGTAATTGAATATGAAGATATGTTACCATTACAAGGTAAACTTGCAAATGTAAGTATAAATAAATGAATAATTCGATTTTAAAAAATAATAATACAAAAAAAAATTATTTTTAGACAACACATCGTTTTAGTTATTCAAAATCAGATATTCAATTAATTCAAACATCAGCTAAAACTCATCAACTTGATGTTATACCATTAATTCAAACATTTGGTCATTTAGAATGGTTACTTAAATTACAACCATATGAATTATATCGTGATGATTTAAGTTTACCTATGGTTATTACACCATGTTTAAATACAACATATATTCTACTTGAAGGTAAATAAAAAATTATTTTCCAAGTAAAAGATAAAAATATTTTGATTTTTTAAGATCTTTTAACACAAACACTTGATATGCATCCATTTAGTAATGTAATTCATATTGGTTGTGATGAAGTTGTTTTAACAAATTCTCATCCACAATGTCGTGAGACTTCTATGGATATACCAGAACGATACGTTGAGTAAGTAAAGAAATAAACGCAATAAGATTGATATTTTTTTGTTCTATTTCAAGTCATGTAAAACGTGTTGTTAAAATTATTCGTAAAATTCGACCAGCAATGCGAATACTTATTTGGGATGATGTTATTCGAGGTGATCAATTCATACTGAATGAAAAATTGGTAAGGAATTTTATATAGAATAAATAATTTATTCTCCAATTTACTTCCGTTAAGTTAGAGTACAACTATTAAAAACAATAACTAGAGTAAGAAAATCATGATTTGTCTAGTTAATAGTTGTTCTGTTACTTTTTTTAAAGTATTCGAACAGAAATAAACAATGTATGACTTTCTCCTACTAACAAGAATTTGAATCAATTAGAACTTGATTTAGAATTTTTCATTTAATTTTGTGAATTATCTTTTAGTTAGAAGAGTTAAAAGGTCTTGTCGAACCAGTTGCTTGGAATTATCGACCAACATTTGAGGAATCATATATTTCGTCACCTATTTGGAATATTTATTCAAAATTATTTTCTAATACATGGGCAGCTAGTGCATTTAAAGGTGGTCTTAATCGTTATTCTATGCAAACAAATACTTCACATCATGTTCTAAATAATTATGCATGGCTTCAATTTATTCAAGCATCTTCCGCTCAAAAAACAAGCTCATTTTCTGCTATTATATTAACTGGTTGGTCACGTTTTGATCATTTTATGCCATTAACTGATTTATTACCAACCGCTTATCAATCTCTTGTTAGTAGTTTATATACAATTAATACAGGAAAAATCATTTATAATGATTATATGAATGATTGCGATGGATTAATGAATTCCATTGGAAAAGATTCACAATTATGTCAGTCATTACCAGGTAAGAAAATAATCATAAAGAGAAAAAACAAAGAACATTTATTTATATTGTATTTTAATTAAGGTCTTTCAATTTGGTCAGGTATATCATCTCTAGCATTATCTTTAGCACAAATCGAAGATCGTTTAACATTTTTACATACTGTATCACCATCTTATAATCGTAAACATCGATTTGTGCGTCATTATGAACTTGATTCACGTTTAAATGAATTACAAATGTTACAAAGTGATTTATTAACAATGACGCAATTGTTAAATCGTCATTTAAGTGAACTTTATTCATTAGATATAGTCGATGAATGGTTTGATCTATATTTATCACCAGTATTAGGAAGAATAAATACAACTTTAATTGAATTTTCATCTGCACGTAATCAATCGTCATGGCCAAGACGACCACTTATCTAGTCAAAATAGTCTCAACTAATAATATGAGTATAAATTTATCTTATAATCCTTTCTTTTTTTTCGCTTTAAACAGTTAATATTTCTACTGAGTTTCGCAATACGTCTGAAAAGTTTTTTTTTCTTATGTTTTTATTGCATTAATTTTATCGCAAATTTTTTTTTTATTATAATTATTATTATTTTACTTAATTATATATCTCATTTTTATGTTTGTTTATATGATTGTGTTTTTTTTTGGGAATGATAATTTCAATATTAAATGGCTTCTGTAATTGGTCCGAACAATAAAATTTTATCTCATTTTATGAGTTTATTATAAATAAAATCTTTTTTTTTATTCCAATGATAACTAGTAAAGCAATCTGTTATTTAATTATACGAATATTAGTTTTGGAAAACATAATATACAATAGATACTTTAGATTTTCAAATAAAATGGTTGATGTTCGATTGTCTTCTTTACAAACATACTAGTCAGGGACTCTGCTTTCGGCACCTCTGTACGCCCTTGATAATACTAATTTAATAAGAAATGATAGATAAGAAATAATCTTAAGAAAAAATAGAAGATAGAAATCAACAAAAATGTATAGGAAAAAGAGCCTCTTACGTGTCAATGGAAACTATATAGATTCAAGGATGAATGGATATGTTTCTACTAACAATGAATTATATTAATGAAATCTTAATCTAATTATTTGCATTAAGGTCTGTAAGAAGGAAATTTATCCTTACTATTAATGCAACTAAAACATGATTTTATTCAAATATATCTTTGAATAAAACTGATTTTTATCTATTGAAAAACAATTGTATAAGGATTTATCATTTGAATATTATTTTGAAAAGTAAAATCGATATTTGTATTCATGTTAAAGATAAATAGATTACCAAATATCTAAAAAACAGAACATGTAAGAGCCTTTGTGAACAAAGATCATGTATATGTATATGTATATACAGGCATTCTATTCATTTAAAATGGATGAGTTTATCAATGGTATGAACTATTCTTTAATATTGAAAGAGAAAGAATAATTCATTCTATTGATAAAATAAATTTTGTCTCTCCTTCTATTCTTCTATGTTACTTTTTAGTATTTTTCTTTCTTATCTAACACAACGAGACTCTACTTATTCAGACATAATAATGTAACCGCGAGGATCTTTTCTGCAATACATATCTTTTCAATATGTATTATTTACCTTACAAATGAGTGTTACTGCTCATATTGTATTCACATCAAGAACAGAGTTTGAATAGACACATTGTCTTTTTCATCAGTTTTATTTTACTTTTAGAAAAAAATTCAGAAAGAAGTTATAATTTCTTTTTTATGTTTTCGAAGTTTTTTCTCCATTGTTGAAGATTAGGATGATTTGTTAGTAATGATTGTTGTCCAGTTTGTACAGCACTTTCGTAAAATGATTGAGCTTTTAAATAGTCGTCTATTTTCTCGTACACCAAACCGATGTTGTTATAGGAATCACCCAAATCAGGGTGGTTGGAAGTAAGTGATTGTTGTCGAATTGCAAGGGCTTTTTCATGAGATAAAAGTGCTTTTGGATAATCACGCATGCTGTAATATACCAAACCGATGTCATTATAGGACACAGCTAAATCAGGATGATTGGAAGCAAGTGATTGTTGTCCAATTGCAAGATCTTTCTCATAATATGAAAGTGCTCTTGGATAATCACCCATGTTTTTATATACTAAACCGATGTTGTTATAGGAAACACCCAAATCAGGATGGTTAAAAGGAAGTGATTGTTGTTGAATTGCAAGAGCTTTTTCGAGAGATTGAAGTGCTATCGGATAATCACCCATGTTGTAATACAGATTACCGATGTTATTATAGGACATACCTAAATGAGGATGATTCGAAGGAAGTGATTGTTGTTGAATTGCAAGAGCTTTTTCGAGAGATATAAGTGCTTTTGGATAATCGCCAATGCTATTATACACCAAACTGATGCTGTTATAGGACATAGCCAAATCAGGATGATTGGAATTAAGTGATTGCTGTCGAATTGCACGAGCTTTTTCATAATAGGAAAGTGCTTCTTGATATTCTCCTTGATTACGTTTGATTCGGCCTAGTTGATGATAAAGTTTTGCTTTATCATTCTCATTTGTTGCTTGATGAAGTAAAAATTCACAAATTTCCCGAGCTTTGATAAATTGACCTATGTTAATCAGTAATAATCCCAATCTGTACCATCCTTCTTCATCCGGAAAGGTCTCCTGCCGGATCTGATCAGTAAGAGTTCGGAGGTCTTGATCACTGTCATTAGTCAGTGTTAAATCCACCTGATAGAGATGATTATTCCCATCCATTGACTGAATATCTCCAATACGAAAAATGGTATGCATAGAGAAGAGAACTTCATCTTCCATATGAAAATGACTAACATCTGTAACACAAGCAAATGGAGTTGTTGAATGTGTAGGATTAATGGACATAACAAGTAGAACTCCAACTAGGTCAGAATTTGTAACAGTTTGTGGCGCAAATAAGAGAGAAACGTCACGATCTTTACTGGTTGATAAAAAGTTATTAAATGAAAGAAGTCCTCCTTTAGTATTGGTCATTTCGGTAAAATCTTCTTTTGAAAGATATTGTCCACGATAAACTGTAAATGTTTTATCAGATTGTTCACCACCAAATTGTTCAGAATGGAGTCGTTGAATATCACGATGAAGGTGCTTAATAAAGAAACCCATTCGAACAATAATATCAACATCCATTAATCTTAATGCTTGATTGAGCATGGAATATAAAAAATATTGATAAGTATACCACCAAATAGGTATATGATCATGATAGTCACGTTCCAATTTTTCAATATTTTGTAATTCATACTCATTTTCGACAAATACTTCACGACAATATGTAATAAATTCTTTGACATGTTTGTCTTCGAAGTCGATGGTTAATAGGATCTCTTTCAGGATCTGCGTATACATAAATGATGGATCTAATTGATCCAGCTTTTTGTTTGGCGCCACAAAGCTGATTGAGATGGCATTTTGCTCACATTGGTGAGCAGTCGGTTTAAGAGCTTCACAGATTGATGTTATACCTGTGAAGGCTTCTTTTATTTTAGGCCATTCTTTGGCCCATTGTTTATTCCACTCTTGATTATTACAAAAAATAAAAATGGTGTTTACTTGGGACATGTCATGCACACCCTAGTCGAACATCTTGTAAGTAAGATCTGGAAATCTTGGAATTCGTAAGTAAGATCTTGCCAAGATCTTAAAAAGATAATTTCTTTTTTTAGAGAAAGCATATCTTGATCATATCTTACGTATCTGTAACACAGATCTTATTAAGATCTTTCTTCAAGATATTAAGCTTTTCAGAAGATATAAAGAAAAGTTAAATTGTAATTATCTTGTACCACAGATCTTATCAAGATCTTTACTCAAGATATCAAAACTGTCAGAAGAGTGGAAAAAAGTTAAACTGTAATTATCTTGCACCAAGATCTTGAATAAACTAAAGCGACATCATTAATAGAAAAAAATAATTCATATATTTGAATTATTTTATTAAAAATATTCATAAATCATAACAGAACAGAAAAAAAAAATAAAAAAAGCTTTTTTGCAGTCCTCATATATATGAACCAATAAAAACAAAGAATGAACATAAAGATAACAAACGTTATAACGGCCAAGTCTTTATCTCATATAAGCATGAAAAAGCTTATTTAAATAATTATGTATCGATTAATGATGATATATTGGTTCTTCTTAAATATATTAATCATGATTTTTTTCGACGAACGAAATATTTTGCATTTTATAAAAATGAAATTTTTTTATGACAATGATGAGAATGAAGAGACTTAAATTAGAAGTTTTTATGAAATAATTTTTGAATAATTATATTTGTTTTTTAGAAATTTACTGAAGTTTACTTGCGTCAATTTTAATACTAAAAAAAAATGATCAATTCGATAAACATATACATTATCAATCTATGCTAATATATCGAGTTGTTGAAATAAACTACGCATTTTTAGACATGTATGTCATTTGTTTTAAAATAATTAGTTACTGTTATTTATTGGTTTTAGTTTAGTTTTATTTCAGCATATTATTAAATTTAGGTATAAACAATAAATTTTGTTCGAAAAGTACGACTCAACGAGCAAGAGAATGTACGCGTTAATACCGCTTGGCACGCAATGAAAGTGAAGTATTTAAAATGCGTCGAAATAATGAACACGAAGACGAAGATGACGGTCTTATGGACATCGCTAATTCACTGGATCCAGTAGCTGGCGATATTTCAGATAACGATGCCGTTGTTACTATTGATCAAGCCGTTTCATTGTCATCATCATCGTCTGATGCTGAATTATATGATGAAGCTGACTCAAATTTATTCTTATTATTTTTTATCTTGTATTTCGTGCACTTATGAATGATTTGTGTTCATACAGATGATTGTGAATTAAAAACAGTTGTTGTGGTGTTCATATTTTATTACGTTTTTTTATGAAGTTTGTAATTGTATTTAATATTCACATGTGTTATTGTATGTTCATGTAGGTCTTAAATTTAAATATATTAGTACAAGATCTGAAGATCTTGCAGAGGCAAAACGAAAATATCATTCATTACAAGATCTTATGCTCAAGATTTCAAATATCTGTTACCAAGATCTTAACAGGCTATACATAAGATATTAACAACGTGTACATAAGATCTTAACAATCTGTACCTAAGATCTAGTCACAGATCTTGTGTACAAGATAATCAAATTATCTGTACCTATTTTTTCAAGATCTGTTCACTTATCTGTTCCTAAGATCTTGGCCAAGATCTTGCTTACAAGATGTTCGACTAGGGCATGAGGCACGATATGTTTCGCAAGTGATCCGGAAACAATCATGCATACATTGTTATTAGTAATTGTTTGAATAAATTCAATACATTTTTCACCATCTATAAATGTGTTTACGCTGTTAACTACACATTTCAATTGCTTGATTGTATTACTACAATCAGCATTATTGTCATTAATATTGTTGTCCAACCAAATGAGGAGGACATTCTGCATTCTTTGCATATTAATACGTCGATTTTCAACTGCATCCTTGGAAAAGCTTGATACGTGTTTAGCAGTAGCTTGTGTATTGGTTTGAATAGATGTTATTGATTTGTTGTTTGCCATTGTTTGTTGTAATGTAGACTACTTCAAGAAGAAATGTTTTTAAATGAATGAGAATAATGTGTCATTTTATAGGACAAGAATTTTCTTTTGAAGGTGTGGATATGAGTGTTGGTATTACATCTATTTTTCACCTACACTTCGCATTAAAAAAAGGAAGAAAACTAGTGAAGAACTATATAAATGCTGTGTTTCGCATCGCATCAAATATAGAGGCAGTTTTACTTTACAGTGATAGTTCTATTATGCAAAGGCCAATTTATTTTATCTCTCTTCAATAAGCTAAATGAAACAGCTATTTTAGCTAAGATAAAAACAAAAAATATCATAAATCAGAATAAAGAAATGTGCTTTATCATTTTATTTTATGAGAATATATTCAGATGTCGATAATCAACAACTATATTAGTAGTGCTTATATTCATATTATCAAGCACATATTCACTATTTACAATGAGTAATATGCTTTTATTATTTGTTATATTGATTGGAATTATTTCTGGTCATTTAAATGATCCATTAGTTTGTTCTAGTAGTTATTCTAATTATCTTCTAGTAAAATTACCAACAAGTTGGATAAATGGATCAGTAAATTGCTTTGATGAAGATGCTAAACGGCCTGATTTGGATATATTTCCTATTATTAATGGGTGTGAGTGTAGGTGTGAGTAAAAAGTAGATGTAATACTAACAACCGCACCTACACCCTCAACTGCAACGGTTTCTATAGTTGTAAGAAAAGGAGAAAATTAATTACGTTTCGAGAAAGGGTGTGGATAAAAACGTGGATTTTTGATTGAAACACCTACACCCTCCAATAATACTTTTTAATTTTCGGCCATTTTGGAAGGAAAAAATAGAAAACTAGACCTAAGTTTTTAAGAAAGAACCAACACCCCAAATCCTTTTACAGTTTTTACTATCTTGATGCCCTCTATCGTACGACGTATGAACGTAGAGAATTGATGGTAGAGACCTCGGGCTATTTCCTTGTCACTTAAATTAAATACTAGATAAACTTTTATTTTATTTAGAATAATTTATCAATCGATACAAGTATTTCAATTAGCTTTAAATTTAAAAGTAAACGAACAAAATTAAAAATTGCTTCAGAAAACCTCATCCGTTTAGTAATAATAATTATTTGATCTTCTTACAAATTGAACCTTTTTATAATTCTATTTTTCGATTCAGAAGTTTATCAAAAACTCGTTGGTGACGATCGAAAATTTTATCTGTCAGTTGTAGTCGTACAAATATTGAAAGCAAGAAAAACATTAAAACATAATTCATTAATTGAAGAAGGCATCATACAATCAAAACAACATATTTCACCGTCTACACATCTTATTCATAAATCTATTGAGATCTTTATTGATAAACAATATTTGAAATGAAGCTCAGTAGATGAATATAGTTATATCATATAAATCTTTTTCTCCTTACCAATAAAAGTATCTTCTTATATTTAAACGATTTTCTTCAAAAAAGACATCTACAAAAAAAGATTTGGAAAAATATAGATACATAAGGATGTGGGTGTGGTAGACAATATTGGCTACAGCTAACACTTACACCCACACACTCGATAAGATTGTATTGAAAAAAGAATGGCTCCTAATAAATTATATGACAAAAAAAAGACATTCATATTGCAGAATTATTAAGTGCCATCTTATTTCTAATTACGAAGAAAATTCAGTTTGATGATATCGAGACATTTTTCGTCTTCAACAATTCACTACACATTGTGTTTCTTCCTAATAAATAAAATAAAATGAAATAATTCTAATCGAATGCATTATTACGCAGTTTTGATGCATTTTTCATCGATGATTTTTGTTGATGCTGTCGTTAGAAATGTGTCAACAAATGAGATGAAACCAGAAATATTTTCTTTAAAGAAAATAAAGTATTTATTAGTGAAAGAAGCAAACCAAGGAGGACTTTCAGATAATGAATAATAAGAAAAATTACAATAATTATTCTTCTTATTCATAAAAGATGTCCGTTACAAAAGTACATCAACAGTAGAACAGGGTGAGAGAGACAAAGAAAGAAAAAAGTAACTCACTAAGTAACAATTGTTTTTCTTAACAAAAATGTCTGCATCTTTCTTCATTCAATATTTTGACTGCGACATTTTTTTCGACGTTTATACACCTTGAAGAATTTCTTTGAGTTAAAATATAAAGAAAGCATTTAGCTTCAGGCTTAATAAATTTTCAATTCATGCACTTAAAAATTACTCATAATTTCAATTAAATTAATAAAATAAGAAAGAGAAGAATCTATATGTATTTAGCATATTGCTCTTCGAGAGACTTCCCGTCATCACAGAGACATACTAATATGAAATGTCCTGTTAGAGTAGCAAGAAAATTTTTGAGTCAATAATTTACAAAATCTAATCAGAAAAAATGGAAATGATGGCTCAATTTCTGCCAAATTTTAGAGACTTCTTTCTAAAACTTTCAGAGTTTTAATATTTTCTTTGTGTTGATTTCTTTTTGAAGCCTCAATAAAGTACTTTCTGCTGATAAAATCTCGTGAATAGTGCATGATTTGCACGTGTCTACAGTCATATATCAGAAATTTATATCAAACTATGCCCATACTGTTCTCTGTCTCTTTACTCATTGTGAAATAAGGGAGAGAGAATTGATAAAATAAACAATCTTGCAATGTTCTCTGCTGTCTGATTTTTCTTTTATTAATGTTTTGCAATAATCCATTAAAATTTCCTCTTTTTTTTCGCCTCAAGAGCAAACATTTCAAAGTTCAGCATGAATAAGTACTCAAACTTCTCAAAACAAATACAAACATATAAAAGAAAGGGAAAAAGTACATTCTATACTCATTTTAGAAACGCGAACGTTCAATCTCAATTTGTTGTGTAATCTTATATTTCATTCTACAAAGAAGAAACAACAGTTGATTACGAACAATATGCAGCATGTTTTATACCTCATCTTTTTCATTTTACTTACGCTAGGTTCTGTGCTTGATGGAAGTCATTTTCGTGGTGGCATCATTTCATGGTAAGTAAACTCAGATAATGCTTGTTCTTCTAATCAATCATGCATATTTTACTTTTTACCTTCTTCTTGTCTTAGGCGTCCGTTAAATAGTACAGTACAGGGTACCACTACACAAATTCTTTTGCATCAAAGATATTTTTGGTGGAGAATGTACTCCGGTTTTCCTGCACCTTTATGCACGGAAGCAAATGTCGTTGCTCAAACACCTATTAATGTAGGCAGTGCTTATTTGGCGTGTTTAAAAAACTGCACAAGTTCTACCTTTCCTCCATCTCCCGGAATTTTAGCCCAAATGACAACGTCAGATTGTGATACAAACCCGATCATTGAATCATGGGGTGGTGAACTCTATACTACTTTGACACTACCCTTGACAACATCAATTACAATTGGCTACGTCGGAAGTGCATGGCTGACTGCACTCTATATAGGTGGTGGTCTTGGTTGGTCAATTGTCAATCGAATGAATCTAGCTCCAAGACCTGATTATTATATCAATAGCAGTCCTGTTACAACTACATTACCAGTAGTAATGTACCAAAGAGGTGTACCAGTAGTTCATGTTGTACAGATGGCAGATAATGATGCTACCGATGTATTGCAATGCCGTTGGGGCACTAATCAGACAACGACGAATTACAATCAAGTTAGTGAATGTGGAGATGTCTGTAAGGCAATGCCCCCTGGAACTGGACTCACCGGACCCAACTGTACGTTGACTTTCACTTTACCATTGGTTGCTACATATTATGCTTGTGCACTGCAAATCGAAGACTATTATAGCGCTAGCTCCCCGAATCCAATGAGTTCAGTTCCAATACAATTCTTATTCTATGCATACAATCCTGGAGTTGGTGCATGTGCAACTGCTCCTTCAATTATTGGTGTTCGTCCAAATAGAGGTATGAATGTATATTCTATTCTAAATTAAATTCGAACACTTAATAATACTATCTTTTGTCTATTTAATTCTTTTTAGCTTGCATTGGAGTTCCATATGGTAAGTGCAGTAGATGCCTTTTCTTTTCTGATATTTATAATCTATGTTCTAGGTGTTCAGCTCACTGAAACTATAGAGATACAAACATATTGTCCTGGTCAAACAATTATTGATTTGGTCACTAGTTCACCGTATGGAATGACACATAGTGGTATTAGCAATCCAAGTACTGGTAAGTAGCGGATAGTAGTTTGTTAGAATGTGCAAACTTTTTAATTTGAAATATAATATCTCAGGTTTATGGATAATGACATTAACATGGACACCCATATCATTACAATCTGGCCCTCAAGGTTTTTGTGCTGGTGCAATTGACAATAGCAGTTTACAATCAGCTCCATGGTGTATCACATATCTAGTTGGCTACGACTCACCGAATTTAATTCGTCCTACATTGGTACAAGGATCAGCAAGTCCAATAGGTACTGTCTTTTCGAACCAGTCGTTGTTTTCCATACAAGGTACGCATTTTCTCGATATATAGTTTTCGTTTATTCTTAAATTAATCCGATATTCTCTATCTTCTACTTTAATTACATAGCAACAAGTGCAGTTGGTCGTCCTTCTCTCAATAATACGAACATCTGTTTTCACTATGACACTACAAATGCAACAGTTTTCTGTTATGATGCTGGATATTCTCCAAATGTTATTTATACTGGATATACTATTGTAATTGTTACAACTATAACATGGACACCTGGTCAATCTTATTATGTAACACTGGATGATGGATTTGCTAGTGGAAGTGTTTTTTGTCGTAAGTCTTTTTGTCTATTTTTTCTCGTCAAAGTAAAAGATTAAATATTTTATCACAATCGATGTAAATCTACAGATGCTGAATCGTTAGCCATTACTGATAAAACATTTTGGCGATTCGATATCTGGAATCCAGCACTTTCAAGTACAACCACAACAACTACTACTCCACCAACAACTCATACAGTTACAAGCCTAGGAACAACTACTACTTCAATCAATACAGCAGTAAGTTTATTTAAATTATCTTGTTTTATTCTTAATATTATACTTTTTCATAGTGTACAACAAGTGGAATAGTAGTAACTAGTACAAATGCTTCTACGACTACAACAACTGTCACTACTACACCTCCAACTACAGCTGGTAAGAAATAGCTTTTCTTCTTCACTATCATATCAGGACTTCTTCTATAAAATACTTCTTTTTGATAGACTACTTTATAATTGTTTACTTTGTATTCTAGGTCCAACAACAGCAGGTCCAACCACCACAGGTGTAACTACTGAATCGACTATTCCTGTTTTTTATCCAGCAGATTTCGTATGTTTCTATTTAATTATGATTGATATTCTTTACATAGATATACATATTAGGAAAATGCATGTAAACAACCCGTTGCAATTATGTCAGCTATTGCCATGGTCGCTTTTATGCCTATACATGCTCTGGTAATGTATGCTGGTTTTACAAAATTCTCGAATATGTACAAACCATCAAACATTGCTGCAAAAACAAGACACAAACAACGAATGCAAAATATTCTTCGACGTTAAAGACAATTTTCTCTTATCTCGAATATTTGGCATTTTACTTGACACTATTTTATTTTATTTTATAATCAAGCTATTCTTCAAGGATTGAAACTAACCTTTTTTTTGTTCTCAACTAACATTTTTCTCTATTCCTTCCAAAAATAATGATTTTGAGTGCTTTTTATTTGAATACATACACTATACTAACACTGGCGTCTAAATAAAATACATATGAATTAAAAGACAAAGATTTTTATTAATTGAATCGTAGGATCATATATAGTAAGGGTAATCTGACAAATTTTGTTACAAATTCATTGAAACTCTGCATGTATTTTGAGAGCACGAGTATATGTGGATTGATGAAAGTATATAACTTACTTTCATTGTACCCACATCCACCCTATTTAATCAAATCTTTAAAATCTATGGTATTGAATTCATTTATATTCGTGTGTATTTAGTATGTCAAACGTTGAAAGATTCACATTGATTTTATAGTTCTTCTATTTGTTTAATTTGTATAGAATGAAAAAACACAACAAGACATTTTCTGTCCATGCGTCTCGCTTTTTATTGTGTGTAAGAGAATGCAAAAATTGTCATGAAGACCGAAATAATTTAAGTTGCATAATGAAATGAAGTAGAAATAATAAAAAGAAAGCCAGAATTTTTTTGCTAAAATTAAATTCTTTTTCGTACTCTAAATTAATATTACTATTACAGTTTAAGTTTATGTACGATATTTTATGTTTTTATGTCAATTTAAAGTTTTTTAATTTTTCATTATTTCTCTCATTAATAGAATGTGTTTTTATACTACGTCCTCTACAAATCACAAACCCGTTACTCACTTAAAAATATAATTCTAATAAAAATCTCACGTCATCTATATATCAGACATATCGTTAGTAAGCAAGTAAATTTCATTCACATATTTTAAAATATTTAGATTTTAATTCATAATTATTTTCAATCATTCAAATTTAAATATATTTATGTTCGCAAATGAGCTGTAGCCATCAGAAATATACCCTGACGTTCAATAGATGAATTTTGCTGATTGTATTAATTAATTTAGTAAGTATGGCGAAATTCATATAATATAAACATATTGTTAAAACATTTATAAAATCCACTAGTACATATGTTTCTGGATTGAGTGGTATATATGCAACTAATAATATTCGTACAATAAATTCTTGCTTGTTCTATATTTCTCCATTGTTGTAAATGAGGATAACGACAAGTAGCTAAATATTGATCAATTGTAGCCAAAAAAAGACATGTAAAAGCAATTGAAGTTTACAATAAAATAATGAATCTGATGTCCAGTCAATATTCTATCCACTAATCATTAAACGAGTTAATAAACTTGTTATTTCACCAATAATACTTGATACCTGAAAATATTGCTACAAACAATATTTTTAATTTTAAAAAAAGAATAAAAATAAATCTAAATCATTATATTGTCTTTTTCTTTTTTGATAATATATTATAATTTGAATCAATCTTAGCATTTATTTATATATGCTCATTTTTGAATATGATATTTGATTTTCCTTAAAAATAGAATTCTATATTAGCATTATCATTTCATTACTCTAATATTGATCTATTTGATATGCATCTATTTGCACAACTCGGGAATTAATAAAAACTAAATATAGATCATTATATTTGTTTTCTTTCAAATCGGGTCAAATATTTATTAGAATAAATCTAAATATATAGCACTTATTTTCTTATCGGAAGATCAAAAAAAATTCTGCATGTTAATTGTTTATATAGTTAATATCAAAGTAATTATAGTACGTTACATCATACATAGTATTTCTAGATGAATTTTAATATCTACAGTTTTTTTTCTAGTAGTAAGTATAATTAAATAGAAAGTCACATTCATTAGAACTTTATGTTGCTTGAAGAAATAAATTAGATCTGATTATTTATATGAATGTAAATAAAGCCTAAGAAGAAGAAGAAAAAAATAAAAGTTGTGTTTATTATTTTTCAATGAAGCTAATTCACTTATATTTATATATCTAGATAAATATTAATATTATATGTGTGTACATGGTAGACATAATCATGCACTGATAATTGAATGGTTTCTTATCGATGCTATTATGTAATGTTGAAGGATAGTAATATGCAAATCAATTACTTTCCTATAAGCATTGTCATCAATAGCTGATGTTCTCGATTTCATGTTAAGATAAATGTTATTTATTTTTTAAGTTTTTTTTCTTCTATCTTCTTATTTCCGGATTTATTCAAGTGTATAAATAAAATGATAACATTTGTCTTTGTCTTTTCTTTAAAAAATCTATAGAGCACATCAATGTGGTAATGAAGTGCGAACAATAATGACATTTATATGCGTGAATATCTACGGAAAAAAAAATAATTTCTTCTGATCATTAAACAAAAGAAAGAGGTAAAAATAGAATAGAGACAAAAAGAAAATACATAATGTCATATTAAAAGACTACTTGCATGATTAATTTTTTAACATTAAGACAAAATTAGTTATTATATTAAATCAAATGTACTCGGAAAAATCTAATTAGATTTTCTTTAAGATAATACGAAGTAAGAATGCGTGACAATATATCATCATAAAAAAATTATGACAGACATTCATGACTAAGTAAACTGAATAGAACAAATTTTTGTCAGAGCAGATTTTATTAGTCATATATATCTATATATAATATAAACGAGAGCAAATGAGAATCAACTGTCAAAATAATAAGAAACTTCCTTTTTTGAAGTCTTTTCTTATATATATATATATTTCTTTTCATGGTCATTCGATTCGTATTTAATAGTAGATAGACACATACTGAGTTCTTTTGTCTATTTTATATATAAAATAAAGATGAACAAGAAACAGAATGAATATAGGGAAACATTATAATAAATAATGATCCGTTTTTTTCTGTTACTTTTCGCATGAATTGAGTGAAAAGATGATGATGATGATGATAATTATATCTATGTGTGTTTTTTATATGTTAATACTAGTGAACAACTTAAGTAAGATACCGAACACCTCTAAGATTACTATTTATAATAAATTAAGTCTATGAATATGAATAACTTATTAACGTTTATAGAAATATTCTATATACTATCGTTTATATATTTTTTCCTCTTGAATTATTTGTAATAGTATACGAAGTTATCATGTTTAAATTGAATTTTTCTCATAATAACATAAAAAGACAAAAGAAATTTTTTTTGTTCTTCCCCATTCTCAGCTTTTCTAATCGAAACGCGTCAATATCTATTTTTTTTTCTTATGTTTAAGAGATTTTGTGTGTGTGCAATGCTTTTATCCCTTCGATCATTGAATTGTAGTAATACAGGCTTAATGTGTCAAAATGATTTGCACATCATATTGTTCTTTGTATGTCACTTGTTATCGTTATGAAAGATGGCATTGCTTCACCCATCATTTCAGATGAAAATTGGTTCCATAAAACAGTCTAAATTTGATTAGACAAAACATATGCAGACGAACGAACATTAGACGAGCCAAGTGAGAGTGAACGAGACTAGTATATGCGTGAGAATAAGACAAGATTTCATGCGACGACTAGCATCTTACTTGATCGCACGTCACGCATACATACTTTCGATAGTAATGTAAATGTTTTTTTGCATCATTGATCATAAGAATAACGACATAATCAAGTTTCTTTTATATACACATACATCTATCAATTCATTGCAGTAAATATTATTTGTTCTTTTCTTTATAGTTTATAAATAGTTTTAGATTAAGATTTTTTTTTAACCAGAAGTTTAATATATAGGATGATTGAGCTTTTTTTATAATAAGAGAAAAATACTGGCTAAACTAGTGTTTATTTAATAATCTCCGTATTATATTCGTTTATAATTGTATTTAAGACCATTTTTTTATTCTAATTATGCTCAATTACAAATTGGCTGAATTTCATTTGACAAATGAAATAAAAATAAATAAATCTAAGTATAAACTTTGCACGAAAGAATTTCCTTGTCTCATTTCTTTTGATTCAAGGTCTGTATAAAAAAAAAGAAGAAGAAAACGATCCATGTATGTCAGGATATGATTACTTCCTCTAGCATAAGTAATAGTTTCATTTCTACTACAAACTTTTTTTTCTTCTTTTCTGTCTATTGTGATCGATCGAGATATAAAAAGTATTACAAAATAATTTTGTAAAGAAACAACAAGATAGTCTATTTATTTTTATTCTAATTTGAAGAAAAAAAAAGAAGAGCTATTAGTAAGAGAACAGAGATTATCAATAGATACGTAACTAATATAGGTTAACTTCTTTTTCTTTTTAATTTTGTTATTTGATTAATACTGACTTTCTTTTTCTTTTCAATATATACATATAACTGTTCATTAATAAATTTTAAGCACATGTCATGTTGTTTAATGCCGTTCGTTTTCATCTACTCTTTTTCTATTCTTCAATTCTCGTTTATCTGAGCATACTAGTTCCATTAATCAAAATCTTACTGCGTCTTCTTCTTCTTCTTCCTTTATGCTACTTTTTTCGTCATCTTCCTTATTTAAGTGGCTCTTACTTATTCCCTTTATTACTTGTTATAAGAAGAAAAAGAACTTAAAAGAAAGACAAATGATAACTACTGTACTACCAACGACAATACATGAATACACCTAATTAACACAAGTAAGAGAAAGAAAATGAGAATATATCTATTGGAGAACAGACATCATTGAATTAGTAATTTTTCCCCCTTTTTCTACTGAGCTTTAATGGGTGCTTGCAAACGATGAGAAACGACATTGTTGCTGTCGTTTTTCTCAAATATTAGCTGTGTAACGAATAAAGATGCTTCCTTCATTCTCTCTTATATCTTTTTTACTCGCTCTCTTCCCTTCTCTCTCTCTCTGTCTGTCTCTTAATATATATATATATATATGTTGTTGATGTGATCGGTTCGGATGCAGAAGAACATACTAAAAGACAAAAAATGTGAAGCAAATAGATACTAAAGATAGATTGAGAACAAAAAATCAGTAGACTCGACTTTATTAGTATCTTGTCGATCGAGATCCCTACGTTTGTTTATGATTTTCTCTCTTTTTTTTATTCTTATAGTTGTTCCGCACTGACGCACTACTACAATATCAAATGTAAAGTCGTTGTTGCCATTGTCGCAAACGCTATTGCTGCCTTTGGTTTCCGACACCACAAACCACCGTTGTCATTGTCCCGATGCCGCCGTCTCTGCTTTATCCAATAATTTCTTCATCGACTATTCGACGACGATTATGTTCGATTATGTTCGTCAACGGCCATCGCCGACAATTTCATTTCCATTTCAATTCATTCATTTAATAACTAAATCTTTTATGTTTTTCAATTTATTTTCATTGTGCCTACATGGCATTCATACAGAATCAATTAATAAACCATCTTTACAAACTATATTTCAATTACGAAATACACAATTAATAAATCAACAACATAGAAAATTACTTCGTATTATTTATTTTCGTGAATTGGATATGACTTTAAATGAAAATAGTTTAAAATTTGATGTACAAAATTTAACAGAATTATTTGGTATTGATATAAAAATAAATATTATTAATAAATCAAAAATATTTCCAATACCAAATTTTTGTTCATTAATATCACAAGAACAACGTGATACAATATTAATTGCAGATTTATATACAAAAGAAATTGATTTAATTTCTCGTTCACTCAAAATACCAACAATAGCACTTATTAATCGTTATCAAATTGTACAAGGAAAATTAGTAAGATTATTTAATATATATTTTTTTCTACACAAAATTGATTTCTATTCTTTAGCATAATCCTTATCTATTTAAATTAATGCCGGATGCAGTAGAAGAAGCAAAAACAGCAGTATTTGCAATGGATACTCGTGCTGTCTATACTCGTATTGGTAGGGATTCTTTTTTTCTTTTTATACTAGTCTTTTTTGAAAATTTATTTCTTAGCTATAATTCATGATATGTCACCTGATATGGTTGAATATCGTTTATCATATCTTCGACTTGCTAAACATTATATTATTTATCAAGCACAATTACCACGTATATCATTATCCCATGAACTTCATTATAAAGCACGTATTATTATCTATGATTTGACACAAATTGATACTGATTTAATTTTATGCATTATGTCAACAGAACGTCAATTACAATTTGTTCGTTTAATAAAAGAATATGGTTCATTATCAGCGATGCAGCTATTATTAAATCGAACAAGTTGGTGGTTTGCTTCTCGTCTTGGTGAAAGGGATGGTTTTAATTATTTTCCAAAAATTTATACTGCTAGTGCTGATCGTTCACGAACATTAGCTCATTTTCCAAGTACTGGCCTGAAAATATTATTAAATGCAATAGTAAAAACGTACATTCGTGTATCAAATATAACAACACTATCATCATTATATATTGGTCCATCTAGTTGTAATATTCAATTGAATGAATATCAATTAAGAAAGACCCATGCGTTTATTAAGTATGTACTCATTTACGTGGATTATATAGAAAATGATTTGAGGTTAATAATAATTGGAAATAGAGAGTAGAAATATCTAGTTTCAAACTATGATGTAGCATCATTATAAATAATGAATTAGATGTATTTATTAATAGAAATAGAGACGATAATAATATTCATTGACATTATTATAATCGACTAGATTTGGCATTCATAATACACTGAAAGATAGAGTATTGAATATCGATATTATTGCATGATAAACTATATTTAGATAAATCCTTCATCAATAATTAGTTAAATGTCAGCTAATATATATATATATCAAGAAAACAAGCAATTAAGAAAGAATATTTTATATTCGATTAATTTTCAATTTAGAGTTCTGATTTATAAGGAAAAGGTTAAGTTCTAGAAACGAACAACGACAGCATCTGTCATTATTAATTTCTGTCGTCTACTAACTTGACATTTTTATATATGAATACGTCTTGAGTTTATTATAAATTCAAATACATAAAATTTATTATTTTTATTTAAAAGATTATTTACTAATCATACTGAATGGAGTTGTGATGTTCGCTTTGGTTCTGGTGTTGATCCATTGTTATTCGAAGCTAAAACTCTTGCTTGGCGTGTTCCAACAATATTTATGGTATTAATTTCTTTTTTTTGTTTATTATTTTTAGAGTTAAATTTATTTTCATATTACAGGCACATACTGAACATTTATGTCAGGGTATGCTAACGCGTACATTCTATACAGGAAATAATAATGCTGATCATTTCTTTCGTTCATGTCTTCGAACGACTTATTCATCTCGTAAAAGTTCATCAACATCATCATCTTTACAAGATAATTCTTCTTTACGTTTATCATCATCTCCAAATGCATTAGTTGATATAAAAAATTATCATCCATTATATGGTAGATTATGGAATGATATATCAACAGAATGTCGTTTTGTATATATGCAGAAATTACTACAAATACCAATTGTTATTGGTGTGGTTGAACCACCCTATATATTTGTATCTGATGCTCAAATATCATCAGAATTTCATTGTAATTATGGTATAGCATGTTATCAAATTGATCCGCCATTAACAAATGCATCAATTGATGCACTTTTTTTTCATTCAAATATTCATTCACCACCACATTGTTGTTATGGAATATCAATTAATCTTTTATTACGTATGGAAGATTCAAATTTAATTTCAGCATTAAAAGTAACAAAATTATTTGTGTTTTCTGATAAACCAAATAAATGGTTAGCATTACATCAAACATTAAAAAATCGTCGAGCACATTTATCTATATCAACTATTCCATATGAATCATTTTTAGCACGTTCAATTGATTTAAGTCCACCTTTTTATCATTCATCATATGTTGTATTAATTGCACCAACACCAAAACCACCATCATTAGGTGCTTTTCTACAACCATTTTCATGGTCAGCATGGTGTATGATTTTTATTGCACTCAATGCAACAGCTTTATTTGAAACATATTTTGAATGGCATAGTCCATACGGGTAAGATTAAATTATATTATCGAAATAAATAATTTATTCTATTGTAGTTTAACACCTAAAGGACGTCGACGACAAAGAGTTTTTAGTTTAGCATCAGCATTAACATTGAGTTGGTCAATTATATTTTCACATACATTCAAAACAAAATCACCAAAATGTTGGTCAAATCGATTTTTAGGCAATGTATGTTTTCAAATGTAAAGATCTGTTTAAAGGATTTATAAATATATATCGATGTATGTATAGGTATGGGGTGGATTTTGTATTGTTTTTATTGCTATTTATACAGCTAAATTAGCTGCTTTTATGGTTGAAATTGATGAAACACATGCAGCTACTAATGTTCTTGGTGTTGTTGTAAGTATAAAATTAAATATTTTATTTTTAGTAAATAATATAGAAAACTGATGTTAAAATAGTCCTCAGGATGGAGTTGAATGAACTTTGAGGAAATTTATAGGTTAAATAAATGAATCTATTAAAATAAGATGGCATCGTAAAAATTCAGACTAACTGTAAAGAATGTTGTATTTCGTTGTTTAACATAGGATTTTGCTTTGTTAATGATACGCATCTTAAAGGTCACATAATTGTATACTATGCATCGTTAAACCTATTTCTAAGACATACATTTATTCTATATTAATTCTACAAGTCATAATAGAGTCGTCAGAGATTACGTAACAAAGTGATAATATATGAATAGATGTAGTTTAAGACTTCTTATCATTATTTATCTGAAGATTTTCAGTGGTTTTGAAATACTTTATGGACATTTCATTATCGTTCTATTCAATATTATTTTATTTCAGGAAATATGTAGTCAAATGCCTAAATGTAGTATTGGTGTTATTGCAAATACAAGTGATGAAGAATACATGAAAAAATTTTTTCCAAATACACTTTATACTTATATACATTACGTTTCATCATATGCGCAAGGTATTGAATCACTTCGTAATAATTCCATAACACATTTATTTATGGATCATTCAATGGCACGATATTATTTAACTCGTGAAGTCTATAAATCAATTCGTATAAGTAGCGATAATTTTGGAACATTCGGTTTATCCTTGGGTTTTTCAAAATTTGATACAGATTTAAAAAATAATATAACAAATGTTTTATTATCTTATGTTGACAAAGGTTAGAAGAAAGGAAAAAAAATCTTTATTAAATTTTATATAAAAATCTGTTAAATAGGTATTATTCAACGTCTTCATGATGATTGGTATGTGTATGAAAACTGTGAACGAAAACGAATGGATAAAGTATATTTAAAATTCATAATATAATGAGATTTATTTATTCTGTTCTTTTTTCTCTCTCTCTTATTAGGATCGAATGTTATCTGTTGAACGATTCTTAGGTGTATTTATATTATTAGCTGCAGGTATGATAGTTGGTTTATTAATCCTAATATTAGAATGGTTAACATTTAAATATGGTGTTACATATTGGCGAAAACGACAGTCTTCTGGTTGGATGTTTTTTTCTCAAGTAAACATAGACTATTAACATAAAATAAAAAATATTCTTACTTCTTTAGCGTTTATATGCTACAATCAATGCGCCGGACGAGGTATTTGATAAAGCTTATCGTACATCAAATACCCATTCATTCCGAAATGTTGGAGAACGGTTAGTTTTCATTTTTGTTTTTTTAATTAAAATATGATTTCTTGTTATTTTAGTCTTCATAATTATTCAACTCGAAGTGATAGTCTTGATTTACGTGTTATTGATGTTCCAAAATTATTATGTACCACATATCAACTTAAAGAACAAATGGATATATTAAATAAACAACAACATATAACAATATTACCACAAAATGGTGATATATGTAGTTTATCAAAAGATAGTGAGTCTAATGACCAACAACAATCAATTCGAACTCGTATTGATGAACTTGAACAAGAATTGAATCAATTAAGATTACAATTATTTAAATTAGATAATGATTAAAATATCTATTTTTGTTTCTTTTCCTTTTTTTTTTGTATTTTGAAACTGGTGCTATATATATGTGTACATTACACACAATTTCTAGCTGTATAAATGACAGCTTTTCTTTCGTTTCGTTTTTTGATTACTTCATCATACATACACAATTTGTAGGTTTAATTGATCAGATGTATTTTTGTTTAACTATGTGGAGTTCTATTTTTGGTTATTGTAAAAAAAAAACAAAGCTTTAGAAATGTTCATTTTGACAAAAAGTTTGAAATATAAGTCACTTATGTAGGTGACGAACTAATGATGTTTAAATTCAATGATCTATTACTTGAAGAAAAAAAATTGACGTCGCCGACACGTTCTAGGCTATTTATTTTAAATTGTTGACACTTATCAAGATTGTGCTATAATGGAAATGAAATGACTTCAAACTAAGAAAAGTAATTACATTGAAAACACTTTCTGAAATAGTTATGTACAATGAATCAGAAGTATAAAAATTATTAATTTGAATATTCAATTGCTTAACTTATCCTCGCGCATTGCTATCAACCTTTATGAGCATTGCATAATTAAAGATTGAAGTGTTCAAATTTTAAACGTATAATTTTATGCAGAGTCCGAATCTTGATAAATGGTTTTGTACAAGCAGATTATAGTTATAGATCTCTTTTTCTTGTTCCGAGCCGTTGTTTTTGAAGTTCTAACTCTGAGTAAAATAGGAAACCATAAAAACGTTCTGTAGGTTTTCTTATTTTTTTTCCAGAGTACCCGATTGTTTTTATTCTTCCTTTATCAAATAAATCTACCTACTTTCGATTGACATAATTAATTTCTTTCTCAAAAATTCTAAGTATGAGATGTACTTAGTTTATCAAAGAAATAGTTTAAAAACTATTGAACGACTACTTCTTCAATAGATTGAAAAATGTCGTCATTTAGCAATATTCGGATAGGAAGGGTTAAAAACAAATATACTTTCATGTTAAAATTTTATTTTAAAGCTACAAGGTTGAAACTTTTAAATATATTTCAATATAAACGATTCGATTAATTCTATTAAATTGAGAAGCCAAGTACGTGTTTCATTTGATCAAGGTTATCCTTGAAAATTTAATTGATTGTAAATTAAATGAATATTATACAGATACGCCTATTCATTAATATTTTTTTTTATTTTATAGAAAAAACTGAAATAGTTTTATTTAAAATAATCTCTTGAACTATTTCTTTCTTAATTAAATATTTTTTATAAATTTGAGACAATTTAGAATGATCTCAGATATATTTCTTTGTTTTGTATAGAATTTGTTTTTTTTTCCTTACTGACATATTTCATAAAAGCAAAAGAAAAAAGAAAGAGAAAATTTAACTAAAAATAGAAAGCAAGCATCTGCTTTATAGTTGTCGTTTGATTTCTTTTTTTTTTCTTCTTTTTTTTTAAACTATACACTTCGTTTCTCAAGCAACATCTAATAACATTAGCAAGTAAAAAAGCATTGAGAGAATAAAAGAAAAAAAGATTTTTTACTTGTTGTTGTCGTTCGTTTTTATTTATAGTTAGAAGTTGTTTGAACACAGTCAATAATAAATAATTATCATGAGTTTACAAGCACAGTTCTATGAAGCACAACGTCGTCAACATTTTGTTGATCATCGTCAATCACTTGGAGTTGCTCGACAAGTTCAACAATCAAAATATCAATCTCGTTATATTCCTGTAGGTGTACTTCGTGAAGATGATATGTTTGTACCATGGACATATAATCCTTTACGTCGTACACAATCATCTGCAAATGCACAAACTTGGTCTCAAAAAGAACAAGATCCTCGTCCGTAAGTTATTAGAAGAAAAAAATAAGAATTTATTATATAAATTATTTCGAAATAGACCACCACCAGTACCAGAAAAAGAACGATATGTTCATTATGGAAAACTTCAAAAGCGTTATACTGTAAGTTAAATATTTGAGTAAATATTATTCTTTAGATATATTTTCTTTTTAGTCAACTGATTATATTCAACAACGATAAATTAAAATGAAAGAATACTAAAAATTCATTTGCTTATCGTGTGTATATTTTTGAAAAATTATATGAGAATATTTATAAATCACTCATAAAAATAAAATCCAATTATGATTGAAAAATATCTTGATTAATAAAGAAATATTTACATAATTCTTATAAATAGAAGTGTTTAGATCGATAAGATCTTGCGCTATCGTTCCGTGCATTTATTTAAGCATATATATCATTAGAGAAAGAAGCCTATTGGTGTCAATTCAAGAGTTCATACGATCGATTCAGTTCACCAGGGATTGTGTGGAAACAAAAGCACAAGATCTTGTCGATCTAAACATTCCAAAAAAATAGGCCGAAATTGAAGCATTAAGAAAGACTTACTACTGAATGCTTCTTGTTCTAATAAAAAAATGGTTGATTTTTATATGAAACAATTATTGAAAGATATTGATACCCGATTTAGTAGATAGAATTGTTTACAGTCAAGATATAATTTACACATATTTGTGTTCATTAACGATGTTCATAGACTAAACTATGAATACTAATGATAATCACTTAGAACAAAGAGTATTAACAATCAATTTTGTTTTTACATTCTTCAATAGAAAAAATCCCTGTTGATACTATTCTCAATAGAATCTATTTCTAGTAGTAATTACTATCAAGGTTTGTTATTTAACTTCGAAATATAAAGCTAATTGTTTGTATTTCAATCATGTTAAACATGTTATATTGTCAAATTATCAAACGAAAGAAAAACAGCAAACATATAAATCCATCAGATTCATTGCCATTCATGACATTGTCATGTACGCTATCAACCATATTGTTTTAACATAAACACACGTCTTTTCCATTAAATAGATATCCATTTGAAACATATACAATGTCTGATGTATCATCACGATACTATCGTACAGTCCAATTCTTTTCCTGTCATCAATCAACAACTAATATCAACCTAAAACATTCTAGAATATATGTTTTTTTTCAACAGTAATAACAACAACAACAACAACAACAACAAAAAAATAGAATTTCTCCTCATATTTTCAATAATTATCGTTTTATTATAAAAATATAAAAAGAACACATACACATATCTAGCTATATTGTCAATAAACAAAAGAAGAGAAAAAAAATTCCACAAATAAAACAAAATCAACATCACCTTCATACGCTTCTTATACAATTTGGAATGAATATATATATATATATATACGTATAGCATGAATTTATACATGGGCTAAAGGCACTTGTTTTGTTGATGGAAGAGAATATTTACTTCCATTAATTTTTGTATGTTTATAAGAATAGTTTATTCCAAAATCATCACGTCCGCGTTGATTACCATAACGTGGATGTTGTTTATATGGATGATGATGATGAAGATGATCAGAATTATTATTGTTATTATTTGAATTATTATTATTATTTGGATTATTCTGACAACAAAAAAATCTTTTCCATGTTAAAAATGTTTTACTATTGAAATTAATCCATAAACCAGTAATAATACCAACAATTAATAAGAAAAAATATTTTAACATATAAATTGTAAAACTTGGTTGAATAAACCAAGTTGAATAAGATTTTGTTGATAAATGAGGACATTTATTACAATGAAGATTATCTTCCCACATTGAACGATAGCGTAATTCATAAAAATAAATTCCAATAACCTTCAAAAAAAACAAAACAAAATATTATATGAAAAAAAAAACATTCTAATCTTTATAAACTTACAAATGTTGCTGGAACTGTATATAGAATTGAAAAAAGTCCAATTCTAACCATTAATTTTTCTAATTTACTTGTTTTATTACGATCTTGAATTTTTATAACATTTCGTATACGCATTAAACTTATTAAACCAGCTAATAAAAATATTGTACCAATAGTTAAAAATGATATCAATGGTAATAAAACAAATCCACGTAACATCGATGAATCTGTATGTCCAACATAACATATACCACTAATAGGATCACCATCAATACCTTTTAATATTAATATAGCAACTGTTTGTAAACAAGGTAATAACCAAGCAATAAGATGATAGGAAAGTGAATAATGTGCTATTGCTTCTGATGACCATTTAAATCCAGCAGCAAGAAACCATGTTAAAGTTAATATAACCCACCAAATCGATGATGCCATACCAAAAAAATAAGTTAGCACAAATACAAATGCACAACTTGATGGACCAGATACACGAACAAGTTGAGTATATGGTGATAATGAATCAATCTATCAAAACAAAACTTATTTTATAGAAAAAAAAAGAAATTCTTCTTACTTTATTATTGAATTTACATGCCACATTTTCATGTCCAAGCATCAAACGTATTAAATATCCACATGAAACAAAAAAATAACATAATGATAAAAATATAATTGGTCGTTGTGGATATTTAAATCTTGTCATATCAAGAAAAAATGTTAATAAAACAAATGTACATGATAAAGCACATAATATACTAAGAATAGTTAACCATATATTTATCATTGATATCGATTGTTCATCAGAAAAATAAGCTGAACGACATGGTGGTAAACATTTTTTTATTGTTGAATAATCATCTTCATCAATAAGTTGATAACCAACTGATGTATTACATTGACAACATGATTTTGATGAACGAGATGGTAATCGTACTGATGATTTAGCAGCTTCATCTTTTCTTGGATCCATACAAATAGCATTTTCTTTACTTGACGGATATTGTTCACATTTTAAAGCATCAGGCCATATAAAACCATATCTTGTATAAAATGATTCACATGGTCGACGAACACGTTCACAAACCTAATGGATAAAATAAATTTTTGAAATTTGAAAAATAAAACAAAATTAAATATTCACTTCTCGACAAGGTGGAATTGAATCCGAATAATTTGCTAAACATAATGGCATATAAATTGAACAAAGAAGAAAACGAAGTTCAGATGAACAACCAACAGCAATTAATGCAGTAAATTGATTAATCTAAATAATTATTTTATAAAAGTTCACTATTAGAATTTTAATTGTAATTATAACAAAAAAGAAATGTATGAAACCTTTCAATAAACAATATTTATAATAACAAACGATCGAAAGTTTTATTGACATAGTTCTAATGATATCATAATAGAGATTGTTTATCTGTAAAATCAGTCATAAGGTTAACTAAATGTCAGAATGAGATAGACAAGAAAATAGTTTCTTTTTAGCCTCTAACTGCTCGTCATTCTACACCTGTCGATTAAAATCGATTAGCAGATAGATATATAAAAACCATTTGTTTATCATGAGCTAGATGACATAAATAATTATCGATTTAAAAATACTTAATTTTAACCTTGGTTAATGAATATAAATTATACAATGAAAGATAGATGGTATTTTATCAAGCTTTTAACAAAAAAAAACTGCATCTGTTGCTTTCTTTTTTGTATTCTACTCACCACAAGTGCAACATCTTTCTGATCTTGATGATTAAATTTATTCGGTAGATAAGTTTGATTATATCCAATATTTTTACATTCATAATAAGTGATAGGTTGACATTGTCTTTGTTCACTTTTTGTTGATATAATTGTTATTAATAATAGAAGAAATAATTCAATGAATAGATACATAATAATTACTTGTTATTTTCTATATATGATCGAAGATTATATACGAGACAATAATCTAAATCAAAGAGAGAGAAAAAAGAAATATTCTTTCTTATGACAGTTGTATATGTATATGTGTGTGTGTGTCTAATTTGACACATCGGGAAAAGAAAATGAACAGACATGTGTGTATACCGTAAAAATGAACATGGGAACGGAAATCACGATGACAATTTGAATATAAAGAATAGTCAGTGACAGCAGGAACAAAGAAAGACTATATTTACTGTAATCACAAAATTCTACAAATGGGAATTTTTTTCTTTTTCTCAAAAGATCGTTCGTGTCTAATGTGTATACAAACTTCATTAATGGCTACTAAGAGAATCACAATAATATAGATAACAAATTCATCAGTGTCTGGTTTACTTCTATCTATATGAATAATTATCTTCCCCCTATCTCATCGTGTTAAGATCAATGACGACGTTAGTTAGATCTATACATGCGAATACATCTACTAAAATGGCATCGGAAGCTATGTTAACATCATGCAAATATACGACAAAGAAAAGGAAAAACAGAACGAGAGAGAGACATGGATATAGAGAAAGAAAAAAAGAAAAGAAAAAGGGAAAAGTACAAACTACTAATAAGTAATAACAACAACATATAGATATCCTTTTTCTTTTGGAATTATTAAAATTATATAGTTATTTTTTATTATATATCGATCAGAAAGAAGAAAAAAAACGTAATTCAATTTAGTTTTTATTATGAGAAATGTGTCAAACTTAATTAGGTGCTTGGGTTGGTTTTGTGTGACAAGTCGTTGTTACACAAAATGTTGAAGCAAACAAAGAAGCTCAACACGTAATAATACAAAAAGAAAAAGAAAGAAAAAAAAAGAAAGAAGACTGACTTCCAACCCAGCAGTCCGATTTAGCTATTCATCTGTTAAAAACAGCAGTAACCGACAGCGAAAGAAAGATCAAAGTTATGTAATCATAAAGAGAGAAAGGGTGATGACGATGTGCGCGTACATTTTATGTATCACGGGGCGGTCAGAGGACGTGCGATCGCGTAAAAAAAAAGAAGCAACAAAAAAAAAAGAGAAAATGAACACTAATGCTCACACACGCGCGAAGTCGATATAATACAAACACAATTATCGAAAGAAAAAGAAAATCAAAAAAGAGAAATTAATTTTTCGTCTCTAAAAATTGTATCATAAAAGTAAAAAAAAATGTGATTAGAAGATCTTTTTTTTTTTATTGATGTATGATATTCGATCGTGTTGTCATAAGATGAAACATTAAATATACTTAAAATATATATATATATACATATATTGTCAACCTTGTCCCTTGAAAATAAATGAGTATCATATTCACAGAAAAAAAAACTCGATTAGATGTAATATTCGATCGTTTATATATCAAAAAAAAATTTTTTTTTTGTCAAAGGCTGTGAAATCTGTTACATTTTACTCATTTCAACAAAATGAATGAAAAGATCGTGTAAACGACGTATGGTACATACGCTTGAACATCACATTACAATATCGATCAATCTACCTGGGTATATCATACACATATATTCATTTCGTTAGTGATCAAAGTTCCTCTCTTCTCGCGCGCGCTCTCTCTCTCTCAATGTCTTGTCCGCCCAGCTCATTTATACGTATACGCATCTATACATATATATATATATATATATATACATATACATATATATATAGATTGGACTCATCATTTACCTTAGCAATTAGGCGTGAAAGTGAAGTAAAAAAATGAAAGAAAAAAAAAGAGAAGAAGGGTCTGATAATGGTCAAGTTTTTCATATTCTCTTTTATGTATATAAACTATAGATTGTCATTTAATAGACGTGTATATAATAGTAAGAAAGAAAAGAAAATGAATGAATAGATGATCTTTACATTCGTTGTTTCGATTAACATAAGACGACTGTATTCTTTTCTCTTCATATAATTCGATCTTATATTCTTAGTTGATGAAGTTTATAAGCAAACCTTAGGTGACGATTAAGATGATTGAAAAAGAAAAAGAAGAAAAAGGGTGATTGACAACAACAAACGATCTACACATATAAAAGTATGAAAAGTGATGATACTTAGACTCTTCACTATTGAAAAAAAAAAGAAAGAATAGTGATGATAGCACTACTCGTAGTAGTGGTACTTACTTAAATGACCGCAAGAGCTACTCAATTCTAATGGACGACGACCACCTACCATCAATCAAGATATACATCTAATATTTCCTGTGTTTTCGTGTAGCACGAGAACGAGTCCACTTAATAGTCACACAATGAAAAAAAATCGTATGGTCTGTCTTTCACCTGCGTGTGTATACACATTAACTACGAAAAAAAGAAGAAGAAGAGGATTATCAAGTCGATTGTCATCATGATCTAAATCTTTTGCATGTAGATGTTAAAAGAATTATTGATTGATTGTATGAAGAAAATGTTTTGCTACACAGCTTGATTCTAGTTTCGTCTATTGTATGATGATATTTAAACAAATTATTGTATAATTCATTTTTTTTCTTCTCATTTTAAAGTACTTGAATAACAAATCATTCATTTTCTGTTGGTGTGTATAGATTATTGACAAATCGGATCGGTAAAGAAAAAGGAGAGAAGAAATAAGAGTCACTTGATTTTTAAGTGGGAGAATTAGATTTTACTTGAAATGAATTGTTTGATACTTTATCTTTAACTTAAAATTGAAATCAAGAAAGAAAAAATCAATTATTTTCAAAAAAAACAAACGAAATCATCTCTATGAATGAAAAGTATTCACAACTGTCAAGTAATTCCTTCGGCATTGAGTTCATCATCACATATGGATTAAAAATAAGAAAAAGAAAACTTTACTTTATTTCAAATATTTAAAACTATTTTGTTTGTTCATAATGAATTTAATAGATTTGCACAATTTGTTTTATTATATTATCATTAAGCAATGAATGAATTTGTTCTTAATATGTTTGTATGTAGTTCAATTTTATGAGTGTTGGTTGATTTCGTATCTTGAAACTATCAGAAAAAGAAACAGCTGTATATGATTATATCTTCTAGTTAATATATTACTGAGAACTCCGGAAGTATGGACCTATTTGAGTACAAGTTCGATTAGTTTGAAACATGTGTTCGACGCTATCACAGTATCATTATCAAGTATATCTCGCTGTAGTTTTACATAAAAACGAGAGTCGAATGAAATTATCTACTTGGTCAATCTTCGAAGGGCAGAAATACTTATCTAGAAATTGTCCAAGAGAAGAAAGATTTTATCTAAAATGTAGAGTATTCGAATACAAGTACAATTACTTCAAATATTTTATATTCAGTTCAATTATTACTTGTTTTTGATAAATAATAGAACATTAACTATAACAAGGATATAAAACATATAAACTAGTAAAGTCGTTGTAAGATTCTTGGAATGCTTCACTATCACGTTTTCCTCCCCTTCTATTTCAATGTGTGTCAAAGCGATCAGATCATAATAAATGACTGTTCGACCCCCTTATCCATAAGCCCTTTAGTAATAAATACATACCTATTGTCTCATAATAATGATGAAAAGAATATATGCCCTTCGGATATATAGAACTAAAAGTAAGAGTAAATGCTTTTTTGTATGAATATTATACAATTGAAATATATTTGTTCATAATTCAGATACTTCACTATTAGTGTTTAAAACCAGACACGCATTTATACGTAAAGTTATCGTATAATAGTAGCAATTGTGATTTAATGAACTAGTTCTTATTCATATGGAAATCAATAGGATATAAATAGTTAAGAAGATATAATATTATTCATCTTATTTTGTTTAATGAATTGGAAATATAGATTTTAGATTTATATGTTTTATATTATCTGATTAAGAAATTCGTTGAATAGATGACGATTTTTGAAATGATGTTGTTTTAAATCGTATAAATTGCTGATTAAAATCATGAGTCTTCTCAATCTCTTTATATCCTATGTGACATGATTGCTTTTATTAATCGTATACATTTATAAATATATTAACATTTTCTAAGTGATCTATTTAAATCAAACACATTTTTTTTGTACATCAAAATTACATGTCATGTACAATATCTAAACTCTCAATATGTTACATTATCCATACATTACTAATTTAATTTATTTATACATATAAGACAGAAGTTTTTATTTCATTAAGGATCATAATATAATATCCTATCTGTTGATAATTTGAAATCAATTAACTTTGTATATATTCTCCGTTGTTTTGTCCTCGATTTAGTCTGTTGGATATGTCCATATATATATATACAGAACGACTAAAAGTTTGAATAATTAGTATAATTTTTTCGATGAATTCTGATCGATTATCTACAGTTTCATCGTCGATGTCTGTAACATCTTTCCGACAAAATATAGGAAATAATAATCAACTTGCGTCATCTCAAACAAAAAATTTCAAACCTCCAATAAATCAATTCTATTGTAATCTATGTTTTTGTCCATTAATGATACCTCAGAATATAAATCGAGCAAGTTTTGTTACTAGTTGTGGTCATTTTTATTGTGAACAATGTGCTCAAACAAGTAAAACGAACATATTATTTATTTAATTCTTGTTTTTCATTCATTTATTATAAAGCATTTCAAGGTTTAATGCCAACATGTAAAATTTGTCAATGTTCATCAACCAATTTAACTTGTATGGATTTACGAAAGGTTAAATTTTAATTTATATATGTATATATATCTATATTTAAATCCATTCTAGAAACAAAATGATGATGTTGATGTTATGATATCATCGAATAGTCGTGCTCGAAAATGGTTCGAAGATCAAACACGACAACGAACTATTGAACAAATGATCGCAACATTAGATCAAGTAAATAATAGAATTCGAAATTTCTTTATTCAACTTTTGCTTGCAGCGTAATACATTTTTAAATAAACAAAATGAACTCTGCATTAAAACAATTCTTCGACAAGTAAATAGATAATCTTATTGATTTAAAAATTTGAATGCTTATTTTTTTCATAGGCTGATACTGTTCAACATCAATTGCCATTTGATAAACTTGCTATAGTTGGAAATAAAATGATTCAGTAAAAATATTCTTAGATAATTTTAAAGATTGTTTATATTTTTCATAGAGAAACAAAACAAGCATCAGAAATTTTATATAAATTACTTACAGGACTTAGTCAATCGAAAATTCGAATGACATCACAACAACAATTATTTTGTCAACAAGTTGTTGAACGAGTTAGTTCAATAAAATATTAAAATATAATTTATTTTCTTTTTATATTTAGTTCAAAGCATATAAAAAATAATTATTCATAATCAAATTCTAATATAGACTTTTATTGTATTGTAAGAATAGAAATATTTATTTAATAAAGATATTTTTTGATTTTTTTTCTAATTATCGAATATGACAAGAAAAGATAAAATTATTTTTACCCTAATATGTTGGGTGTCATTTCCTTCTTCAGTGGATCATGGTTGACCCTTCCGTCCATGCAGGGATTACAAACTTCATCGTTTTTTTTGTCTAATTACAGTAGTTCTGATGAATTCTTACATATTATAGTACAGCTATAACAGAAATCACTTTTCATCCATAGCAAAGAGAAAGTCTTAATTTTCATTTGCATTGACATCAAATAATCTATTTACAGTAGTTTCAGATATTTATAAACATTTTAAGAAATAAAATTCTTCATTTCAATCATTTATCTTTTCTTTGAAAAATCATTTTCATGTAATCTTTCTGTCTGTTCGGGCTTTTTTTCGTTAATAATAATAATAATAATAGAAGTAGGGAATAGTAAAAGAAAACCAACAACATCAGACAACAAGAAGAAAAAAACTGAACGAACGAACATGTGTGTATGTGTTTTACAGTTGATAATAAATGATATTTAAGCAGCGCGCAACCGAACAAGACAACAAAAAAGAAAAGAAAAGAAAAAAAAAGAAACTGCATACACACATATATACTTTTTAAAAGCTTATAGAGAGAAGCGCGCGCATTCTGAATGATGATGATGATGATGATGATGGTGAATAATGTAGTAATAAAAAAAAAGTACGTTAGGAAGAGACAAGAAAGAAAAAAGATATAGAATATATACACATGGCGTAAACGAGAGATAATTTTTTTAATTGTTGATGTTTTACATTTGTACTTTATCAATATCATCTCGTTGTTCTGGTCGATTATTAACCATAAAACCAAGTTGTTTAACATCGATTTTTTGACCTTTCATTTTCTTCGCTTTTTTCTTTTGTCCATTACTTGATGCTAATTGAAAACCTTCATCACCACCATTACCCGAATTTGTATTTCTTGATGTTGGTGCCATAGCTAATTCATTCAAATGTTCATTATCAACTTCCGGCTAAAATTAAATAGATGAATATACTAAAAAAAATATTATCATTATAAATAACATACTCCAGCATTAGCTAATTGTTTACGTTTAATTATAAAATCATTAGCAAATTCTTTAGCTTTGATAGCTGAACCAATATATGGTTGAATATAATCAACAATTTCTTCAGCACTGTCAATATCTTTTAATAATTGAACAAGTGTTGGAACTGAAAAATAATAAATGAAAGAATTGAATTTTGAATAGAACATTTTTTTACCATCAATAGCTTGTAAATTATCTTTAAATTGTGTTTGTGTCCATTTTGAAAGTGCATCCTGAGTACGTGTTGTTGTAAACAAATATTTTGCTTCACGTTCACTTTTCGATAATTCAGCATGTGTTGAATTTGATTTTGATTGCGGTATTGCAGATGGTTTTATTTCAGTCCATGGCGTTCTGGATGAATAAAAAAATTTTAAATAATTTTTAAATAATTTGAATACATACGCTGGTTTATTGGCATTCTTTTTTGTAGATTGTTTAGTTGCTGCTGGTGTAGGTTCATTATCATCCCAAAACATGGATGCTGTTTGTGGAGATGAAGTCGACTGTTGAAATACTCCACCCCATGCTGGTGTTGTATTACCAGAAGATACTTGTTGTTGCTGTTGTTGAGGTTGTGGTTTTGGTTTTGGTTCAACCTGAAATTAATTTTTAAAGAATAAATAATTAAATCTTTTTTTTTGATTTACTTGAGACTGTTGTTGTTGCTGTTGTTGTTGTTGTTGAATATCTTGAAGTGATGTATTATTAGGTAAATTTGTTGATGAACTCCATGGTGTTGATGGTTGACTGTTAGTTGATCGAGATTTTGGCTAAATGAGAAGAAGAAAAAAAAATGTTTTCTTATTAGTATTTATCTGTTGAATATCGAATAAATAATATAAATAAAAGCCATGCAACATAAAACAAAACACAGCACAACATACATGAATATTTAAAATAGAAAGTACCGCATTTGTTGCCTGTTGATTGTAAGATGTTATTGGTGATTCAGGTAATGAATTTTCATTTGTATCTTGATCAAATGACATATGATTTGATGCTGATAATGTATTAATATTTCCAGTACTACCAGCAAATAATGTACGAGCCCATGAACCAGGCTTATTATTATTAGCTGATGATGATGGATTTGGAATATTTAATGCCTCAGATTTAGCCTATTAGAAATAAAATATGATATATATTATGATAATCTCAAATGTAATATTTAGTGCATATTGACATACAAGTTGTTGAGCAGCAAGCATTGCTTCACGAGCACGTTGTTCTTGTTCTTGTTCTTGTTTTAGAATTTCAGCAAAATTTAATGGTTGATTTTGATCATTACTTTGTGATGAATGTCGAGCCCAATTGGCTGAGTCTGGTAACTTAAATGTTTGCTGTTGTTGTTGTTGTTGTTGTTGTTGTTGTTGAGGTTGTTGTTGTGAAGTTGGTCGAGATTGTTCTTGTATTTGTTGTTTATAACGACGAATATTTTCTTCTCTAAAATTATGAAGAAGATAAATACTGCATATGATTAACAAAAAAAATAATTCTTTACCTTTGTGCTTCAATTTTAGATTGTTGTTCTTTTTGATATTGAAGAGATTGTTGAAAAGCTAAAAATGCATCAGCTTCAACTTTAGGTTGTGGTTTAACTTGTTGCTGTTGTTGTTGTTGTTTTTGTGGTTGAGGTTGTTGTGGTTGTTGCTGTTTTCTCTGATCCATTGTTTTAGCCATTTCTTTCATCTGATCTAATATTTGTTTACTTGCAACTACTGCCTCTTTTTTCTTACGTAATTCTTCTTCAAGTCTTTGTTGTTGTTCTAATTGACGACGCTCATCTTCTTCACGTTGTAAACGTAATTGTTCAGTTTGTTGTGCTAATTTTATACGTTCAATTTCAAGTTCGCGTCGTTGTTGTTCCATTCGACGTTGTTCATCACTTTTTTCTTGTTGTTGTTGTCCATGACTTTGCATTGCCTTTGCAAGTCGTGACATGATATCACTTGGTTGTTGAGACTGTGCAAGTGATACATTTTCACCAAAGAATGATGCCGTATTTGGTTGAGAAGCAATATGACGAAATGGACGTTGAACATCATCAAATAATGACTGTTGTTGCTGTTGTTGTTGTTGTTGTTGTTGTTGTTGATTTGTTGCAGATATACTTCGTTGTAATTGTGGTTGAAAGGCTAATGCCGGATCATTAACAAGATTTGATGGGAAAAGAGATGAAGATGATTGGGATTGTTGTTGAGAAGAAAAATATGATTGTAATTGAGGATTTATAATTGATGGAGATGTAACCGGTATTCGATCTGTTGATGATACAGGTACTGATGCTTGTCTAAAGGATACAGATTGAGATATTAGATAATATTTTTTAAAGTAATTACACGAATAATTTGAATCTGATCATACAAGGATAATTAAATAGAACATAAGGAACGGTAGAGACCTACACTTTTTTTTCGATAATATTTTATCATGTAAAGTATCAAGATTGTAATTATCTATTAGTTAATTTTAGAAAAAAGAGTCATTCCTTACTATTTTATCGCATATAAATCTAATCAGATTTGAATTTGATATTTCCTTTAGATGTGAACTTGAAGTTCAAGTTCTCTAATAGAAAATGTGAACTGTATATGAAACACGTAGCAATTTTTTTTAGTAGATAGATATTCCAACAGTGGATAATTATCTCGTTATACATGATAATTTCGAGCATTTTTTTTTCAATATGTATATCATGGAAACGAGAGACTAATTTTATACGCGTCACTAGTCAATCGTTAATGCCATCTCATCATAAACGGAACTAACTCCAACGCATGAACTAATTAGTAAAAAAGGAAATACGTCATTGATTTCCTTTCATCAATTAAAAATTTCTAAATATAACAATTAAAATTAGTATTTTGTTTAAAATGTACCTGTTAAATAACATTGAATGTGGCACATTTTGTCTTGACTGTTGTTGTTGTTGAAGTATATAATCATCAATATAAGTATTAGCTGCAGTTGATGGTGCTACATATGTCATTGGATTAAATTTTTGTGGTTCAGGTACAATCGTTTGTTGTTGTTGTACAGGTGGTGGAAGTGATGGAACATCAGTACGAAATGGTAAACGACCTAATTCTTTTGTTAGTTGTTGAATAGTTGAAAATTGTGTTTCACCCATACGTTTAACAGGCAAAAGAATAGTAAAATATCCAGCTGCAAACCAACGTTCCATATCAGCTGATGAAAATGGACCTTGTACTGTATTTTGTGGATCTTTATAATACCATTGTTTATCATCAATAACTACTGGTGGTTGTATTCGTTGTTGTTGGGGTATAATTGGTATAGCAGGTGGAGTTGGATGACTAGCCATTGGTGGAGAATAATCATGATCCTAAAAAAACATTTTTAGAAAAGAAAAGGTATTTCTTTTGTTTTTTCGTAATATAAAAAAATTTTTTTTACTTCAGCAAGAGTTGATTCAACGACAGTTTTTGCTACATCACTCGGTTCAAATTCATCATCCCATGTTGAAATAGTATGTTGTACAGGAGGTGTAGGTTCAGGTACTAAAATATTATCATAGATTATAGAAAGAAAGAAAAAAAAACAATGATATACATTTTGTTTCCGATTTTGTTGGTATATTGATAACAGCTGTATCTGCCTGTGGTGGTGTTGATTTATCTAATTTATTATCTTCATGTTGTTTGGATGAAACCTTAAAATGAAGGTAATAATAATTAAAATTTCTAAATAATTGTTTTCTTTTTGTAACTTACAACTTTTTTACGTGATGATATTTCATCAGTTGAAGATTGAATTTGTTGCTTTTGTTCTTCATTACTATTATTTTGTTGTGTTGATGATGGTCCTCTAAATGTTCCATCTTGTTCAAATGTTGCATTACTTAATTGAGGATCATAATTATTATCATCTTCCATCCATTCAGGCACTCCTAAATAAAACATTTTGTTATTATTTAAAAATTACTTTTATTAAATAATTTAATCTAACGATCTCGTTTTTGTTGAGGACGACGTGAATTAAGATCACGATCAGGTACAGGTGCATTTGAACGCCATCCACGTTGTTGATTGGTCTCATAACTATTTGGTGGACCTGAATTATTTTTTTTAGAAGAAGAAAAAAGACCTTGAACTTTCAAAATCATATTGTTCTTTTTTTTCTATACCAGATCGTTCTTCATTATGATTCCATTTATCATTCGATTTTGTACGATGTTCCATTGATCCATTACTGCTTCCACCTCGTCGTGTTTGGCCACCTCGAGATGTCCAAGATGATGAACCATTTGCAGGTGCTGCTGATGATTCTTCATTCTGCTCATTATTTCCATCATCATCATCACCTCTCGATCGACGCCATCCATCAGATGTTTGACGCGTACCGCCGCCACGACGAAACGATGGTTCACTAAAAGATCAATAATGTCAGATTTGCTTGATTTAATAAATTCTTCTTATAATTTGTAACACATTTCTTATTGTTTTAAAACTGAAAAGCTCACCGATCATCATAAGATCGCACTCGATTTCCAAATGTTCCACTACTACCACCACTACCACCACCACCACGTGAATGATAACCACCACGAGAAGACCATGATGATGATGATACTGTTGTATCATCACCACCACCGCCTCCATTTTCTCCATTATCTTCTGCATTGGTACTTCCACGATTCGATCCAAAAGTATTATCACGTCCACCTTTAGAAAAAAGAAGAAAAAAAAGTGAAATCTTCAAACTTAAAAAAAAACCTATATATAGATAAATGTTTTTCATTACCTCTGCCTCTTGATCCTCCACGCCCATTTGACATTGAACCTCCTCCTCGATTACCTCGTGAATCATGTAGTGGTTGCTGTGATTGTTGAGAATTACTACCACCACGACCACCACCGCCTGGTGTTCGACCAGAAATATAACTTGATAATGAATTCATTTTAGCCTATACATATATATATATATATTTTATTTCTTACAATATAAATTTATTCTTTAGTACTTACACTTTCCTCAGACGAGGGTGTAGTTAATGCTAATGGTTCAATTATATTTGGTCGAAAAACACTTTCAACATCTTTTAAATTTTCTAATATCTCATTTCGTACATCTTCAGCTAAACGTTCAGTTACATTAGCACGTAATGCTAAGATTTCATCTTTTGAATAGCGATATTTTGTTGCAGAAAATTTAAAAATATTTCCACCATTACCACCACCCGATGATGGAATAGGTGTTGTTGATTCAGGCGTTGATAATGCTCGAAGCCTATTTAAATTTAGGAAAAAAAAGAAAAAAAAAGAACATCAATTCAATGAAATATACAAAAGAAAACCGAGCAAACCATTCAGGTCCAAAGTTTAATGGTTGTGTTGTATGTTGAGCGACAGTAGTTGAACTCATATTTTTTAAGTTTCAAAACTGAAATCGATAGACGTGAGAAAAAATAAAAAGCGAAGCAAAATCTTAAATTATTTCAAAATAAATAAACAACAATAAAAAAATAATAAGATGTATATTTTGAATTTTAAAATCATCTCTGACTAATTTATGATGAAATGATATACGGAAGTCAAATAATATATATTTCAAAATCATTGTGTATATGTCTTTTTTCTTTCGAAAATGTTTTGCTTGTCATATAGTTTATTTACCACTTTTAAACGTGAGGATTCCATAGTTTACTACAACAACTGATTCTATATCGTCGAATAGGAATGTGAGAACAAAGAATAAACATATACGTAAAGGGGAGATAGTGAAGGTGACTTAACGACAGGGGTCGCCTTCAAACAGTAAGATTGTATTGTTACTAATAGATAAGCATGTGTAATTATTACGAAATTTATTCGTAATTTTGAAAATAGTGAATATTTTTAAAAAACAAATACACTATCTTTTTTTGTTTGAACTAATTAGTCATTCATTAAGACTATTCAGTGCATAAACATAGTCTTTTAACTTGAACTTGAGGTTATACTTGAGAGTTTATTGATATGAATCTTCACACATATAAATTGATAAATGTCTGCAGATGGTTAAATATGATCTGGAAGTTGAACTTCATTACTCATAAATTTTTAATGACGTCACTATATGAAATATACAAAAGACTAAACGTTTTATTTTTAAATATGAATAAAATATTTGATTAAGGAAATGATTTAATTAACAGGCGACTAAACAATGTCTATGATATTTATTCCCGTATATTAGCAAACAATAAAATTCCCATTTTTTATTCATGTCTTATTATATATAGCTTGATTATTTGACTGTTTTAATGAAGAACAAGTTTAAATCGTATTGAATCATGTCTCATAATAATAATAATAATATAAATCATACTTTAGTTTGATGGAAGAAAAAATCTCTTTTTGTTTTTTTATGATCAAAAGCAAAAGAGAAATAATTTCTAGATCAAATAGAAAGAAAAGAAAAAACGAGTTATACTGATAACTAAGAGGATGATAGAATAAGAACTAAGGAAAAAATAGAAAGGAGAAAAAGAGTTCATCTATTATACATGAAAATAATTAACCATCCCAATTATAAACTTTGCCAGGTGTGCGTGATTGAATAGGAGTCTTGCTTTGAGTTGTTAATAATGACGCAGTTTGTTTTTCAGCTTCAAGAATTGATAAAAATGTTGAAGTATTCGTAGCTGTTGATGTAGTTGCAGCAGCTTGTTGTGATGGTGCTTGTGCAGATGCTCCAGCTGTTATTTGTCTAAATAATTTCATTATTAAAAAATAAAACTAAAATTCAATGAAGGAAAGAACTTTCTTACGGTTGTGTAGCACTAGCAAGAAATTGATTATTATTTGAAAAAACGACTTGCGGTTGTCCAACTTGTCGACGAGCATCTCGATCGTAATAATAATTTTTACTTAATTTATGAGCGAAACCACCTGGTATAAGTGGTGGTGGTTGTGTTCTGAAAAATAAAATTAAAACCTATAATTGTATTATTTTTCCGACTTTTGTTTTACCGCTTAGCCCATTCAAATTCATGACGTTGATTATGAGTGAATTTTCGCTAAAATAGAATTTATCTTTTATTAGAAAATATTCAATAAAATATGTATATATACAAGCATAAGAAATTGACGTATAGGAAAAAGCCATTTGTTAATATCACGTTTAACAACAGGTGCAGCCGCTTTAGCGACGTCTTTGACTTTTGAACTCATTAGATATAATAAAAATCTAAAAATGAAATAATTCTATCAAACAGATATAAGTTGGACGGAAATTTTTTATTTTATAAAAAACGAAAATATTTGACATTAAGATTCAAGAAAATGATCATGTACACTTGTTTGTTGTTTAATTTCCTTAAAAATTATCAAAACGAAATTATTTAATGATTAATTTAATTTAATTAAACATACTTTATATTCTGATGGAAGTGTTAAGACTTTTTCATATAATAAATATCGATCAATTTGATCGTAGATTTTTAAAAAATGACGTTGAACTATTTCAGTAACAGCATGACATGGTAAATGCATTAATTCTAAATAGTTTTAAAATAAAAATAACTAATTTTATTCAATAATATATACTAACGTGTTTCAAATGATTGTTCATCATTAAAAATTTCATTAAAATTATCTGTTGGATGTCGATGTATAAGTAATAAATGTTTAAGTCGATTATTAATATCAATAACACATTGACGTAATTGATCATTTTCGATCATTAATAAACGATGTTTTTGATCATAATCATAACAAATTTTTTTTAATAAGACTCTAAAGAAGAACTCATAAGAAAACTTCGATAGATTTTTATGGATATTTACTCAGATGAAGAAGAAGATGAGGATAATGCAGTTGGAATTGATTCATTTAGAAATAATGGCCATGAATAATCAATTGTTGACATCGTGTGTCTATAAACAGAAGAGAGTTTCAAAAAAACTGAATTACAAAATGTCACTGAACATCAATGTATCTATAGTGCTTTTCTTCTCGTTTGTTTAATTATTATTAAACTTCATAACAGAATTTCGAAGGTTTTTCTAGATTGGATAAACATTATAGAAATAAATAATTACCGATTTTTTTCATGATTTAAAATTCTTTCTTTAAATTTATCTAATTGTTTTTCTAATGTTCGATATTGATGTTTAGCTGATGCACTTTGTTGAGCAAATATTTGATTTAATCGAATAATCTACAAAATAAAATGATTATTAAAAATTTATTAAATCTTCAACAAATATTTATTTACAAACTTCTTTATCTTTTGTTTGAATTGTTTGTGTTAATTTACTTATTTTTGTTACATATGTCTGAATATTATCAGATAAACGTTCTTTTGTTAATTCAAGATGATCAACATTATTTTTTGTTATATCTTCTCGTTTTTCATATTTAACTTGTTCGGATTCATATTTTTTTAATTTTTCATGTAGAATATGTTTATCATGTGATAGTTTATTATAATTTTTTACTAGTTGACGACAAGCCGATAATGTTTGATCAATATTTAATGTTTTTGGAACAAAATCAAATAGACCAAGTAAACAAAGATCCTAAAAATACGAACGAAATTTATTATGAAGAAATATAACTTTTTTATTTATACAGACTTCATTTAATTTTATTAATTGATCATTATTACATGTATTCTCTGTTAAGGGTAGAAAAAAACTAGATGAAGTTGATGATGAAGGTGGTTTCTCAACTACTACAAGTGGTGTTGAACTATATATTGGATGTTCATGTTGATGTTCGGTGAGATTAAATGAAGGAAAATTTGAAACTGAATCTAAATCATTCATAATCCTAGAAGAAAATACTTTTCTTCTTTTTACTGTTTGTAAATAACATTTCAATAAAATATGATTGAATTGTTTTTTAACCAATAAGACAAAAGAGAATAAATATTTATTGTCGCTCTTATCCGGTATTTAATCAAATTGACAAACGCTTACTTTCAGGAATTATATTAACTCTTTCGTTACAGATCACGTATATATACGTGCTGACTACTATATTCAAATACATTTCTGAAAGTGCTTGTATATAATAATACAGCTTATTTCAGCATTTTTTATGATAGAAAAAAGCTTTTATTCAAAATAAAATGCCCGTATTCAAAGGGTTAAATGAACACTTTCATTTCATTAATATATCCCACATTCCACGTCACACGTTATATTTAACTTGATATTAAAATTTATTTACAATGGTGTTAGGATCCAATATACCATCAGTTTATTTTCAAAAAAGAAAAACATGAGCAACAACTCGTAACTAGAAAAAAACAACAACTGAAATGGTAGAAGAAAACACGAGAGAGAACAAAGGAAAAAACAAAACAAATAAAATCATCTATAAAGATGACTATATATTCACTATTCATGGAAGAAGCGGAAGAATCGACGATCGACATAGTTAATGATCCTGACAAATAGCTGCTACTGAATTTATCAACAACAGCAATACAGTTATGATTTCAGACGTTATAGAGACATTTATTCCCTTCTCCTTGACAACCCCGGCAGATTATGCGATGCTCGCTCGAAGCGCTAAATTCAATCAGACTAGTAATGAAACTTCTCTTGATTTGCTGTGGGAAGCTACTTCGAAGGTGTTATCAACCGACCACGGGAAGTTAAAACTGTACGTATGCAATGACAAAAATTTAGGAGTCTGGTTGCCATGTGATGATTATTTCTATAGTAATCGGTCTACAACGACAATCCAAACCATTGCCGATCTAGTCGCCATCTCGAGCATACGTAGGATTGAATTCAGCCAGGATGGAGGCGTGAAGCAGTAAGCCTGTTCATCGAACGAAACCGAAATAAAGCGTTGTCTTCACCATATTCAAGATGAGGATGTTCAAGTACTAAGTGAGCATTAGAAAGTGAAAGTTGAGGAGAAAGGAAAAAACGAGCTTAGTAATTGGCGAAACGGGGTTGAATTAAAGCAGGGAAGCGCCAACACCCGCCAAAAGTCACCACTAGCAACGTCGACAAGCAGCAGCATCACCACCCCTTCAAGGACAACCCATGTTTGTGGGATAAAAAAATTGCTACTTAATGCACTGTATGCTGCTTCCATCAAACGGCAACAGTATGCGCTAAATCCAGTCAGGACAACATCCTACAGGATACCCAAGGAATGGGAGAATTTATTCAAGGACATACAAAAAACCATACAGTCTTTTTTTATTATTATTGTTGTTTTTGTAAAATAAAAATAGAGTAGAAGAAGAAAATATATCTTTATTGTTTTACCTACAGAAAAAAGTTTAAAAATAGATGTAAAAAAAACTTATTTCCAAAAATCGAATGAATTTAATTCTCTCTTCTATTGTACATTGAAATTATAAAAAACTTTTCAACTAGCAATCATGCCATATAACTATAGACAAAATACATTTAAGTTCGCAAGAGTAGAAATATTAAAAATCATTTACATTTATTTTCAATTGAAAATATTTCTTGATACGATATTCTTAGCAATACAATACTATCACATTATTATTTAACATATTGTAGATATATGTCAAACAAAAATGATTTTGATCTTATAATAATTAAATATATTTGTCTTCTCATTTTAACTAAAGTTCATCTGATACAAAACTTTAGATATAAATCGAACGAATTTTATCCATACGATTGAGATCTCATGTTTATTAGACTCTAATATTTAATTAATTAAATAGTTTGGAAGAATGTTATTTTGATTGATCGATATTTAAATTTTATATGATCTTCATACGAATTATACTTACATTAGAACAAGACATATAACTGTTTCGGTCAAAATCAAATATTCTTATCCAATTACATTCGTTATATTCTATTAAAAGATAACATTTATTTTTTTCTCATTTCTACACATTAAGATCTTGTCAGCATAAAATTTCATCTCTTATTAAAAGTATTCATATGGTTATTATTAATATATTTAAAAGCAGACTATAACGAAAATCTTATTAAGAAAATAATTTATATAATTATCAGCGATATAAATCTATCATTAAGGTATAACATATATATAAGAACAGTATTGAATAGTTAAAATTAATTCTTTAAAATAATCTCTCGAACATGACATTGTCAGATTATATAGAAACAAAGAATGTTGTTATTCTTTTTATTCTAAATATCATGAAAGTCTTCTTCTTTTTTTTCTTCCCTATATCTTCTTGATAATATCTTTTGAGAATTCTTTTCTTTTTTTCTTCTATTGCCTTCAGGTCTATTATCATCATTGTGTGACAAAAGGTGTGTATTGAAAATTCATTTAGAAATATTTCTCTTGATAACAAATCAATTGTATAGTCGAAATCAATTATCATCTTAGTATGGTGTGATGATGATGAAGTAATCAACACACAATTGACCCATCACATATTTTTTTTTTATCTCATCAGTCCATTCGAGCAGAAAATTGATCATGTTTGAATAGTAGAAAAGAAAAAAACAGGTGAATCTTCAATATAGACAATTGACATAGCGTGTCGTTAATTGAAGTAATAATATTTGAGTTTTCGTTCTTTTACTACTCGCTCAGTCTTTTGCCTTCCTATTAATCTCGTCGCGTGCATCTAACTGCTTGCAATATACATACACAAAATTGATCGTCATTATATTCACAATGAATTAGAAAAAAAAGAAAGAAACGATGGTGACGTCTGTCAGCAATTATATTACTACGTCGACTTACCTTCTCTTTTTTTAACTATACAAATGAATGAATATATATATATATATATATAGAACGACATAGCTAATTCATTTAATCATATTTATATATATATATGAATAGAAAAAAAGGAAAACAAATCTTAGCAGTACAATAAGAAATTCTCTGCTTACACATACAGTCTTGCGAAAAAAAAAGAAGAAAGAAAAATCAATGTTCTTATACACCTTGAGGCCATAACAGATGATTTTTCGTATTATTTGTTGTTCCTATAATGGCACTCATATATTCTTTGGCTTTAATACGTAAATGAGCAATTGAATTATTATTATTATTAGGATTTAAATTTGTTGTTTCATTTATGATATCATTTGTATCCGAAGAAAATGAACCATATGAATGATGAAGTGGTGGTGGTGTTGGATATGCTGATGATGAATAAAGTGATGAGACATTACAATTAGTCGGATAAAATGGAACAGTATTTGTATTATGTGATCCATTTGTATTTGTAGAAAATGATGATGAATTTGTAAATGGTGAAATAAGCCATGGATCCATATTCATCGATGATGAAACAGGTGATGAGGATGATGGATTTGTTTGTGCTCGAGATGTTGGAGGAAAACTTGACATTGGAAAATCAGGATTTATTTTTAATGTACTTGCTTCAGCTTTTTCTTGTCGACGCCATTTAGCACGACGATTTTGAAACCTTAAATTACAAAATATATATATGCATTTGTCTACTGTTTGAAATAATTCATATATATCTTACCAAACTTGTACTCGTACTTCTGGTAAACTAATTTTGCCTGCCAATTCTTCTCGATTGTAAACATCAGGATAATCTATGTCATAGAAATATTTGTTTATAGATAAAAAAAAGTTGTAAAAAAATGATATCGTACGAGATTTTTCAAAAGCTCTTTCAAGTTCATGTAATTGAAATGTTGTAAATGTTGTACGATTTCGACGATGTTTCTTTTTTGAATTATGATGATGATTGGATAATGAACGATCATTACTGTCATTATCGTCATCATCTAAATCTTCAATATCATCTTCCGAATTGCCTATACTTTTATTAGTACTTAATGGATCTATTTCATCACTTATACGACGCATAACTTTACCTATTTAAAAATAATAAAATAACTCTTTCATTGTTTCTTATATATATTGACTTACTATCAAGATAAAGTTCATTTGCATTACGTTTTTTACTTGCAAGTTTTTGTTGATAAAATTTTGATGATGGTAAAAGATGAGAAGGAAATAAATGTTGTTGATGATGATGATCAAGATTCTTTATACCTAATATAGCTTCTATTGAATGTATTGCTTTTAAATCATCACTATTTGGTGGAATCATTGGAATAGAATTTGTTGTTGATGTCTTGTTTGTACTACTTTTCATTCTATCTATATTTGTGTGTTCGTATGATAATAGTAATAGTAATAATGATGGGTCTTCTCTCGTTTTTTTCTCTCTCTCTCTTTCTCTATGCTACTCCGTTGTTTTTTTAATTTATTTAATGAATAATCTAATAATGACCGTGATGAATGGAGGGTGGTAGTGCAACAACGACTACGACGACTACGACAACGACGAAAAAAAAAAGAATGTAAAATGAGCAGAAAGAGAAGAAGCAAAACATTAATCAACAACGTCACCCTTTCTCTCTGATTGCTCTTTCTTTCTCTTCTCTTTTTTCTATTCGTCAAAAAACTAACGATATGACGAATAGTAAAAGCGGATGTAATTATAGACTAGTACAACCAATGATCATCGTCATTCTTCAACATTTTTCTTAACAAATTCAATCGATGTCTATATGAAATTCGATGAGGAATTTTTCTGAATATACATACAAGACAAAAAAATAAACAGATTCACATATAAATAGTAAGTACTTCGATAAAAATCAACATGATCAATATTTTCAAAGTTATTTATTTAGTCACGACACAAATAAATTATGCGTGACTATACTTTACTTTGAACTAAAACTACACCCACTTAATTGATTTTATTTTTATTGTACAGCAGCATTCTTGCAAATTTAGTAAGATAGTTGCACAAGTATTTGACATGCTTGTTATTATAGATCTCAAGAGAAAATACGATATATTTGAATATCTTATTCAATATTATTTCCTTTGTTTCATCAAATAGTCCCATGATGGGTCACTTAAGTAAAATAGCAAGATAATGCATCATCACGATTTGATTGTCTGTATTTAATGTTGATGAAATTAGTCACTAAATTAGATTTTTTATTAAAAGAAAAAGAGAGATAAGTATCTCTTATTGTTAAACACCGGTACATCTGCTGACATAGATTGAAAGATTAAGTGTATGGCGTCTTTTTTTTGATGTGATTGAGTCTACTTGATTTTAATTAGCAGTTTCTGTAACGACAATTTTGTTTCTCCTCAATCCTGCTGTGAAAAGTCAATTAGCTTTAACGAGCCATAGAAGAAGCAAGTTAGCTAAAAATTCTTTCATCGTCAAATAAAAATGACATGATGATGAAAGTATAAAAGAACAAAAAAAGAATCTTGTCATTAACAATTATTGTCATCATTACATATATATATATATTTGAAGCTTTTCTCACCTGATTGTGTTATCTATGACATGACAAATCGAATAACATGCAATATACAGTCTATTTCATTTGAAATTGATCATTTAATAATAATGCTCTACCGGAAATTTGTCTTTTTTTTCATTTCGAGAAGAAGAAAATTTCTTTTTAATCAAATGAAAAAGAAGCGTGAATTCTATTTGTTCATTTCAATGATTAGCTATTTCGCTACTCTACTACTGTCAACAACAATTTCCTGACATGATGTGTGATTTTATATCTTAGTTAATAATAAAGCGAAGATTAAATTCTCTACTATAATCGAATATACACTTTCTCTTGTCTATCGATTTGCTAACAGAATTAAAGAGCAAAGCTTTGCTATTATCACCAATACGGTGTGACCTCTCATAATGTTAGCCTCAATCATTATCAAATTGACATGTTGTCGTCCTCGTATATACTTATTTTCTTTTAATTATTGTCAAAAAAAAAAGAATGAAACGATCAGATGATACATAACATTTTTATATCAAATTATGATAATAGAATGAATACTTTTTCTTTTTCTTTTTTATTAGACGTCAAATAATTTAAAGAGAAAAAAAAATTTGTCTTTTTTTCTTGTCTATTATTAATATTAGAAGTCAATTAATATTTAGTTTTGTTAATGGAAAAGAAATGTGCAATTAAATCATGATTTTCATATTAATAAAATGATGTGTGAGGAAATCAATTCATTTTTTAATTATGTGAAAATTAACAAGAAGTATAATTTGATTTCTATTTTTTGGTTTCTTAAATTGAAATAAGAAAAATAAGATATTCATATTGAAAATATCTATTTCTAAAAAAAGAGAAATGACAATTCGTGCTTAGTAATGATGTTGTTTGGCTTAATTATGATAATTAATGACAGAATTGTTAGTTAGAATTGGTGAAGCAGGTGATGTATGGATTGATTAAACCTTCTGACTTTATTTTTTTGCGCGATCTAAAAATCATCACATGTCTGTCATTATTATTTAATTTAGGATGCAAATTAAATATTGTGGTCTAATTGAAAATAACAGATTCGGATAAAATTTCAATTTGATATACATATTGAATGCATACAAAATAGTCATGTTTTTTCTTTTGCAGAATTATTATAATTCTACCTTTTGGTATGTCAGAGAAAGAAGATTCATTGAACAATATGAATTTTACTAATAATATCGAATCAAGATTAGGTTATAGTAAAATTTTCTATAATGGGCAGTTAAATGTTTTTTGTTTGAACTAAATGTCTGTAAAATAGGCTGCCGCCCTATCGTGGATAATTATTTCAATTAACAAAACATTTATGATTACAAACAAGTATATAGTATGTTGATTGTCAATTAGGCATATGATAGAGAGAGAAAAAAAAAGAAATATCCACTTTGTTAAACTCATAAAACGGAATGATGATAGCAGTGGCACATTTGCCGTATTTTATAACCATAGTGAATGAAAAAAGTATTGTGTCGAACTGAAAAGCATGAAATTTGGAGCAAGGAAATTATACTTATTAATGACAATCGAAATACTCAAGGTTTGTTGGTATAGGTGTATGTTTATCACATCCTTGTTGACTTCAGAATAAAATTTCATTAGAGATTATTTTTTTCTCATTTGTTTTGCAAAATATGAAAGACAAAATCTTTATTTTCCATCGTGTACTACTGAAATCAAGCGATGTTGTTTTTATCTAATAAATTACACAAGTGGAGAACCAATTTGCAGTTTCTTAGTCGAAACACATTGTAATCAAATAAAAATAATCTTATTATAGCTGTTTTTATGTTTGCATATCTCTGTTCATTTGAAATCATGTGAACAATAAATTTAATTTCACATGAGTCATTGTTACTAATCTATAAATACGACAATTTACTATTTTCATGCAACAATATTTTTATTCATCCTACGTAAATGAAAAATTGCATAGTTTATGAATTGAAACAATAATACTCTTAATAAGACAAATAAACATTTTCATTAAGTAATTTCGTGAAAGGAATTTGTACTCTTTTAGTATATGAATTGGTCAACAACAAAAAAATAAAATCATCATTTACCACATCTCGGTACTTTGACATCCAAATAAAAATATAAACAGTGACATTTTAAAAGAAAAATTTTGAATGGTTTGAAAAACATGTTTCGTCTTAAAATAAAAATAATTTTCGTAGATTTATTTTTAGTTAAGAAAACTTTGAATTAATTGTACAATTTTCTGTTGTTATAAATAGATTGACTCATAATTTCATTATGATATATTTAAAGTCTATTAGATTTACAATGTATGATTAGTTAATTAATAGAAATTTTCTTTTCTTGATTTTGTAAATATATTCATTAATCAAAAAAAATTAAAAGAATACAAAAAAGTATTATTAAATAAATAGAAGAGAAGTCGCAGAGATAGTCTAAAAGTTTAAGTGTTTTTTTCTTTTTATTGAAAAACAAATTAACTTAAGTATGAGCACAAATAAAAAAAACAATAACTTTAATTAATTCTGAACTGTAACCATATGTTTTGAACGTATTTTTGTTAAACCAGCATTATCAACTGCTTGATTTTGAGTAATAGATGATTTACGATGTTTAGAAACAGATGATAAAATTTGACGACCCTGTCCATCCTGTGTTACTGAACCATTAAATTGACTAGCATTTGAATCACGTTTACGATTCTTCATTACAGATGGCATACGAGCTGATGATGCTGCTGATTGTTTACGATGTGATATTGATGATGGTAGATGAACAATAGTTGAACTAATTGTTGGTTGATAATAAGGTATAAATGGTTGACGATATGATGAACATATTTGTGGTTCTATTAAATGTAATAAATGAACTGAAATATTATTTGATGATAATGTATTATTATTATTATTAATTGAAGAAATTTTAGGAAGAATAGATGATGCTGGTAATCGATTAAGTTGAATAGTTGGTATTACTAAAATTAAATAGAATATTGATAAAATAAGAGCATTTCTTTTTTATTTTGAAAATTAATTTACCTATTTGATTAGATTTTTTTTCATTTGAAGGTTTTTTATTTAATCTTAATGATGCAACTGTTTTCCAATCGTTCGAATATCTTGCTGCTTCAATTTTTGTTTCTAATAAATTGAAAATTTCTGATGAATCCGTCATTGATGATGATGATGATGATGCCATACTATTTTTTGTAGCTACTGTTCCTTTACTTTTATTAGTTGTTGGTCGTTGTTGTTGAAATGGTATTTCTTTTGACATAAATATTGTTGCTCGACATGTTTCAGCTAAATATTCAGCTAAATAATCATAACCTAATTTTCTAGCTAATTCTTCGGGTGTATTATTATAATTATCTTTTATATCAAATCTTATACGATAATGTACAAGATAATTAACAATAGCATGTACAAGAATTTCATTTCCATATTCAATAGCATAATGTAATGAACACAAACCAGATTGATCTCGTATAAGTATATCAATATCACCTGGATATGAATGAAGTAAATAAAGTGCTTCTTGTGTACAATTAAGATTTGCTGCCCAATTAAAAACATTTTTACCACAATAATCAAATACATGTGGATCAAGTTTACAATTTGTAATTAAAAATTGAAAAACTTGAAAACGTTTTCTTGAAAATATACGATTTTGATGATTTTGTTGTTTAAGGGTATGTACTAATAAATTTTGTCCAAGATTATTTTGTATATGAATATTATGACCATATTTAATATGAGATATGATTTTAAATAAATCACATTGTTCAACAGCTTCAATAAGAAAACGTTCTTGTTTAAATGACATTTTGTGAATAATAAATTAAAAAAATATATATATATCTAAAAAAGAATTAATATATTATGGTTTCTCTATTAATTAAATATATATAGAAAAAACAACATTGTTATAATGTTAGTTGAACGATAATATTCTCGAATTTTCTCTTACGATCTGCGAAAAGGATTAGAATCTTTATTTTTTCTTTTATTGAAAAAAAATAGTAGAAAAAATAAATCTCTTATAATCGAAATGAAATAATAATAATAAGATTTGACGATTTTAATCATTGTGTGTATATACTGATGTTTTTTTCTTTTAGAGACGACGAAGAAAAAAAAAGAAAAAGAAATTTTGATCGTAATGCAGACTGATTGAGTGTCACACACTCAACTATTTTACATTAATAATCATTATATCCTTCTTACATTTATATATTCTTGTCTAAAGAAAAAACGTATATACTACTTATAACACATGTATTTATTGTTGTCAAGGTTATGTTAACAATGTAAAGATCAAATCGTATTCTATATTTAAAATATAGGTGAGAGAAATGGCATTGAAGTTTAGTAGAAAAATGAATTCATAAAGTTTTTTATATTAAAAAGTGTGAATTTATAATTTTATCATTTCATTGTATATATAAACAAAAGTATAATGATTAACTATATAATATTAGTTACTATATTAATGAGTGTATTAAGCACTGAAATCTACGAGAGAAGCAATTTGTAATTGTCAAAGCACTTTTATTGACATTCATAAAAACGTCATTTTTTGATCTATGTGATTTAGAAGTTAGACACTCGATCAATTGATTTATATTTCAACCATAATAGATGACATCAACTACTTTGATCTTTATTATAATTTGTTTTTATACATGCACATTTACATATTTATTGACGAAAATATGAAAACTTCACTTGCTCTCAATCAAAAAGAAACCTTTTGATTCTCATGAATCTGTACATTAGTTATAAATATACTAATATCATATTTAAACATTTACTTACAATGACGTAAAATACTACCTATTAAAACAGTCTGATTTGATTTTTTTTAATACAATGTCTTTCTTTTTATATATATTACCATTTCTTTTTTCTTTTCTTTTTTCTTTCTCTACGATTATTCATCAAGAAAAGTTAAAATTTTCATAGCGTATTTATGAGTTAATAACAATTATTTAATGATCGCTATTTTACGTTCTGCAGTCTGTAGCCGAACATGACCCTAAGTAAATTTATTTTTTACCATGTAACTTCAAAGTCAACTGAAGTCTGGAAAACAGAATTGTTTTCTACTTGTCAAGATATTAAATATTCATTTGTCTAAAAATGCTTACTAAAAATAGAATAAAACATTTGAAAGTCAGCATATTCAATGATCTTTTTTTTGTAGTCTATGAAATATCACATATTAAGTGATGACAATATGTGCGCATTTTAATATTTTTGTTCTGTAAAAGTTTATATATTTTTATACCAACAACAGAACAAAAACAACATTTCAAACGATGAGATACACAGAATTGCATTGAATAATACTAAAATAGATTAATTGGTAGATCTTTTATTTTGTTTTTGTATGTTTAACATTATCAGTAGGTAATGGGTTTTTATTACAGACAACTGTTACTAACGATTTTGCTATTCTTGGCTCTTCCAAATTGAATGTCTTCTCATAAAATACTACTAACTCGAACTATTTCATAAGATTCATTATGAGAAATTTTTTTTGTTTATGATAAATCTATAATTACAATATGTAATCATTTGATTCGTGTGCTTCTAAGAAATAAAAAGATTTCATCATTGATTTCATTATTTAAGCAGTAAACTATTGATTGAATAGAACGAAAAAAACACGTATCTAATGATTGTATTATACGTACTAATTTTACCTGCACATGTCTATTCTTTAACAATTGTGATTATCAGATTTTCTCTTCTTTTTTGCCTTGAATGATATGTCTAGACAAAATGATTGAATAAGTTAATGGAAAAAAAACTAAAGAACAAATATAATTGTATTATTTAGATTTATTTTCAAAATTAAATGTTTAGTAAAATCATTGTAAAAAGATTCATCTGTACAACTGAACATGAAAGAATATTCTTTTGTTTGTCACACTCTTCGTTTCGTTTCTCGACGGAAATAGTTCTCGATGTCATTTATTGTACACTTCACTTTCTTATTTACTCACGCGTCAACAGTAAGAATAAGAATATCAATAATCGAAATTCATATATAAATGAGACAAAGAAAGAACAACGACGACGACAAGTAAAGGTCTATTTATTTTCTTCTTTTCTCTCTATGTAGGATTAATCTATACAGTATTGATGATTTTTGTGATGAACATGTTCTTTTTACTTGTTCTACTATTTTGTTAAACATGCCGCTATTATTATCGTCGCGTCATTTCTAACAAAATTTCTTCTAAGAACAAGATGCAAGTATTAAATATATTTAATCAAAGATAAAAGTCAATTCATTAATTTTGACCTAATTACAATTGATGACCTAGAAAGAATAATATCAAATAGAGACGACAATTGAATATTGACTTTATATTTTGTCTGTCTTTACAGAAGATTCATGTTCAATGACTTGTTATTTTATATATTATCCACGAAGATATCAATACAAAACAAAATTATACGTTGTTATTATGTCTATAGAATTTCTACTATATTAACTCTTTACTTATATATATATTAATAACAGACAGTATTGAAAACAAATCCAATAATGAATATTAATATAAATTTTCTTATTTTATTTATGTTTTTTATTCAACAAATCAGTACACAGATACCACCTGTTGTACCATTAACAAGTAAAATTAATTAATAAATAATTTATTAAGATATGAAATTTATTCTTTATTTTTAATAGATGCATTAACAGCTATTTATTGTCATAATTTTAATGATGTTGGTATCATGACAATACGTTGTGGAACAAATGAAAAAATACGTATGTTAGATGCATTTGATGTTGTTGTAAAAAATAAAACACATCTACCATTACAATGTTTAAAACAAAAACATTTTTCAATGGTACATGGTGATATTTCAAATAAAGCGGATTGTAAAATTCATACAAGTTTTACATCAGCATGTTCTGGTAGAGAGAATTGTACATTACATATGCAACGTATACGTTTAAATAATGCTAATGAAAATTGTCATAATGAATTAGTTGATTATACAATGGCATTTTTTGAATGTATATCAGGTATAAGAATTAAAAAAGCAATAATGAATTTCTTTTTAAAAAAGAAATGATTGTTTTCAGATGTATTTATTCATGATATATGTTCAACACAAGCAATAACATCTGCTTGGGGTACATTAAAAACACCGAATTTTCCAAATCCTTATACATCAAATGATGATTGTTGGTGTAAATTATCAACACAATTACAATATCGTCTTTTACTTTCTGTTATTATCTTTCAATTAATTCCATATGATCGTTTGTATTTTCGATTTTAATATATACAGATTTTATTTTATTTTTTTTTAGAAAATTGTACTGGTGCTGGATTATATTTACAGAGTAGTAATGAACAACGTAGTACTCAATGTACTTATTTACAACCAGGACATAATTATTTAAGTGATGGAAATTCATTATATATTAATTTCTATAGTCGAACATTAACTGTACGTGGAGGATTTTGGATTATATATGAAGGTTTGAATTTTTATTTATTTATTTATATTATCATAGTATTATTTTTGTTTTTCTCATTGAAGCAAGTCAACCTAATGCTGAAGTTCATTTACAATGTGGACCACGAAAAATACTCGGTGTACCATCCGAAGAATTGTTTACCTCGCCACCACCTGTTTCATCATCATATACTCATGGTTGGAATCGTTTAGTTTATAATGATCCACCTAATCCAAAAGGTTTAATTAATGATCATATAATGCATATACAATCGGTTGCTGCAACATCTCGTTCATTCCTTGATAGAAATTTTAGTAAGTATTATAATGTAATCTTAGATCAAGGTAAACATACATACGTATATTCTCACCTAAACTTTGGCATTTGATAGATTTTACTTAGTAATGATATGATAATCTTTTGAATGAAGGAATAGAAAAATGATTGAATTTTTTACTATTGATTTGTTATTTTATATAGAAAGTAATTCGTCAACAACACTAGCCAGTGCTTTCACATATCCATATGGTAATTTAACAACATTTGAATTAGCTTATGGACCCCGAGGATGGTTTCTTAAATATCCATTGAATTCGTCCAATATGACAGCAACGAAAGTTTTACAATCAACAACAACTGAATTACCAGTTTTTAAATGGAATTCTACGTGGCGTTATATTCGACGACTACGAACTAGAGTTTTTGTAACAACAACAAGTACTAGTACCACAACTACGATTACGACTACGACCCTCTCGACTACTACGATCACAACGCCAACGACAACATTAGGTATCTATTTTTCGATTAAAATTATAATATAATAACAAATCTAAATTCTAGAATTGACTACTATTATAATACCTACAAGTACATCTATGATTATAACTACTGAACAAGATATCATTCCTTTGTCATCAACAATGGTTTCTATTACTACTTCACCACAAAGTATTGCTGTTGAACAACATTTAACAGTTACTGACGAATCAAGAGTATATGACAGTTCCACTGACACAGAAATCTTGACAACAATGCTACCTAACATTCAATCAACGATAAATTTACCAGTATCATCATTTATGTTAAAAACTACTATACCTACAGCAACACCTTATTATCCACCGGATGGTCCATTTGATTGGTGGCAATGGCAGGGGTATAATAAAAAATTTTCGACAGTATCTTTAAAAATTCTTACTACTACTGCGACTACGACTACTACTACGACCACCACCACTACTACTACTACTACCATTCAGACATCAATATCTTCTACACAAACAAGCACAACAACTATAACGATAACAACAACGGCTAGTACAACTAGAGCAAGTACTAGTTTGTCTGCTCGGAATAGAATTATGAAACTAAGTAATACAACACGTACAATACCTATTACCAGTACAAATGCAGTAACTGTTGATTGGTTCAAATGGCCACATATTGAATCAAGTTCATCTACAACAACAACAACAGCACGATCTGATTACTATGATGATGATTATTTTGAATGGCTTGATTCTGTTGAAACAAATAAATATCAAACTACAATAACAACAAATCCTTTTCTATCTATTGTACCTCTATCACAAGGAAAACAATACCAACAAATGAGTTTTTTACCAACAAAATCAAATCAAAATATTAATAATTATGGTATGATGGCCGATACACCATCTTCAAAAAGATATAATACACAACAAAATATCAGTACAATTTATGGTAAAGATTCTTTAGCAAAAAATCAACTGAATGGTAAATTTTTTTTAAAAATAATTTACTTGAGCTAAAATCTCAATTTATTTAGAAGAAATAACAAATATCACTGAACCACGAAATAAAAAGGATTCGGAAGAATACGGCTGGTTAAGTAAAACAGGTATATCAGATAACGAAAAAAAAAACATGTTTAATTTAGTATAAAAATTTTATATTTAGATATGATGATTGTAACTGTATCAGTACTATTTGTTATTCTGTTAGTTTTTATTAATATAATTTTGTTTGCTGTTCGAAGGTGAGTAGGACAAAAAAAGCAATCATTTAAAATACATTTTATTAATATAAAAAAAATCAAACTTTTTAGGCATCGACATCGATTACAAGGACGACATTTACTTTCTACATCATTTCCATCATCAACAAATAATCGAAGCATATCAAATAATCAATTACATAGTGCAAAATTAGGTGATTCTACAGATAGCCTAATTAATATAACGAATAATAATAATAATGATATATTACCAGCCGTTGGTAAATAGAAAATTTTGAAAAAAAAACATAAAAGTTATTGATTTTGTTTTTTTGCAGGAGAAATAGTACTATGGGATGAAAAAGATCAAGGTGGTTATACGATCGATAATCATGGTGAATGGGCAAAGATTGAAGGACGACAATGGTTAGCTAATGATAATATACTTGAAAATTCAGGCAAACTATCATCTTTTTCGAAAAGGTTAATTGATTATATAAAATTCTACATTGAAAACATAGAGAAAATTCCTTCTGCTACAATAGGGAAAAAATTCGATTTATAATCTTTTAGAATCCTTGAAAACATTGCTATTAGAATATTTTCTATTGATAGTTTTCGATCACATTTTCAATTTATGCGTCAATCAAATAAAAAATCGAATCATGGTCATCAACAGGTTCCAGCTTCACCAAAAATACAACAACAACAAATATCCTCATTTCCTCTTCCTGTAGATAGTTAGTATATTTTTTTCTTGTAGATAAAAACAAGATTCAATCTTTTAATCATATATATTTCATTTTAGCTACTACACTTTCACCTGTACCCGAAGCTGATGATTATCAATCATCAGAATTTAGTTCATCCGATAGGATTCTTCGAAATTCCGAAACAAAACCTAAAAATTCAAATAAAAAACATCAAGAAGTAAATCTATATAGTATTTATTTTAATTCTATTGTATATTAATTAGGCAATAAAAGCTGTTCAAGCATTGATACATACAGAATATAATCATAGTGATGATTATTATAAACGAATAGAAAGTGGTGGAGATGATTCAAATTATACAACAATGCATGAAAATGCTGGTGAAGAATATTCTATAGCTGATCAACAAACTGATCGAAGTTTAGGAAATGAAACTGATGTTGGAGGATCTGTTATTATCAGTGTACCAACAATGTTAAAACGAGAAGATGATATTGGTATAATAACTGATGGTGTGGACTCTATTTATAATCAAAATTATTCTATCCATTCACGTGAAGTAAAAATAAAATTTTCTATTTATTTATTTATTTATTCATCTTTCTTTATTAAAGACTACAAATCAATCAAACTATCTTCAAACAAATAATACAAAATTATTTACTAGTAAACAATCAACTAAAACATTTAAACCCATAACAAATAATTCAATAATTGTTGGTCATTGTCAAACAGATATTTTACCATTAGATCCAAAAATTTTCGATAAAACATTATTAGCTGAACATCATCAATTTTATAGTTGTTCACAATCATTACAATTCTCAACATATGATTCAGGATTTTTTGATGATCAAACAATTAATAGTTTACCAATGACATTAACAAATGAACCTATAAGTAATGATAATATTTCCTCTAGTGAAACAAATGATAGTTCACCACCAAATAGTTTATCAAAAAGAAATTTAAAAACAATTCGACAAAAACAAACATATACTGTTAAACTTTGATCTTTACTTTTGTTTTTTTTATCTATTGTCTTGATTATACTTTGAATATAATATACGAAATAAACATTCTTATTCTTTAAAAAATTATATAATGAAATTAATATTTCTGTACTACCTAACCTTTTATATTCACAACGAATAGAATATTCTGTTTGTTAATATCTATTTAACTATCAATAGAATGAAATATTTCCTAGATTGACTATAACACTTCAATGTAAAATGTTTGTTATACATAAAGAATATAAAATGAAAGGTTTCATTACTTTGGTATAAATCTTATGTTCTTCAATACAGTTATTTATCATCAATGTCAAGATTTTAATTTCAAGCTTGTTACAATAAATAAATAATATTGTCAATTGATTCTATATGTGAATTACATACATATAAGTCTTATGTCAAAAGATACATAAATATTTCACTGCACTTCGCTTGATTACTTCCACTAAATGATTTTATTCCTTTTTTTTAATAAAGAATAAACACACACACACACAAATACTAATGTAGTCAAGCACATGACCAAGTAAGATGTCCTGATGATGATGGACCATTTTTGAGTACATTGTGTAATACTCTATCAAGTAGTGCTTGTTTCAAACCTACTTTAAGTCGATGTTCACAAAGATAAAGAAGAGTATCTGATGAACCCCATAAAGGTTGTCCAATAATAAAGTCATGCATTTTTAATGTAGCTAATAATATTAAAAGTGTTCGATCATCAAATCCATATGATCCATCATATTGATAGCGTATGTGACAAAGTGAAACACTTGGTTCTTCAACTTCAGTCTCTTCTACAATTGCTAAAATAGAAAAATGATACTTAAAAGTTTTGTTATTCTATAAAATCGAAATTTTTTTCTTCTTTATACATTTTACATGTTAAACACTCGAAATAACTTATAATAAAATGTTATTGTTTTTCTTATTTTCTTTCAAGTACTTATAATAAAAACTGCTTTTGTCCAAGTATACAATTATGAACAAGAATAAATGTTCATATCATAAAATGATCATTAGTCAACAAATAATTCTCGATATATAATACTTACTATTTCTTGTTGCATATAAAATCAATAGAATTAGTATAATAATACCAATAATTATGAATTTGTATGATATAGGTTGTGGTTTAGTTGCTTCCATTCTATATTAGTCCAAATGACAAAAGAATAAATGAGTTAGATTTACTGTTATTGTATGATATGATGTATGTTTTCGGTTTTGTTTTTGGTAAAGAAAACGGAGAAACTCACATACGTTGCTTTCTATGCAAAAATAGTAATGAGGTGCATAAACAATTTTCTTATTTCGTCCGCTCGCCTTCTTTTTTTTTGCTTCTCTTTCGTTCGCATTTTTTTTCTGCATGATGATACTCTTTATTCGGTATTCAATGTTATAATATACATTAACTTTGTAATTATAGATCACCATTAAGACAACTGACGATGGTTACGACTCATTAATCGTCGATGATTTTCTAATCAAGATGAACGTTTTTTTAAATATTGTTTTTGTAAAAATTTTGTCATGTCACACTACCACTGAATACAAGATAAGACACGTTATTGATGAAAATTACTTATCGCTACAGAAGTTATTTTGTTATTGATATCTACCTAAATATTTGTCATTGATTTTTAATATCGAAACACAATAGAAAAGATGCGAGATTTTTTCTCTTTTAAAATGCAAATAGGAATAGTTGAAGTATTTCATTACTAAGTCAACAATGAATATCTCATTCATGTTTTCATTTTTTTAGTTAAAATAATTTATTTTTTTCTATTTTCAATAAAAATATATCTGCATATAAATAAGTTTTTCGATAATTTATACTAGAGACCAAAATAATGATCTTATAGTGAAAAAAATTATTTTTATTGATTAAACATATATGTTAGACATAAAAATAAAGGATTGATTAAATGATTAAGGACAACGTAAAGAACGAACAAACTACTATACAAATGATAAAATAAGGGATAAAAATAATTATAATAATAATAATAAGACAAGAAATATTTATTTTGATTATTTTGGTGATATTGGTAATTGAACAACATCAACAAATAATTGTTTGAATTGTTCTAAGCGAAATGTTAAATTATCTAATTGAAAATGTAATTCGTGGTTTTGATTTTTTAATTCAGCATGTCGAGCGTTTAATTGATCTCGTTCATTTTTTTTCTTAATACGGTATTTTTCAGCTGCTGTTTTATTTTGATCTTTTTTTCTTAATTTACGGTCAATTGTTGAAAGATCTCGTTTTTTTGTTGATCGTTTTTCAACTGTTGAAGACGTATGACTTGCTGATGAAAGTGATGGTGATGGTGGTACTATCATATCTTCCGTATAATTTGATTCAACGGTACATTCACCAGCAATCCATGGAGATGTTGAATCTTCTACTGGATAAAATGCTGAATCATCAGACATTGATGAATTTTGATTATTTATTGATGAACATGGAAATGATGCTTTAGTTAGATAATCCTCAAATGTGACATTCTCAAGGTCACTTAAAACAGGTAAATCAAATGTTGAAAATAAATCATCTTGTTGTTGATTATTATCATTATTTTCATAAGGGATATCTTCGGATGCTAATAGATGTTCATTTTTTTTCGACATCATCGAAGAAAATTGAACATCGTTATCATCAGAGAGAAATACATCTTCTGATGTAAAGATGGGATTTCTCTTATTAACACCACCATGATGGATGATGGGTGTTAAGAGGTCGGTGGATTGATTGAATTGGAAATGCATTTTGTTTGTTTATGTTTGAAACCGATAATTCGGAAGTATTTGTGGCGAATGCCATTGTAAGGTTCATAATTAAGCTACAAGAAAAAGAAAACATAATTAATTTAATTATTTATACTACATAAGAAATATTTGGGAAAAAATGTGTTTTTTCAATTGACTACCAAAATAAGATGCTCAAATCGTAACTCTATCATTAGAGGAATAGTATCCCTTTTTTTTCTTGAATTCAATACAGTCATGTATAATAAAACATTAATAGATGTTCTTAAATGACATTGCATTAGACTAGATATATTATTTCGATTTTATTTTAATCGTAATAGAATTGTCTAGACTTATTTGAAATAGTATTGTGTTAACTTACTTTTAAAAAAGCACAGAAAAATTGTGCTAGTAGCCGAAGCTGAGGCGCCTAAAAGGGGCTCGACGTTGTCATACGATTAACATTGTTGAATAAGTCAAAAACATAAAATACTGATGCAATATATATGATGTATGAAAGGTATTTTTCTCATGACTCAAGACAAACATGATGCAATGCTCATGAATCATACATGACATATAAAGCACCAAGAAAGATTTGATTTTTATCTCACATTTCGACGAAAGTACTTCATTTCAAGTTGGTAATACATAAAAATAAGCGAAAAAAAATAAAATCTCTTAGAAAAAATATGTTTTATATATATAAAACAGATGTCGCTAATTTGCTAATTAATTCAAACTGCGCTCAGAGTACGATTTTAGAGATCATTCTAATAAATTTCGAGATAAAACGATGTTTGAAACAGAATATAACAATGAAATTCATTCATCGAATGTATCATTGACAAATACCAATATTTCAGTTGTATGTAATTAGTTTCTGAATTTTAATTCATAATTATTCTAAATTTCTTAGTTTGATTATGTTCAAAAACTAATTAAATTACCAGAATTAACAACTGACATGTGGACAGAGGAATGTATAAAGATTCTAGAAGATTATCTATCATCAAATCAACAAAAACTTCTTATTGTTTATGTTGATCAACATAATTCTTCTTTACAACTTCTTCATACAATTCCATTAACTACTATATTCAATAATTTAAATCATAGTTTATGTTATTTCATTCGCAGAAACGATGCAATAGATGCAATAACATCAATTGATGAATTTCTAAAACATATTCGATTTGGATATATAAATGGAAAATCTATTTCATGTATAACAGCATTTGTATCTTCACTCTTTGAACCATTATTTATGAATAATACTATTGTACAGGATAGTAGGTTCAGAAATATTCAATATATATTTATCTAGGTTTAATGAGTTATTTTCTAGTGATTAAAAATGATTTTGTTAGTGAATTAAATCAATTTTTAGCCATATTTTATGAAAGACAATATAAAGATAAATCATCTATGACATATCTATTTATTCCAAAAGATGGATTAGATAAAACAATTGAAGAACTTATTAAAGATAAAGCATTTATTACAAGATCTGAAGGTATAATTGTCTTTGAAATCTAGAAGTTTGTACAAAGATCAATAAAGATTATTTCGTAAAACTCGACAGGAATGAAACTTTTTCGACTTGACGCTGTTGTTGTATGGAAATATATGTTAAGACCAAGTTTTGAGTATTTTATGAATATTTAACGAGAGATCCTCACACAGAATATCGTTTTTAAAATAATAAATATAAATTTCTCTAGCTGTTATGCTCAAATGGCATCATCAATTGAAAAATATTTTACTTATTCAAGATCGTTTAATGAGTATAGAAAATCAATTAACTGGTATTCATGAAGAAATTCATTTTTGGCAAGATTGTCTTACTGATCTTCATAATATTTGTAAACAATTACAACGAACTGAACTACAAACTATAATTCAAGTATTAATCATATCGAAATCTGCTTATATTCAACAATTTTTACAAGTAGAAAAAGAAATTCAAGTAAAGGAAGATTTCATATATATTCTATAGTTTATAAAATATAAATATAGAGTTTTACTGAATATGTTGAAGACTGTTTGAAATTTTTAAAACTTCTTGCTGAACCATCTCTTCAATTAAATGATGCGCCATTGGCACAATTAAAACCTCTAATTGTTGACATCTTCTATAGAATTTTAATTGCTTGGCATAACTCAAAATTCTTTGCAATTCCTGAAAGAGTTAAATTAATTATTAGTAAAGTTAGTAATTATATTTAATTTTGAAATTTGCTTTTTAACTTGTATATAGATAAACAATCAAATCATTAGTCGATGTTCTCGTTCAATCAACATTGAAAATCTTTTTCAAGGTTATGTTCTATCAACACAGAATATTCTTCAAGAATGTTTTCAAATCATTGATATTTATATGGATACATGTTTATATGTTAGAATTTTTATTTTTATTTTTATGAATCATGTTCTATTTTTATAAATTATAGATTTTGAATATGCATGATAAACATTCGAATAAACCATTAATGATAAATAATTTACATAAAGATGATATTTTTCATTCAATTCAATTATTTCAACAGCGATTGAATGAAATCTATGAAGTATATTTATTTATTTTGTCGCTAGACAATAAATAAACAAAATATTTTCTTTAGATTTGTGAATGTATGATAATTTTCGGATGGTATCGAAATGGTCAAAAAGAAAATTTACCACTTTTTAGTGGTATTCAGGGTACTGAATATCAGCGTACACTTGAAAATAGTCAACAAGCATTTGATCGAACATTATATTTATTAAAACGACATTCAAAATATATGCTTGATATTTCTACAAATGCTTCTTCAATATGGTCTCAAGAGTTAAAACGGTAAATCAGTTGTAGCGAAGTACATTGAACTACAGAAAGACAGTTAAATATACAAATGTACTAGTTGATCGAACAAGAAGTTCGGCTTTTCAACGATTTTGTAGTTTAGAGTGCTCTCCGGAGACACTCTTGAGTATCCGATCTCTTCTTTACCACAATGACTAGCTGTAGTTCTAGATAGAACATCGGTTATAAGATTTCGTATAGATCGCACATACACGTTAGTTATTTTGATGATCAAAGTATTTGAATATTTATTTAAGTTTCTTCGAATCTATTCATGAAATTGAATTAATTATTGTTAAATTAATCAATGAAGCAATAACAAAAGCAATTACTATCGAACAAATGATTGATATACTCGAAATATTTGTTAATTTTCAATCACGAACTGTATGCTTTACTGTATTTATTATTTCAATATATTTTTATTTATTTTCTTCTTAGATTATCAATCATATTCTTATTGACAAAACTCGTGATATTTATCGTTTATTTCTTTCCGAAATTGAAGATATTCAAACTCAAATAGCTGCTCATCAAACATTAGATGATATGAAAAATACAACAAATATTTATGATCTATTTCTTCCACATTACTCTGCGAAAGCAATGTGGATTCGTAGTTTAATCAAACGTATTACTAAAAATTATAATCTTCTTATTCAATCATCAAATTTACCTGATTTAATACAACAAAATGATATTAAATTTGCCTATGAAAAATTCTTAACATTTGTTGATAATATTGAAAAACGTATCTATCAAGAATGGTGGTTATTATCAAGTGAATTACAACCGAAAAAATTATTACAAAAACCATTTTTAAAAGAAAATATTGAAAATAAATATTTCATTGATGTTTATTTTGATCCACAAATAATTCTTGCATTAAATGAAAGTTTATGGTGGATGAGATTAAATTATGAAATACCTTATTCATTAACTGATGTTTATAATACAAGAAAATCATTTCGACAAATGAGAGAAGAAACCAATGAATTTATTCGAAAATTTAATAAGTATAGAAATCTAAAAAATAAACGTATTGATTAAAATATTTGTTTTTAAGGATAATTGATTCTCTTCATGGTCAAGAATTATGTTTATTTGAAGAACATATTCGAACAATTATTAAAAAATTACAACCGGGTTTTCTTGGAAAAGTAAATTATATAAATGAAAATAGTTTCCATGATTTCGCTTCTGAAGCAAATCGTATTATTGATCAGGTTTTAAAAACAAAAATTTTAAAATATTATTCACTTTTATTATTATTTATTAGCTAAGTGATATAGTTACATCTTTTAAAGAAAATTATGTTAAATGTTCGATGAAATGTGTTAATATTAGTCAACAATTATTTATTAAAACTGATGCTGGTATTATTTTCAATTTTTCAACATTTATTGAATCACTCGTAAATTTTGTTTTTACTCATATTAAATAAATATTAATTTTATTTCGAATTTTTAGAAGTCAGTTAATCGTGTAAGCCAATATCTTATTCATGAAATGTATGAAGATATTGCAGTTGGAATTCATATACAACAAGTGATATTCAAAGACAATTCAGATAAAGTAATTCATCTTTCATTTTTATTTGATTACATCTATGATCTAATTTCTTCGTGTATGACTTATTTGTATATAGATACTTCAATGTTGGGATCATTGGTTAAGTTCAATTGATTGTATGTTTGAAAAAGCTTTACTTGTTAATGTAACAAATTCTCTTGAACAATTATCCTATATAATCAATGGTGATATTCAAACAATACCGACACCTTTTCTTAATATTGAACTTTGTTTGACTACGAATGAAACAACAAGTGGAAGTTTGAAATATACAGTAATTTCTTATTTAAATTAAACAATTACGAATTAAAATCATTTAGTTAACATTTCGACCATCACTTGAAGAACTAACGGAAAATTTAAATGCAATAAGTCAAATTAATTTAACAGAATCAATTCAACATTTTACACGTTTATGTGATCTCTTTTCTTATTATTCATTTCAACGAGAAGTAAATACATTTTTTAAAATACAGTCGGATCCACTTATAACAAAAAGTGGCTCTTGTATCCAGAGCGCCTTTCTATGCGAACTATATATAAAACAGTGTAAAAAATGATTCTTGTCAATATTTATTTAGTAATACATATACATACATAAGTTTACTTAAAGAAATCCGTAGTTTTACTTTGAGTACGATTAATGAAAATGTTCTTTTCGATCATGTCTTCGATATCATAAAATGAGTTGTAATCTGTAAAATTCTCTTCCAAATACCTGCGAACCACCGAAAGATGTATGAGCACATCTTTATGAGAGACACTTGGCGTCGGTTTATCAACAATTTTGGCTTCTTCCTCTAAATCAATCTTCCCTTGTCGATTTAGTCTCACTGAATCGCAAATTTCGCCACCTGTAAGATTTCCAAAACATCCGGCTTCCTTATCACAATCGACGAACGCTTTGAAATCTTCTTCGTTTTGCTTTATGTTCTTAACCGTAGAATAGTCGATGTTGAAATCTTTAGCCACAGGGTCTGTCTTTTTGGATTTCAGTGCTTCCAAATTTCTAAATTTTTGTTCAGTCGTTAATTTGCAACGTTTACCGCTGGGAGATGCCATTCTTTGAAAAGTAAAGATTCGACGAAAAATGAGGAACAATATATAGAACGAAAGTAGAAGGAAAAACCCCATAGATGATGAACATGGAAGAAAGAAGAACGGAGGAAAGGAAAAATCCATCATATATATATGACAGGAAAGAAAAAGAAGAAGAACATAAATGCATATTTATAATCATATAGATAAACAAGCTCTTATAAGTAGATTCGACTGTATATATATTTTTTTGTTTAATATTCTAGCCTTATTATATTGTTATTAATAATAATTCAATGAAACAAAAATTACAAAATAAAATAAGTTTAGGTATTGAAAATTGTCTATTAGAAATACAAAAATATATTGAAAATAATTGGTTTCGTTTTCGTCAATTATGGGAAGTTGATAAAGAAAGTTTTATTACTGTTTATGAATCTGAAAATACAGATCTACAAGGTTTAGAAGCAGATATTGCTCGGTAAAATTTATTTAAAAAGAAAAAAATCGATATGATTTTTTTTATATTCAATTAAAGATATACAGAAGTTGCAAATAATATAAATAATCAGGAGACAATTGTTAATATACGAATGATACAAATCGATTGTACATCATTTAAAGTATCATTAGTACAAATTTGTCATGAATGGCAACAAAGTTTAATACGTATTGTATTAGTTCGATTAGAAAAAGATCTTCAAATGATATCTACATTAATTGCAAATAATACAGAAAAGTAAGTAAAATTTAACAAAAACTAGTTTATTATGTATCAGTGTTGTTCAGTAAGGAGAAATATCTGAGTGTATCGTAAGATGATTATTATAGCTCTAAAAGAGTACAATCATAAGGAAATATGTTCAATAAATGCAATTGATATTATCGATCTGAGAATAATGTCTAATCACTTTATTAAATCTTTCACAATTTCGAACTTATATAATATTTCACTTGTTCTTACAACGGTTTTCGGGTGATATGTGTAGAGAAAAGCCAATAGGTTTAAGTTAGTTCATTACTACATTCAGTGTTTTATCTAGTTTTCTTTTTCGCGTTGATTTGCTGATCAAATTTAATATATTTCTTACGTCAATTGTATTTTTATATTTAATTAGAATAAATATTCTTCCTAAAACTTATGATGAAATTCCAATTTATCAACAATTTATCGATGAACTTAAAGTAGATATTCCAAGAATTGAAGCTAAATTACCATTAATCGATGAAGAAATGACTTTATTAATTCGATATGAAATTGAAATTGATTCGAAAGTTAGTTAATTTACAAGAATTTTCTAGATAAAATTACAAATTTTTCCTCTTTTTCAGTTATTAGAACAATATCGTTCATTATCTCGTCATTGGGATAATTATAAATTTCTACTTGATGAATCAATAACTTCATTTAAACGTATTAAAGTAAATAGGATACGATTCGAATTTCGATATGAATACTGTTATTGATTAAATTCATTTTCTTAATATTAGGAAACTTTTAAAAGTCAATTACAAAAAGAACATGAAAAAAATCAAAATGAAATAGTTGATTTACAAAAATATTTCAAAATTCTTGGTCCACATCAAGCAGATATGTCTATAACAATTGCTTTGAATGATTGTAATAAAATAGAAGAACAAATCGAAGAAATAGAAAATGATGAAAAAAGATTAAAAATTGCCTATCGAATATTTCAAATAGATATGAATGTTTCAAAAGATTTACAAAATACTAAAAAGGTTATTTTGTTTTTGTTTTTTTCGAAATTAATTAACAGAAAAAAATCTAGGATATTGAAATACTGAAATCAATTTGGTTATTAGCTAAGGAATATGAAGAAATATTAACAAAATGGAAAACAACTGAATTTCGTCAGTTACATATTGATGAATTAAATGATTTTGCTCAAAATCAATATAAAAAATTAATAAAAATGTCAAAAGAATATAAAGTAAAAATTGAAATTTTATTCAATGAAATTACTAAAAATTTATATTTAGGAAAAATCCTGGGGTATTCTTGATTCACTTCGTGAACGTATTGATACATTTCGTCGTATAATACCTTTAATTGAATCTTTACATAATCCACATGTGCGTTCTCGTCATTGGGAACAAATAAAACATGAAACCGAAAAAAAATTTCAGCATGAATCAAATCAATTCACACTTGAACAAATTCTTAATTTACATTTGTATACATTTTATTAATTAAAGGAACTTTTTTTAAAATTAGGTTTATTTAGTGAAGATAATATTCAAGTAATTACTGATATATCAGAAAATGCAACAAAAGAATATTCAATAGAACAAATGTTAGATAAAATTAATCAAATATGGAATCATCTAATATTTGAAACGACATTACACAAAGCAAATGTTTATAAAATAAAGTAAGATCAACTAAATTTCGAAAGATTTTACTTTTAATTTTTGCTCATCAACATTGAAAAAAAGGTCTTTGATAGAGTCATTAGGCACTAAATTGACATGAACGGCTGGATTACGTCTCCCTGATTTTAGAATTCATTCTCAAAAGGGTCCCGTTTCAATGATTTATTTACCCGATGATCCAGAGTTGGAACCGGACAGATTTATTTCCATCCGGCCGGATCGGTTCCTACTCTGATACGCATTATAATTCCTGGCATGATGTTTAAAATGAAAAAATAAATAAAGGTTACTTTTGTAAGAAAAAACTTGGAAAAACACGTATAATTTTAAAGTATTATGAACTAGTGAAAATCTGGTTTTGTCTGGCCCGGTCGGACCGATTCCAACTCTGCGATGATCCTCTTCATCTACTCTTTCAGTGTTTTAGTACACCCCAGATTACTAAATTCAATAATAGTTGAGAATTTCAATCGCGTAATCACAATATTTTATTTCTAGAGCTCCTGATGAAATAATTCAAAATGTTGAAGAACATACAGCTCAAATTTCAACAATTAAAGGTACTCGTCATATAAAACCATTTCAAAATGAAATTAATTATTGGGAAAAATCTATATCACAAATATCGGAATTATGTGATGGTTTATTTGATGTACAAAAACAATGGTTATATATGGAAGGTATATTTACTTCTGACGATGTACAACGACAATTATCACATGAAACAACTGAATTTCAATATATTAATAGAATTTGGCAAGATGAAATTCTAGTTAAAATTCGTGAACATCCAAATGTATTATATGTTGCAACAAAATTAAGTTTGTAGATAAACAATAAATTTGATATTTTGTTCATAAATTAATTTTTTACTTTAGATTTATTTGAAATAATACAAAATTTATTGAGAAATTTAGAAAATATTCAGAAAAAAATGGAAGATTATTTAGAAACAAAACGTTCGATATTTCCACGTTTTTATTTTATATCAAATGAAGAATTAGTTGAAATACTTAGTCTTTCTCGTCAACCTGATCTTATTCAAATACATTTAAAAAAACTTTTTGATAATATTAAAAATTTACGTTTAGTAATTAAAAAAACAATTCTAGCTAATGGAATTATTTCAAATGAAAATGAAGAAATTAATTTAATATCAACTTTATTATTAGAAGGTAACGTTGAAATTTGGCTTAAAAATCTAGAAATTAAAATGCAAATTACAATACGTGAATATTTAAAAAATTGTTTATCAGCATTAAAATTACAATTAACAAAACGTAATAAATGGATTAAAGATTGGCCAAGTCAATGTTGTATAACAGCTAGTGAAATTGAATGGACATCAGCAACAACAAAAGCTTTATCAAATTGTCAAGTTGATGGAAATTTAAAACCATTAAAAAAATTATTTCGTACTCATGTAACTATATATGAAAGAATATCTTGTAAAGATCTTTGAGTTTATAGATTAAAATTCTTGATCGTTATTCAGCTATGAGTCATTTATCACTTGATAAAATTCTTCGTCTTCGTATTATTGGTATTATTACTAAAGAAGTACATGGTCGTGATATTATCGAACGATTAATTAAAACTCAAACAATGAATATTCATTCATTTGAATGGCAAGTACAATTGAGGTTTTATTGGGAACGATATGAACAAACTGAAGATTGTATTATTCGTCAAACAATTACGAAATTTACTTATAACTACGTATTTATTAATATGATTCTTCTAATAAGATTTCAAAAAAATATTAATAGGAATATTTGGGCTGTACAAGTCGTCTAGTAATTTCACCATTAACAGATCGTTGTTATCTTACATTAACAACTGCATTACATTTATTTCGAGGTGGAAGTTCTAAAGGACCAGCTGGTATATTTGATAAAAAAAACCTTTTTTCGTATTAATAAGGAATATACTTCTAGGTACTGGTAAAACTGAAACAATAAAAGATCTAGGAAAGAATTTTGCTATTTATGTTGTTGTTCAAAATTGTTCTGAAGCACTTGATTATAAATCTATGGGAAAAATGTTTTCGGGTTTTGCTCAAGTTAGTTTTCTTATTTATTCTTTATAGAAAAATATATATATATTTATAGAGTGGTACATGGGGATGTTTCGATGAGTAAATCATATTAATATATATAGTAGTCATATTGACGAATATATTTTCATTTATTAGATTTAATCGTATTAATATTGAAGTCTTATCGGTTGTTGCTCAACAAATTCATTCTATACTAACAGCTTTATCATTAAAACAAAAGAAATTTATATTTGAAGGAAAAGAAATTCCACTTCTACCTCAAGTTGCTATTTTTATTACGATGAATCCAGGTTGTTTATTAATTTTGCAAGTTTACAACAAACAAAACGAAAAAATACTTTTTAGGTTATGCTGGTCGAACAGAATTACCTGATAATCTTAAATCAATGTTTCGACCAGTATCAATGGTTGTACCAGATTCAATTTATATTGCAGAAAATTTTCTTTTCAGTGAAGGATTTCAAAATACAAGAGTAAAATAAATAAAAAACAAATTTCATTATAATATTCAGTTATAATTTAGAATTTAGCTCGTAAAGTTTATACACTTTACCAATTATCGACACAACAACTATCAAAACAAGATCATTATGATTTTGGTTTAAGATCTTTAACAGTATACATATAATTTCATTTGTAATGTTTATATAATCTACAATTTTGATTATCTTTTTAAGGCCGTTTTACGATATGCAGGTGAAAAAAAACGTACAAATCCAAAAATGACAGATGATGAGGTATTTATTCATTACCTAAAATAATTGCATCATATATTTATAGGTTCTTCTTCTATCAATGCTTGATATGAATGCACCAAAAATGACGGCACAAGATTTACCTTTATTTAAAAATATAGTTGAAGATTTATTTCCTGGTATTAATATACCTAAAATGAATTATTCGAAAGTAAAAGAAATTTTCTTTCTATATTTAAGTTTCTTTCTTTTAGTTAATTGAAGCTATTGAATATGAAATGAATATATGTAATTTACAAATAACACAAACAACTATTGAAAAAGTTCTTGAATTATATGAAACACATAATTCTCGTCATTCAGTAATGCTTGTTGGTAAAACTTTATCAGGAAAAACTACCATATGGAAATTATTTAAATATGCATTGACAACATTGAATAAGCAAGGTTTTAATGAATATAATAAAGTCATGGTTAGAAATTCTTTGTTTTTAAGTTTTATTCATCATAAGACTTTTAACTTCAGGAATATTCAATTAATCCAAAAGCGATTAGTTTAGGTGAACTTTATGGTCAATTTAATTTAGCAACCAATGAATGGAATGATGGAATTCTTAGTTCAATTATGAGACAAGTTTGTCTTGGTTAGTTTACAAATAAATCAATTTTAAAATAATATAATTTTTCATGTATTTATTATTTTAGATGAAAAACCTGATGAGAAATTAATTCTTTTTGATGCACCTATTGATACATCATGGATCGAATCAATGAATTCATTGATGGATGATAATAAATTATTAACATTAGTTAATGGAGAACGTATATCATTATCAATACAAGTAACATTATTATTTGAAACAGAAGATTTATCAATGGCATCACCAGCAACTGTTTCTCGAGCAGGAATTGTTTATTGTGATTATAAAAAATTAGGATGGAAACCTTATTTAGAATCATGGTTAAAACAAAAAATATTTCAGGTAATTTTTCTTTCAACAATTACTCAAAATTAATCGAATTTCTATAGGATCTTCAAACAGAGCTTTCGAATTGTATTATCAAATATTTGGAACCTATTATGAAATATAAATACATTCATTGTAAAGAATTAGTACCAATTCATGAACTTAATGGCATTATATCATTAACAAAATTATTTGATACATTTTGGTATTTTAATGAAATGCAAATTCAATTGAATGAAGGTGAAACAATATCAGGACGTTTGATTGAAATGTGGTTTGTATTTTGTTTAATTTGGTCAATTGGTGCTAGTGTTGATGATGAAGGAAGAAAAAAAATTGATATTATTTTTCGTGAAACTGAAGGTTTCTATCTTTTCTTTTATATGAAAGTAAAACAAAAATATTTTAGGAACATTTCCAAATAAGGATACAGTATTTGAATTTTATGTTGATACAACTAATCGAACATGGTTACATTGGGAAGAACAACTTAAAGAAGAATGGATATATAATTCTGAGTAAATTTTTGCAGTTTTATTTAATTAAATTTTTATTTATGTATAAAGAATTCCTTTTTATAATATGATTGTACCAACTGTTGATACAATTCGATATGAATATTTAATTCATCATTTATTACTTAATAAACATCAAGTTTTACTTGTTGGTGCTGTTGGTACAGGTAAAACAATAATTGCTGAAAATGTTCTGAAAAAACTTGATACCGATATATTTAATACACTGATTATTCATATGTCTGCTCAAGTAAATAGAATTGAAATCATTATTTTTTATTTATGTGTTTAAATTTTTAATAGACTACATCAAAAATGTTACAAGATATATTTGAAGCAAATTTAGAAAAACGAGCAAAAAATTTATTTGTACCATTGAATGGGAGAAAGATGATTGCATTTATTGATGATATGAATATGCCAATTAAAGTAAAAATCTTCTAAGAATGTTTATTTTGTTGAAGTTATTTCGAAAGAAATATAAATCCTATGTGGTCCTAACAGATAGAGCCCTGCGGTTCCGGATAGCAGAAATTGAAAAACTCCGGTTCCGGTTCGGTTCCTAAAATCTGTTTTGAGAACCGGGAATTTTACAATAATATACAAAATATTAAAACATAGATTTTTTTTAGAAATTTCTCCATTTCATTCTTAAGATCGTTGACGTTTATTATGTTATTAAAAGAGCAATATGTTCCAAAAGAAAAAAAATTATGTTGTATCTGAATAGTGTTTTAGCTACTATTAAAAATATTTTTTCGGTTCCACCGGTTCCGGTTTCGGTTCTATCATCTTTTATTTCACGGTTTCGGTTCCGGTTTCGGGTAGCAGAAATTGAAAAACTCCGGTTCCGGTTCGGTTTTCGGTTCTATTTTTTTCGGAACCGCAGGGCTCTACTAACAGATCCTCTATAACTTCATAAAACTGAAAAGGTAGCGATGATTTACTATATGATTTATTTAGGATATTTATGGTTCTCAACCACCTCTAGAATTAATGTAATGAAATCTTCTTTTTTTTCTAAACTTGATAAAAATATATTTTGTAATGAATAGTCGAACATGGATTGATTATGAATTTTGGTATGATCGAAAAACGCAAGTCACGAAATTTGTGAAAGTTAATTGAAAATACGTAAAAATTGTGATCCTACATTTTTATATTTCTAGGATATGTATCTTCTTACAGCAATGGGTCCACCAGGTGGTGGTCGTCAACAGATATCATCTCGATTACAAAGTCGTTTTAATTTAATTAATATGACATTTCCATTCGTATGATAAAATACATCTAAAAATTTAATATATGCATAATAAATTAGGAACATGAAATCTGTCGAATATTTGGTACTATGCTTAGTCAAAAGTTACAATATTTTGACGATGATATTAAATATCTTGACCAAATCATTACAAAAGCAACTGTTGATCTTTATCAAACCATTGAGAAAAAATTTTTACCTACACCAACTAAAATTCATTATGTAAAAATATCATTCTATTGTCTTCAAATTATTTAATTAGATAAAATTTATATTTTTAGACATTTAATATGCGTGATATATCACGAATGTTCGAAGGTCTTTTATTATGTCATAAAACAGTAATAACAAATAAAGTTGAATTTCTTCGTTTATGGATTCATGAAGCACATCGAGTGTATTCTGATCGATTTCTAACTACTAATGATCATGATTTATTTATAAAAATTTTAAGTGAAAAATTAGCATTATACTTTGATCAAGTTTATCATAATGTATGTTATAATCGAGAAACTCCAATTTATTCTGATATTATTCGAACCGATGGTATTTATGAGGTAGATTATAATAGAATATCAAGTAAAATTTTCATTCCTTTCTCTTTATTCATTACCTATAGGAAATTCGTGATTATGAAAAATTAAAAATCTTTCTTGAACAAACTCTTCAACGTTATAATAAAACACCATTGATGTTATCTATGGATTTAGTTATGTTTCATGATGCTATACTTAATATATGTCGAATCGTACGAATCTTACGACGACCACGTGGCCATCTGCTTCTATTAGGTATTGGAGGTAGTGGTCGTCAATCTTTAGTACGTTTAGCAGCATTTATTTGTGATATTGTTCTATTTCAAATCGAAATTGGTCGACGTTATGGTCATACAGAATTTAAGGAAGGTATTTTGTGTAGATTATCACTTATTTTATATATGATACATAATAATTTCATATTTAGACTTACGTCGTTTAATGAAATTATGTAGTATATCAAATCGTGAAGTTGTTTTTTTATTTATCGATACACAAATTATCGATACATTCTTTCTTGAAGATATCAATGCATTATTGCATACTGGTGAAGTACCCAATTTATTTCGTCAGGAAGATATTCAAGAAGTTGAAATTTTCTTTCTAATTTTCTTGTCTCATATAAATATAATCTATAGATTCGCAATCAACTTTCTCCTACATTGAATCGACAAGGTATACTCGATACAAATGTAAATACTATGCAATTTTTCTACAATCGAGTTAAATCGAATTTACATATGGCTATTTGCATGAGTCCATTTGGTGAAACATTTAGGTTGATAAAATAGATTCTTTTTTGAAATTATAGAAATATTATCATTTAGAAATTATATTCGAATGTATCCAGCTTTAGTTAATTGTACAACGATTATTTATTTTTCTGAATGGCCACATGAAGCTTTAATTGATGTTGCTTATCATTTTTTAATAAAGTATAATTTTGAATTAGAAGATAATGAAACAGTAAAATTGTTAATTTTATTGATATTTACATTTGATTTTTATTATAGATTCATCGTACATTAGCTAATCTTTGTGCTTTTATTCATCTTTCATCAAAAACATTAGCAAATAAAATGAAAGATGAACTTCGAAGAGAAATTTATATTACACCAACAAATTATCTTCAATTTGTTCGTAGTTATACTCGGTAGATATTATTATTGTTTTGTTTTTAAAGAAAAACAATGATCTATTGTTGTATATACATGCTTTCTGTTATAGTTTTTTCGAGAAAGAAAAACTCAAAATTCAACAGGAATATAATCGTCTTCAAATGGGTATTATTAAAGTAGCTGAAACTCGTGAAAAAGTAGCAGAAATATCAATAGAATTAGAAAAGAAAAAAATCCTACTTGTGCAATTACAACGAGAATGTGAAGAATTTCTAGAAAAAATTGTTGAACAAAAGAATAGTGCTAGTGAACGAGAACGAGTAGGTTCATTTTATTAGAAATATATTTAATGAATATTCGAAAAAAATTCATAGCAAGTACAAGCATTTAGTATACGTATTAATGAAGAAGAAATTCGTTGTCAAACAATTGCAACAGCTGCACATGAAGAATTAACGGAAGCTGAACCATTATTAATTAAAGCAAATTTAGCATTAGAACAATTAACTAAACGAGATATTGGTGAAGTTAAAGCATATATACACCCGCCAAGTCAAATAGAAAAAGTGATGAAAGCATTGATGATATTAAGTATGTTACATTATCTAAAACCGGTAAAATCTAAGTAATTTTCTATATTTTTAGAAGGCAAAGAAGATACATGGGATGAAGCAAAAAAAGATTTGGCTAATGTAGATTTTATTAAAACACTTATTGTTTGTTATAATATTTTTATTTAATAAAATATTTTTGACTTTTATTAGAAATTTCCAAAAGATGATATTACTGATCGAACACTTCGTCGTATGCAACCATTTATAAATGATAGTGAATTAATTCCTGAGAAATTAAAAGGTGTATCAAGTGCTGCTAGTGCATTATGTACATGGATTCGTGCTGTTGAATCTTATGCACGTGTTTATCGTATTGTTCAACCAAAAAAAGAACGTTATCAAAAAGCATTATATGAATTAAATGATAAACAAAATTTATTAGAACAATCAAAAAATGAATTAATAAATATTCAAAAAAAAATTGAAACATTACGTTTAGATTATGAATTGAAAATCAAAGAAAAAAATACATTACAATCTAATGCTGATGAAACAGCAATGTTTTTAGATCGTGCAACAAAATTATTAGATGGTATTGCTGAAAAACGAATTCTATGGGAAATAACATCAAAGAATTTAAATGAAAATCTTAAGAATCTTCTGGGAAATAGTCTTCTTGCTTGTGCATTTTTATCATATATGGGACCATTTTTATCTGATTATCGAGATGAAATTGTACATAAAGTAAAAATTGAAGAAAAGCAAAAAAACTTATATATAGAATATTTTTTTATTGTAGATTTGGGAAAAAGAATTATTTCGTAATAAAATTCATTTTGAAACTGATTTTAATTTTGCAAATCTCATGACAACATCAACAATTATTCGTGAATGGAATATTCAAGGATTACCACGTGATAGTTTCTCCACAGAAAATGCAATTTTAGCAACACAATCTTTATCATATCCATTATGTAAGAAGGGTGTAGGTGTGGGGTGAGTGGGTGAGGACAGAGATGGGCAAGTCAAGTCACTTTTGGACTTGACTTGAAATTAAGTCATAAACTCAAGTCAAGTCAAAAAGCATATATGAAGAGGTTTCAATATACTTTCTTTTTGTATTTTGCTAGTCTTATTACAGAATCAGAATGTAGAAGATAAATATAGTTAAAAAAAAGAGTTTTGCTAAAAACTAACTCTAAATAACCGGAAATTTGTATTCCAAAGTTTTGTTCAATAGAAGGATTTTCTATAATAAGCTTTGACTTGAAACATGACTTGACTTGACTTGTGAAAACGTCTGACTTGCCCATCTCTGGGTGAGGATGTGGATTCGTCTTCCCTTTACCCACACCTGCACACTCTCTGGTATTATCTAAATTCTTTAATATTTTTTTCGTTTATCAGTTATTGATCCTCAAAATCAAGCGATAAAATGGTTAAAACAAATGGAAAAATCGAATGGTTTAAAAATAATTGATCTTCAAATGCCGGATTATATGAAAGTCATTGAAGAATGTATTCAAAAAGGTCGACCATGTTTATGTCAAAATATTTCCGAAGATATTCCACAAATTTTGAATCCAATTTTAATAAAATCAATAAAAAAAATTCATCAACATGATAATACAGAATCTCATTTAATTCTTCAATTAGTTGATCGTGAAATATCTTATAATACATCATTTCGTTTTTATTTATCTACACGTCTTCCTAATCCACAATATAAACCAGAAATATATTCGAAAGTAAATCTAATTAATTTTTCACTTAAAGAACAAGGTTTAGAAGAACAATTACTTGGTAAATTAGAATTCTAATAAAAGAAATTTTAAATAATTTTTTTATCAAAGGTATTGTTGTACGAAAAGAAAAACCTGATTTAGAAAATTCAAAAGATAATTGTATTGTAACTATATCAAATAAACACAAAGAAAAAGAATATTTAGAAGAAGAATTTCTTCGTCTTTTATCTGAAACTGAAGGAAGTTTATTAGAAAATCTTAAAGTATTTCAAGCATTAGATTTATCTAAACAATCACAAAAAGATATTGATGAAACATTAAAAATTAATGAAGATTTAGAAATTAAAATCGATAATATACGAGAAAATTATCGATTAGTTGCACAACGTGCAGCAATATTATTTTTTGTTTTACAAGATTTAACATTGATTGATTCAATGTATCAATATTCACTTGAAACATATATTCAATTATTTATTTTATCAATTGAAAAAAGTTCAAAATCATTAAAATTAAATGAACGTATTGAAAAATTAAATGATTATCATACATATGCTGTTTATAAATATGGTTGTCGAGTAAAGGAATGAAAAATAATTATTTTTAAATTTTCGATTATTTTTTTAGAGTCTTTTTGAACGTCATAAACTTCTTTTTTCATTTCATATATGTACAAAAATAATGGATGCTGATAAACGAATCAATCATGATGAATATCAATTTTTTCTACGAGCACATACATTAACAATTGATCATGAAACTCAATTTTCTAATCCATTTCCAACATGGTTAGATAATAATCGATGGGATCAAATGAGTGAACTTATTCGTATGCCTGATTATCGATTTTTACGTGATTTATTTGATCAATTTCCTAAAGATTGGAAAGAATGGTTAGTATTTATTTTCATACGAATAATTTTCATTTTTATGTATATGTATATGTAAGGTATATATCAGAAGAAGCTGAAAATGCTTCATTACCAGGTACAATTGATTCATTAATTACTGAATTTGGTCGAATGCTTATTATACGTTGTTTACGTCCTGATCGTATAACACATTGTGTATTAAATTTTGTTATACATAATATTGGATCAAAATTTGTTGAACCACCTATTCTTCAATTAAATACAATTTTCGAAGATTCAAATAAATATTTCCCAATAATTTTTATTCTATCACCAGGTGTTGATCCAGCACCACAATTACAACAATTCGCTGAAGATAAAATGATGGCACAATCGAAATATTATACACTTTCATTAGGTCAAGGACAAACACAAACAGCAAGAAAATTAATTGAAATAGGCATTAAAAAAGTAAATAAATATATAAATAAAATTAACAATTTGTTTTATATATATATATACACAGGGTCATTGGATATTTCTCGCAAATTGTCATTTATCAATTAGTTGGTTACCTGAATTAGAAAAGATTATTGAACAATTGCAAACAACTGCTGTTCATAATGATTTTCGTTTATGGTTAAGTTCTTCATCATCATTAGATTTTCCTATATCTATATTACAAATAAGTTTAAAAATTACAAATGAATCACAAAAAGTTTCAGAAATTTTTTTTTTATGATGAATATTTCATATTTAATTTTATCTAGGGTATTAAAGCAAATATGAAACGATTATATGAATTCATAACACCAGAACAATTTCAACGTGTAAAACAAAATGAAAAATATCGTAAACTTTTATTTGCATTAACATTTTTTCATTCAATTATTATTGAACGTAAAAAATTCTTACAACTTGGATGGAATATTCCCTATACATTCAATGATTCAGATTTTCAAATATCAGAAAATCTATTAGCAATTTACTTAGATATGTATGATAAAACTCCATTTGATGCACTTAAATATCTTATTGCAATTATCATTTATGGTGGTCATTGTACAGACGAATGGGATATGAGATTATTGAATGTAAGTTAGTTTTTTTCTTCTTATATCGTAACTGTAGCTTTTCTTTTGAAGACTTATATCAATTCATATATTCGTGATGAAACTCTTGATATTATGTATTATAAATTATCATCATTACCTTATTATTATATGCCTCGTGATGGTACATTGAAAGTTTATAAAGATTTTATTAATTCATTGCCTACAATTGATCATTCTGAAGCATTCGGACAACATCCAAATGCTGATGTTGCATCACAAATTCAAGAATCTAAAATTTTATTCGATACATTGTTAACTATCTTACCACAAAAATCATCAGCTACTACAGAAAAACAAATTGAAAATGAGGTTGTCAACGCAATAAATGAAATGCTCAAATTAATGCCACATCAAATCGATATAGAAACTGTTAAAAAATATATGTTAATTGATACATCATCATTATCTGTTGTTCTTCTTCAAGAAGTCGAACGATATAATTCACTTCTATCAAATATTACTATTGCTTTAAATGATTTACTGAAAAGTATTAAAGGTTTAGTTATGATGTCGACTGAACTTGATGAATTATTTAAATGTATTTATGAAGGACGACTTCCATATGCTTGGCAACGAGTAAAAACGAAATTATTTAAATTAAAATTTTTTTATTTTAACTGTTTTTAAGATTTATACTTCATTGAAATCTCTTCCTAATTGGTTTCAAGATTTGCGTCAACGTATAAAATTTTTTAATTCATGGGTCGAAAGTCAACGACTACCTACTGTATTTTGGATATCAGCATTTTCTTATCCAACTTCATTTCTTACTGCCGTACTTCAAAGAACAGCTCGTAAAGATCAAGTATATATTGATTTTCTATTGACAAATTTTCAATCATTGTATTCTAGATTGCTATTGATCAACTTTCATGGGAATTTGAAGTTAACAAAACAGAAGATAAATATTTATCTGATATAGATGATGGTGTTTATATAGCAGGTCTATATTTAGAAGGAGCTAATTGGGATCGAAAACAAGGAACATTATGTGAAGCACAATCTATGGAACTTGTAACATTAATGCCAACTATTCATTTTAAACCTGTTGAATATAAGAAAAAATTAAATAGAGGTACATATTTTCTCTAATAATGTAATTTATTAATTGATATTTATAGGTCTTTATGTTGCTCCATGTTATTATTCATCTGTACGAGCGGGATCATTTATTATTGCAGTAGAATTGAAAACAGGTTCCATGCCGCCAGAACATTGGATTAAACGAGCTACTGCTTTAATAATGAATCTTGACAATTGATTAACTAATATTTGTTTATATTTCTTGAGAACTAGGTAGGATAACAATAAATTTCGAAAACTTAAATATATCTTTATTTTTAAACACACATGACGTTAAATCAGTAATCAGAAGAAGAAAAAAATTCATAATTCATTTCATTAGAATTTAAAACTATGTAAAGAATATTTTCATCAAAGATACATCAAACCAAACACACATAAGAAAGAAAAAAAGTTTTTAACAAAAAAAAAACATATACTAACAGAGAGTAACTGAAAAGTTTATAGGAATGAACTCCCTCTCTCTCTTTTTGTCACTAAATATATGTTTTAAAATAATAATCTTTATTCTTGACGATGTAATGTAAGAGACGGTGGTGGATATAGATGAGTATTTGGCGGGTTTGTTACGAGTGCTTTTGCTTCACTCAATAAAGCTGAACCGAATGGACCCATAGCACTATTCATATCTCCTGGTGATCGATAAGCCGCAGCCGCAGCAGCAAGTAAATGTGGTTGTCGTTGAATCCAACGTTGTAATGTGGCACCAGCAAATAATTCAAGACCAAGACATGCTTGTCGTTTCCATTTAGTTCTAAATATTTCGTGAGAAACCTATAGAAATAAATAGAAGAACTATTTACCTTCGATTTTGATACCATGTTTTAACTTGTGTATCAGAAAGATGAAGACGATTTGCAAGTTCTAATCGTTCTTGTACACTTAAATATTTTTGTCGTTCAAAACTTTTCTCCAAGGCATTCAATTGGGCATCGGTGAATGCTGTACGTGGTTTACGTTGTTTTTTATTCTTTCGAAGATTAATTGCTGCCAAACATGAACTTGATGCACATAAATCACCATCTAATATAATGATATTAAAATTGATAGTTTCCATCATCAAAAAACTATTGTGATAATAATTCTTATTTACTGACTTTCTCAGAATATTTGAACTGAAATTTTTTTAATTGAATCGTTTATAATATTCACTTACCACTAGTATTACCAACACTATTGCTATCGTCATTACTGGATGATTCTTCACCAGTCCGATCGTCTCCTAATACATCGACTATTTGTGACTGTTTTGATTCGTCATTGTCATCGTCATCTTCTTCTTCGTTATTATTGTACGATCGAAATTTTTTATTTGATGTATCTTCTTCAATGCTATCGTCTTCTTCTCTATTGTCATCTTCGGATGTTATTGATTGTTTACGTTTTCGATCATTAATTTCATTAGAACAATTTGTATTTTTATTCATTGGCATTACCATATGTAAGATATCATCGACAAAAAACGAACGACGTTGTTTTACCATCGTCATTTCTTTTCTTTTTTCTCTTTTGTTCTTATTAAAAATGAGTCGGTCAATCAAGAAAAATAATTTTGCAACTAGTGAATGTAATATAATAATTTCTCTGTCTCACTCTCTCACTTCTATTGTTGTTCTCTTTTTTTTTATCCTCAACGATGACAAGTGGGATTTCTTTCATTAGCAGCGACATAAAGAAAAGGACGAAGAAAGAGAGCAGATAATTGACATTTTACACACATTCTCTTTCTCCTTTTCTCCTTCAACAAATGCCTAGATATATATATATATATATATTCGATTGGTGTAAAAAAAATAGCATAAAATGATTGGCAGTTTAAATTTTTAATATGAGAGACAAAAAAAGAAGAACCGATTGAATTTGAATATGAAGAAAAAAAACAATATATATTCTTTGAAAATTATATCCAATTTCCTGTTTATCTTCATTATATTGATCGTGTAACAAAACTGTGTATATGTCTATATCATTGCAAATATAGATTGATCGATCAGTTAATCAATATATATATATATATGTATTTCTTTACACTGTCTTTTTCTCTCTCTTCATTACATATGTTTATGATATGCAAATCAGAAAAATCAACGTTGTATCCTTTTCTTCTGTTCAAATGAAAATAATTTTCTCATCATTATTATCATCATGTTCTTTGCAAAATGTGTATTGTCAATAAAGATCGGATTGACACTTTGAAGGTGGTAGTTATTCGATTAATAATAATCGATCGATCGATCGAATCGCTCGTGCTTGTACAAATGCTCAATGGATGATGATCATGAGATAGACATACATTACATTTCATTTTCTCTTTGATTATACTAATAAATAGATTGGCATTCATATAAAGCAGGTGAATTCAATCAAGGACATAAGTCACCTGTATTTTTGTTGTTGTTCTTTTAATGTTTATTGATTGTCTATAGTCGTAGTTAATGTCACACATTGAATATTATCGTTTGTTCGTTGTATGGTCGAATGAACAAGCATAAGGTGTCATTTTATGTATCACCTTTTCTCTTTTTTTGTCCTGTTGTTTTATTTTCAATACAATTGAGAAAGCCTTAGGCTCGATTATATTGAGTGAAAGGATAAAAACAAGTGTTGTAATAAGATCAAATATATACTCTCAAATGTGTGACTATTAGGTAAGTGAGAGAGAGAAGGTTAATTTGTAGAATTATTTTAATTATTAAAAAATATATTTAAATGATATCTTTGATTTTCTTTTTTATTCTATTTTAAATAAACTCACTTGAATGACAAATAAATTTTTCTATTTATTTTTAATTTGCTATACATCTAAGCATGTTTATTTCATTTTTTTTTCAAATGAAAGAAGACAGACAAAGTCTATTTCTATAAGTGTCTACTCTCCTATGGTGTGATTGACAATGAAGAATTATAAAGCAATATTTGGAATTCGACTTTTTCTTTTTTGTCTTTTTGTCAATTATCAAGTTCAATGATCCATGATTTTTCAAACAATAATGTTGACTACACTTATTTTGATTTTATTTGAATAGAAAGAATCAAACATACTGTGCATTAATTGAAATAATGCTGATTTATAATATATAAATGTCGAGAGTATAGACAGACAGACAGACAAATTCCTTCTCTCTTTCTTTACTATTATCAAATTGTTTAATCATAACAGGAAATGAGCCACATCAGGTAACTCGTACTATCTTGAATTCGTTTACATATATTCAATCGATCATCGTTATCGAATTAAAAAATCGTGTCATTGTTACAATGTGCTTATTAAAAAGGCAACGAACATCGGAAGTAGTCTATCATGAGACTCAACACTAAGATATAAATGCGAACAATCATCGCACCTGTCATTTTCTCTCGTTTTTTCTCGTTATTTTCCCCAAAGACTCGTTCCGATTCAATTTGTTTCACCTGAATAGATGAAATAGACAAAGAAATCGACAGACAGATAGCGTGCCATCTCAAAATTGATCATTGTTGATGGTGATGGACGCTCATATGCATATTCACTACACACCAAAGAGAAAACAAAACTGTTGCTTTAAACAGATTAGCTACTCATATACTATGTGAAACAGATCCATTACAAATGATCGGGTCGCGTGTCCTTGTTATCATAAATTTTGCTCTTTTTCTTTATGTTTCTTTCTCTTTTTTTGCTGAGCATCATCATTGCCTCCAGGGTTTTTATCTATCTGTTTGAAGTCAAACAATACTAGCAGATGGACAGGCGTTGACATACATATATCAACTAACTTGTTCCTATTATTTTAATAGTTCAAGCATAAACTAATCTGATTGTAATTAACACACGCAAACATACATAAACTAATTACCATTAAAACTGAATCTGTCTATTATTGTTACGATTTTTCTTTTATACATACAAGAAAAGAAAATGAAAGATTTATAATGAAATCTTGATTAGATTGACAAATATATAGAGAAGAAAAAAAATAAGAAGTGAAACCATATAGATGAGAAACGAATTGATTATACTCTACTTGAAAAAATGATGATGTGAAGAAAAGATCTATTACCTATTATTTTAACTAAAAAAAACAAAATGATGTATGGAAAAACTTGATAATTTTTTCTTTTTATATTCTAATATTTCGTTTGTAAAAAGTCTAATCGGCACGGTTCAGCAAATCTATCCACTCGCATCATCATTTTCTTCACTTGAAATCTTCTACCAATCCGTTCGCCTCTTTGTCTCACTCGAGATGACTCTAATCTTAATTAGTTTATTTTTATATATGTATGTGTTTCGCTTTCCGCATCGTCCTTCTTTTTTAGTTATTCTTCTTCAATAACTACTAGTTTCTTCTATCTAATAGAGTCAATTGAACGACGACGAACATCAATCATGGTGCGTGCAAAGCAGAAAAGAAAATCGAACACATTTGTAAAGAAAAAGAGGGACAGAGTAAGAGAGAGAGGGAGAGGGAGAGAGAGTTGATGATGAAATGAGCAAAAAAGAGAGCATATTTGATCGATGTTAAAGAAAACAATTTGCGATCGAAAGAAAGTCTCATGAGAGATGATCGGCAATGAGAAAAGAGAGAAAGAAAAAGAAAAGGTAGCGAGTCATTCACGTTTTTTCCCCTCTTTTGCTACTTTCAACCAATAGGCAAAAAGATTATAGGGAAAAGAGAAAGAGAAACAGAGACACAGACAAGAGACATAGACAAATAGAACATACTGTATACATTTAAATTTTTCCAATTACATTTCTTGTCACGCCCGATTACAGAAAGTCGAATGGCTTCAACAACCCGTTTCTTTTTCATGCCTCCTACGATGATTCAACCACCAACAATATCGACAAAATTAAAAACAAAACGACGATGTTGTACTTCATTTTATATTACTGATATACTCGGTAATTGTAGTCGATCACCATCACCAACATCTGCAAATAATAATAATAGAAATCATCTAACATCTAATATTGTCAAAGATGGTGAAAGTATGGATGATGATGATACAATACTACATGATAGTGATGATGATGGTAAGAGAAAAACGATTTTTAAATTATCTTTTCGTGCTTCGCAACTCGTTCTTCGTCTTAATGCTAATAAATAATATATTACAACGGTCATTGTTTTTCTTCAACAAACTATCTAAAGACTTATAAAAACTTTTTTCTTAAACAAAACATAAAAAATTGAATAAGAAAATTTTAACCAATCAATATCTTGTTTATATTATTATTATTCAATTAATTGATTGTTTTATTTATTTGAAATAGATTCTGATATTGGTGAAGAAACAAGTACATCGGATAGTGGTGGTTGTCATGGTATGAATGGTAGTACATTAAAAACTAATAAGAAGCCACGCAAAGCACGTACTGCATTTACAGATCAACAATTAAATTGTTTAGAAAAAAGTTTTGAAAGACAAAAATATTTAAGTGTACAAGATCGTATGGAACTTGCTGCTCGTCTTAGTTTATCTGATACACAAGTTAAAACATGGTATCAAAATCGAAGGTAAATAGTTCTTCGATTTATTTCTATAGGTTTCTTATGAAATATTTAGAACTAAATGGAAACGACAAGCTGCTGTAAGCTTAGAATTTCTTGAACAACAAGGTAGTATTGCTGCTGTTCATCGATTACTTCAACATCATCATGCTAGTACTGGTGTTGGTAATCCACATTATCCATTATGGTATTCACCTTATTTAACATCATCTACTACAGATCCTTTATTTGCACTTCAACAACAATTATCAAGAGATAAAAATAAAACTTTATCGGAATCATCATCGTCAGCCATAACTAGCCCGAACAAATCTGTATAGATTCTGTTTTTTTTTGCTTGTCTTTTTATTCTTCTATTCTCATACATAAACTCATATATATATATATACATATATACACAATATAGTCAAATGAAAGAAATGCAAATAAGTGTGATGATTGTTTTGTTTCAATCGATCCATGCCGATGAAGTGAAGTCATAGGAAGTCAACAGCTTTTCTTCTTTTTTTTCTTCTTCGTCTTCTTCAGATTAATTGTAAGAAAATAGGAGGGAGATTGAGAATCGATTGATAATTCAATTTCATTCAACAAATATACACCTGTAAACAGTAATGCAATGCTATGATTTTGTTTAATTAAGTTTCTCTCTTGAGTAAAAAAAAATAAAAGAATAATAGATTTAATTTTATTCCATTCTTATGCATTACTCAATATGTGACGAAAAAATGGTAATAATGATGATGATCGAATAATGGACACTTGATTGGCTTTAAGATGAAATATGTTTGTCATAAGTTCTTTTTTTTCTTCCTTGTTCATCTACGTCAACTCGCGGTATTCATTACTATTTGAACAAAGAAAATTTTCTTTCAATTGATTTTAACATTTTGATTCGTTTAAATTTATAATTCATATCAGAAATATACCCTGAATTTCAATAGATGAACTTTATCTAATTATAGAATTTAGCTTACTCATATTATATTTCAAAGTATTGAAAAATTTTCCATTGATGAATTATTACAATGTATTCTTTTATTTATTTATTTATTCTGAATAATTTTGACAAAAATAATAATATTTTGCGTTATTCTTTTCGATTTTGTGAAGCTTAATAATATTTTGAATGTAAAATTATGTTTTGAAAATAATCTGTACTCACAGAATATATTTGCTGAGTACTGAAATTTGAAAATTTATCTTAAAAAACAACAAACTACTCAGAGATTTGTAGTTCATAAATTATATCAATTTGTGTAAATGGATCGTTTTCGAAATGAATGAATGAACGACAACGAGAAAAAAATACTTTTAAAGACCACGTTTTTTGCATCGTGTAATGATCTGTATCTAATTGTAGTACTAAGAAAAATATGTTCATCAAATTAAATCGATATGAAATTAAAAAAACAATTCAACAAGAAACGTAATATCTTTAATTTTTCTTCCGTTTATAGTTAGTATAAGTATATTTGTACATGATTACTACTAAATTCAATATGTAATAAATATTCGTATTAAGATTTTATGAACTATTTTTTAACTATAGCTAAATTATATATAAAACAACGATTATTATGAAATTGTCTTGATTGTTTAAAATGTTTTAATAATAGCAAAGTTCAAGTAATTATTGCCTCAAAATATTGAAATTAAGAGTTCTCTCTTATCTGATCTAAAATACATGTAGATAATCAAGTAATATAATTTCATTATACTAATCGAAATTTGCTTGGAATTTTCATCAGTCTTCAAGTGAGAATACTCTATCTCAATGGAAAATTAAACGTATAGTTTTATTTTTAAATAGTTGTTTAAAAGAAAATAAAACTTGTATTATTTATCTGTTGAAAATCTTAAAATTTGTTATAAACTTAGGGGTGATCAAGAGTAGTGGGTGTAGGTGCTAGGTGAATACAGCATCGATATGCAGAGCCACATCCACACCCACACCCTCACACTGAAAAAAATTTTCGGAGAATAATAAACCCTCAAAAAGGGTTTATAACTGAAAAATTCGTTTATCAACGTGCTCTACCCGTTGATAAACCCTTTTTTTCTTGAAAAACCCAAGAAGGGTTTGTTATACGTTGCAAACTGATAAACCCAAGCGTTGATTCTCTATTGATAAACCCTTTTTGCATTGATCAACTGAATCAACCCTCAAAAGGTGGGTATCTTATAGATGATGATAAACTGTATATTTGAGGGTTGATCCAGTTGATCAATGCAAAAAGGGTTTATCAATAGAGAATCAACGCTTGGGTTTATCAGTTTGCAACGTATAACAAACCCTTCTTGGGTTTTTCAAGAAAAAAGGGTTTATCAACGGGTAGAGCACGTTGATAAACGAATTTTTCAGTTATAAACCCTTTTTGAGGGTTTATTATTCTCCGAAATTTTTTTTCAGTGCATGACGCATTCCAACTCTTTGCCATAAACCCGTTCAGGTAAATTAATACTACATATTACAATTGTAAATGTTGGTAAAACTTGCTCCACAATTTAATCATACATTGAAAATGTATAACTATCATATAAACATGGCTACATTCAAACAGGTGATATTGAATCACAATAATTTTCATAAGACGGAAAAAAACTAAATAAAAACATAAAAGATAATCATATAAACACCAAGAAATATAAGAGAAAAAGTAATAAATAATAAATCATCTTTTTCTTATTGATATCCATCGTTCATGAAACATTAAAATATATCTTCTAATTGTTGTCCATGCAAAAAACATTGTATGTGATATATAAAGACTCCAATATAAAAATCTCTAAATGACACAAAATATCATTGATCTATTCATATATCTCGATTTTGACAAAAATAAATTATCCAAGACGAAAGTATCCCAACAGCAACTAAACAAATAAAAATAAAAAGAATTATGACATGATTATAAAGAGCTTGACGTAATATTCCATCAAATAAAAGATGTTTAAGTACAAAGAATATACAATGTATTAAAGGAATATAAACAATAGGAAATAACCAAAATCTTATCGCATCAGAAATCATCTTTATTAATATTTAAATAAACATGTCTCTATAGTAACATGTTTCTAAATTTTTAACATCTCAAATGAGATTTATTTTATCAAAAGGATCGAAAGAAGATCACAGAAAACTCGTGAAATAGAAATCTTCTATACTTAGATTTTTAAATCTTTATAAATGTATTCATTTAATCGTAAAAATTACTTCGACTACTTTTTTTACCTAAATTTTTCGAGTAAGAAATAGAAAAAATAAACATTCTTTTCTCTTTTGATAATATGTAGATCATTTTCCTTTATGTATATATATTGTTAAATATGTATAACGTTTTCCTTTCTATTTGTTTATTTTCTTATTCTTTTCTTCCACGCTCACGTTGTGTTTATATTGAAAAATAGGTAAGATAAATCGGTATTCAAAGAAAACTTGAACAAGATTCTAATGTATTAGCAGAGGTCAAAATCAAATTCTTGATCAGATTTGGTAGAATCCTTCAAATTTTAATCTCTGAAAAACTAATGATCTTAAATTACTTAAACAAGAGGAGTAATGAATGTTTTTATTGTTTCATAGTATTTATATAGTTATGACTACTAACTTAACAAAATCAAGCATTCGGTACATGCCTCGTCAACAGCTAATAGAACATATAGAAAGATTACAGGCAGAAAACGAAGCCTTGAAAAAGTCTCCGGAAAATGTTCAACACTCTAATCAGTCAACAGACGAAATGCTACAAGAAATTCGGGTAAGGTCTGAGAAACACCGACGCGAGAAAACTCGACTACAAAATGCAAAATATGTTGTGGTAATATCAACGTCGATCATAATATTATTCAGCTTAATTCTTGCCTTGTATGGAGTGGCATTAGGTTTTATGGAGATTGGTAAACGTTATGAAATGTGGAAAGAAAAAGATTTACCTGAGTTTCTTCAATTATTACTTACTAGAGGGTGGGTGGGTGTGGGTGGGAGTCGTATTTTCCTATTTTATTATGTGTCGCACATCGACACTGACACTCACACCCACACCCCATACTCAAACCTATATGTGAAAGATCGAAATATAAAGAAGTCGGTGAAAATATACCAACTGCCATACACCCTAAAACACAACAAAATTCATGATAAATAAAAAAAAGTAGGAAACAATATACCACTTGACATTCAACATAAAATACATATAAGGAAAGGATCGAAATATAATGAAGTAGATGAAAATATAGCAACTGTCATATAACCTAAAATACAACAAAATTCATGATCGATATAAATATAAGTATGACAAAATATATTAACTGAAATTCGAGCTGAAATACATGGAAAAGAAGGATCCAAGTATTAATTGGCTTGACGAAATATTCTCAATCGAAATACGGCCTAAAATACGTTGAAAAAAGGATTGAAATATAAATAAGTATGACAGAAGTTAGTAAATGAAATTCGGTTTAAAAGCGGGGATGTGAAATATGTTCTTGGGCAGAAACGCACGTCTAGAAAAAAGTTTGAAAATCTATTGACTTTGAGTTTCTTTAGATAGAAGTATTGTTTTTTAGGGAAATGCTCTGATATGTTTATTAGAATAGAATATATTTAACACGTGGTAGTCGCTTTTCTTTTCATGTCTTTAGCAAAAATATTTAAAAAAACACTTCTTTTTCTTGAAAACAGATGGAAGTTTTCTGATTTATTTTTCTACATTCTGGAAAACCGTTCGTTTTTATGGAAAATTCTGTACCTCTGCTTAAAATAGATTCGAATAAAAGATTCATAAAGAAATGTGGTTGACTAAGGATACTCGATGAAAATAAGATTTCTTTGCGATATATATCTTTAAAATAACTGAATATTACGTATTCATTTAGCTTTGTGTAAATCGAATGTGAGAATTAAATTATAAAAGGGAAATATGCCCTCCGAATTGAAGAAGGAGAAAGATGTCGTATGGAGGCGATTGTCCCTCGTCTGTTGTCTTACACTGTTAGATAACACATCACATTTTCAACGGAGAAGAAAGAATATCTTGTTATATTCTTTTATCGATTGCTTCTCTGTTCTTTTTGCTTTTTCTTCATTTTTTTCGACAGTATACTTGTTAATCTTTATTTGGCACAGCTAAATGAAAAAAAAAGTAATCTTTAATGGTATAAATATATCGTTTCATTTCAATGTCAACATAATTGATTTTTTTGTTTTTTAATTTCAACAATAAAATCATTAAAATACTTGCATTATCAGCGTCGTACTAGAAACTGACGTTCAATATTTATTATCTTTTGTAATTAAATGAAGTTATCAGAGAACAAAAACTGTCACTATCTAAGAGCTCAAATATCCTAAAAAAGGTAAACTAAGTTGAAACTGATGATAAACCGCTATATGCATCGACTTAATTCACAATCAATTAGTGAATATAATTCGCGACATTACATTGAAACTCCAATCGTGTGTCTTTGGTAACTTTGAATCAAGTCCGGAGTCAACCACAGATTGAAAAATAGATTAATTTGAAGTTGAATTAAGCAATGTGATTGGTGTTTCCAGATGACAATGGCTATTATATTGATTTATCTTTTTTTTCTGTCTGATTGATCCCTGTCTCTGTGTAATGTTTTCTAGTGAACTCATTGGTTAACTCAGTTTTAATTCGTTTGATATAAATTCGGGCTAACTTGAAATGTACGAATGATATTGTTTTGTTCAAGTTCAAATTAATCTGTTGTTTTGTATGCGTGCCTAATTTTTAATTTTTTCTTTGTATGTACAATTTTGACTATACATATATGTGCACAAATGTATATGCGGACGGACGAATTTGATTGACATTTCGATTCATGTCCATATTGAATATATTCACTAATTATCGTTTCTATGAATGGATAAGAAACGAATATCGATATCTTTATTTAATTATTCTTATGCCATGTTTTCTAATTCTCCTTACATGGATTTGGAAAAACAATCTAACAGGGTATGGTTTCATATCATTCATTATCTTTTGAGAAAATCAACTCATTTTATTAAATTCATATCTCAGAAAAGTACTTTTTTGTTTTTGACAAATACTTATATATATTTAAAATCCAAACATGATCTTATTTTGCTATTCTATTTTGTAGGTCATCATGGTGGTTTAACCAATTAGCGATATATAGTTTAGTTTTTGTTTATATTGTCATTTTTTGTTGTCACGGATGGACAATAATTGATATAAGTATACACGGTTTCATGATTGCTGCGGCTATAATCCGTACATGTTTAGTTTTTGTGGATAAGGAAATGATTGAGTTTGTGGAGAAACCATTTAATGTTGAGAATGGTTCTGTGCGATGGTGGATAACTTATTGGTGGGTTTTACTTCGTGATGGATTTATGATTGTCACTGCTGTTATTGTTATCATTGTTTTAAAATATGGTCTCATTCGAAACGATGAACTTTCGGACTCGACACTTTATATTCCAGTTGATAAACCATCGGTTTATTTTGCTACGCCAGTCGCTTCCAATTCAAGACGAAGACACCATCGTCGTCGTAGAACACGTCGACACTTTCGTTGTATTCTAGTTCGATCTGTTGTTTTTCAAATGATCCATCATTGTCGACGTCGTGATCGCCATCGTTTTTCTCGTCATCATCGTCGAAGATTTTAACTTGTTTGTTATTCAGTTGTACTAACTTCATGAAACGTTAATCAAATATTTGTGTACATTTTTATCTATCATTGTTTATTTTTTTCAAATAAAATTGAAGTGAGTGCAACATACGTACGTATTTAATTCAAATATATTCCCATTTTCAATATGATTGATAATCATATCGGAAGAAAGACTTTTAATTCTTTGCAACGAGTTGTTTTTCGTCTGAAAATGACTTAGAATGTAGTCTTCAACTAAATTCTGATACGAGAAAAGGTATTAAATCAAAAAAATAAATTATCAAAATCAATGAGAAATTTATAAAGTTTTATCAAGATATTTCCATTTTTACTTAATGAATTCAAACAGAATTTTAAATAATGATACAATCTGACATCGCTTTGATGAGTTTATATCGAATGAATTGACTTAAAAAATTTATTCTCAGTATTAAAATTAAATTTACTAAAATGGATGGATGTGGGTGTAGTTAATTTATCCTTATCTCAGAATTTTTCAAGGAAAGAATATTATCGTTTAAGACATTCTAAGAAACAATGTCCTCTGTTAATTTACTAGACATTCATATATACTTTCTCTTAATGATTATTACGTGTATGAAGCTCAATGTTCGGCAAGGGAATGCCAATCATTTATCTATTAATACATAAGTATCGAATGATAGTATCGATAGGATTAACTAAATAGTTTTAAGATGATTTTATATCAGTCATTGTACGTAACAGTTACTGCTATTAAGAGATATATAGTCTTATATAAATTATGTAATATATCTGTTACATTATAAGAATGTAAATATTAACCTTCTTTTAATTTTTTCTTTTGCAAAGTATGATAAAAATGATTTGATATATTAAATACAGTCATTGAAAAAATATTTTATTCTCTACACAAATCAGAATTTTTAGTAACTCAAATATAAAATAGTTCATATAAAAAAATAACATAGAAATAAGATGGTATTTTATTTTGGTGGTGGTGGGTCTCGTTTAACTGGTCTTTGTTTTTGAAAATCTGATTTATGTACTTGCATACGTTCTTTAAAAAATATATGATGATTGGCAAGCTCAGCTTTTGTATCTTTATTTTTTAAACTCTGTTCAATTTTAGCATTGTCTTCTGTAGAATATGCTGTCCATTGAGCTGGTGTATTTGGAGAAAAAGGGTTTTGAGCTGCATTCCAATACCATTGACCATTTTCGCTTGCCATATTATTTATCTATTATGAAAAAAAAATTTTGTGTTTTCAAATAATAAATTTTCAATCTCTTACTTTTGTATTTTATTTCGTTTGTCTGTTGCAATATAAAACTGCTTTTGTTGTTTTTGTGCGATAGAAAAGAAAAGAAACAATGAATAAATATACCTGAAGAAAAACGTGACTTCTCGGATTCTTCCAACAACAATGTGTCAATAAACATCGGTTTTCTTTCCAAGAAAGAAAAAAACACGTTTTTATTGTTATTACATCATCATCATCATAGACTATCATCATTACAATGTGATTTTTTTCAAATAGTATTTATTGTTTATATGTCTGTGAAAGTAATGAATATGTAAGAGTAAAAGAATTTCATAATAATTCTAATGTAGTAAGACAACAGCCGTATAATGACTGTTGTACCATAAATAAATAAAAACAGCAGTGATAACTTCCATTAATGTGATGAAAAAAGGCGAGACATACGAATACATAAATTACTTTTGTTATTTCTCGCATTACATAGGAGATGATGTGAGAAAGTGATAGTTATATAAACATACAAAGATCAATAGAAATGATATACTGAATAGAATAATTGTATTAATACATGGCAAAAAGAAAGATATATCTCAGCACTTCCGAGATGGAAATCAATCGCATGTCTATAATTATCAATGATCCGTACTATGAATTGTCTCTATATTTGCTTGATCATTGTTGGTATTTAATTGAAAAATATAAACTGACATATCTGTCTTTTTTTTTATAATGATTCTATAAACAGTCAAATGTTCATTTCTTTTTCTATCTGCATGTGTCCCAACTCATCAATTATCTATTCTACCAGATGGAATCAACTTTTGTTCAGTCTCGCGCCTCAATTGAACGATATCATCGTCTATAGTACTCGTACATACTCGTGATTAATTTTCTTTTCCTCTTTCTCTTTTTCCTTTAGAGAAGATGATGTTTTTTCCTTTCACTTATCTGATCTGATAGTATAAGAAAGACGAACATAATCTTCTTCTTCTTCTTATACTATATTACAACGGGCATTTTTTTTTTGTCTGATGACAGACACAACACTTTGACGGCATTAAGAACAAATATCGAACGACGTCCATACATATATATACACATAATCAATAACATGAGTAGATCTTGTCCTGGTTTTCTTGATCGATATGGTATATGGAACAATGGTAATAAAGTTTCTTTTTTTTTGTTTATAAGTTGACTCTATACTCTAGAACTGCCTAAAGCAGAATATTGTTAGATATATTATAAATGATAATACTACATATATAAACATATCAGATTATATTAAATAATATATTTTTATGTAAAATTGTTTCTAAAAATATAATTCAGTATATGAAACGAGTTAGATTTGTACTGTTCAATTATTTAGCATATACAATTGTTTATATCATAATCTTATATGTCAAATATTGAAAATGTCAGCTAAGATGATTGATGAACTATGAAGTGCATACTAAAATAGACATGTTTAAATTCTTTCTTCATGATTAATGAGTTTGTTATTTATGATAATAAAAGCAGTCTTATCATTTCCTCCACTTTATTCTCACATTTTCTATGTAGGTTTTGATTGTTCATCACCTCGTGTATGTTGTGGTCCAGAAATTGATCGTTATTGTTGTATCCCATCTTCAACATTATCTTCTTCAATATCACCATCAAATCCTTTTGAATCATATGAAGATTTAGATTCTTATACAATTCAGACATCAGATAATTTACTTGCGGAAAAATGGTTTTTTATACGAATGTGTACTATTGGTATACTTCTTGCTATTCTATTAATTATTTTTATCATTATTTATCTATGTATAATATGTATTCGTCATATACAACATAATAAAAAACGATCTACTATTCAAGTACCATTATCATCACCATCATCATCACTTTTACTTGAATCAAAACGAACATCTTTATCAAATCGTATATCAACAATAACTCATGCATCAAATGATAATAAATCTGGATATACCGATGCATCACTTGTATTACCAACTTCATTAAATCTTTATCCAACAACTAATAGTCGTAATTCAACAACATCATCATCATCATATTATATGTATCCAAATGAATTTGAATATCTTTGTAAATAAAAATTATATATATATATATATATCTTAATAATCATTGTATAGTTAATTAGTGATTCTTTTTCTTTTTATTTGGTTTAGTTTATTGCATATGTTATATATATATATATTATACGGAAGAAATAAACTTTAAAAAAAAATATATCACATATATATAATCGAGATTAAAATAGATTACAAGATTCTTTATCATGATCATCATAAGACGGTCCTCTTTGTTTATTTTTAGATTTCTTCGAATGTCTTGAAGGTGAATTAGGTAACTGAGTAGCATTTCCTTGAGTCTGTTGTTGCTGTTGTTGTTGTTGCAATTGAGCTTGATTATATAAACGTTCTTCTTCATTATGTAAAGCCATAGCTAGATCACGACTAAATTACAAGAGAAAAAAAATCGAAAGAATGATTTCATATTAGAATACAAACTCTCGAGAAGAATCAACTGATTCGGGTTTTCGCCATATTCGTCCATAACCATCAGTAAATAAACTATCATTATCAACATCAGTTAATGTTTCAAATACAATGGATTTATGATCTAAATAACCTTGATCAGAAACAAGTACAAGTAGTTGATTCTAATAAAATATATATATTTATATAGATAAATAGATTTTGTTTTCTCTAATTACTTGATTTTTCCATATTGTACTAAAATGATTATTACGAAAAAAAACAGCTAATTGATTATCACGCATTGTTTGATTCAATTGAAGAATACCATAATGTGTTAATTGAGAACGATTTTCATCAAGAAATTGTTCAATTAATAAACCTTAAAGATAAATATTGTAGAGTGTGTGACAGAAAACAAAATTTATGTTTACTTTCTCGAACATGTTCTTCTCTTTCTGAGTTACGTTGTCGAATCATTTTTTCAACAACTTGATTATAACTTGGTGCATCTGTAATTACAATTGTTCGTAATTCAATATCTTGTGGATCAACAACCCATCCATGGAATAATTGAATATTAAGTAAATCAAATACAATACATTCACGTGTATATTCAAATTTATCTACACTAAAAAACAAAACGCAATATAAAATTTTTATTTTCATAAATATTTAATTACCCATCGAATTTTAAATTAACATCCAATCCTGTTTTAAGTTTATCAAGTACTGCAAGTGCATCTTGAACATTTTGTTCATAATTCACTCGATCTTCATCAGATAAATTCTTAAAAATCAATACAATTTTAATAGAATAATAATAAATAAATTTTATTATACCGGTTGATCACGTTCAAGAATATGTTCAGCTAGTAATGTTATAACTCGTTCTGTACTTATTGCATCCATATTTGAATTAATGATAATCTATATCAAAAATAATTTTTGCTTAGAAGAAAAAACAAATGTTTTTTGTTACTCGTTTTCTAAGTAATAGAATATTGAAAATAGCAAGAAGAGGACAAGGACCATTTAAATTTTGTAGAAGAATTGGTAATCGTTCGAAATTAAATTCAATCCATTTAATTAAATGAAAATCTTTATCTTTAGGTGTAGTCGTATCACATTCGGCATTTGATTTTATCACTTGTGATTCGACATTAGACGTAGATTTATCATTTGATTGTGGTTCTATTGATGGTAATGATTGGTCTTCTTGATTCGAAGCAGTAGAACTAGGTAAATTATCAACAACGGACGTTGGTTGATCCGATGATGATTCAGTATGCGACATAATTACTAAACAATATATTCAACGTTGAAGTTTAATCAAATATCAGCATGCAAACCTCAAAGGAAGATAGATAGAAAGCAGTTAGATCAATGTAATAGCTGTCGGTTGGTTAAGAATGACTCATTTCAAAGAGTTATTGGTTAAAAATAATAATGACTAATCTTATTTTCGCTAGCTTTATTTTTCATTTTCTTAATAAATTTAACCTTTGATAATAAAGATTACGCTATTTATATATATTACTCATTTTATTAACGACATCTATTTTGAAGAGCTTATTTGTTCAATTGTGACTACGAATTCAATGGCGATATGTTTAATTAATCAAATATTTTCGACAACTACTAATTGTAAAGAATAGATTATGATAAAATGTAGCTGTCACATTTTAAATATAATATCAATGAATAAGTCTTTGAATGATATTAAATAAAGAATAAACACATTTTTTCATGCAATAGTGCATATGCAATATTATCAAAAAAAAAGGATTACACAAGAAACCATATATACGAAAAATGCTATTCCGTATTAGAGTTAACTACGTAATATCATAATTTTTATCTTTATTTTTGGAAATAAAGAAAAACTTGATATTTGTTTTATGAAGATAAAGAATTTTTTCTTTATAGTTCTATTATAACAAAAGATAAAGTAACACTTTTAGTTAAAATATTACAAAATAAAATCTCATATTGGCCATCATTCGTCTGTTAAAAACTTGTATTATATTATTGAAAAGTATCACTTCACAATTATTATCTATATAATCCCATATACAGCAAATAGAAATAAAACACATCAAGGTAATCATTGTTATAAAGTAACAAAAAGAAAAAAGACTTGAGAATATTTTATATATGATCATAAATCAATTTTACTCTGTAGTTTCTCTTGTTTTCATCAATTACTATTAAATGATGTCTTTATAAAATGAATAAAGAAAAAAACATTTACGTCGTATATGAGACAAAGATTAGAGATGATTTATTAAAATCAAGAAAAAAAACGTCGTTATTCTCATAAATATTTAATCATATCCGTTATTACTATTCTTCAAAGTAGATTTTTATATGTCTTAATGCACTCTATTTCATCATACTATTGATCTTTGTCATAAAATATATTTATAATCTTTAAATAATAAAATTGAGTGTAGTATATAATATTGGATCATGACACATTTGAAGTTTTTACGCGCCAAACTTTTGTTTCTTCTATTCATCAAATTTATATGTTGAATATTGATATTTTATTCTAGTTCATGAAATTTTTCAAGAAAAAAGCAACTTCATCAGTAACACCGGTGATCATAACTGATGATAATACACAAGAAAGTTATGAATTACGACCTGTCTCTGTTCATAGTCGAATGTCACATCATAGTGTTGATATTCCAGTAACTGAAAATGTGATAGTTTCTTCACGAGCTAACTGTTGTCAGCAATGTTGTACAAAAGAAAATCTAAAAGAACAAGCATTATTAATAGCAACAATTGCTGCTGTTGTACTTGGAATTGTTGTTGGAATTTCACTTCGTGGTCTCAAATGTCCTACAGGTAAATTATGAAATAAAATATTGATATTATTTATCTTTTTCTTGCTTTCGATTATAGATGATAGAGTAAATGGATGTCGTATTACCAAAGAAGATATTACATATATTGATTTTCCAGGAAAAATCTTTATTAATATTCTTAAAATGCTTATACTTCCATTAATTGTTTCAAGTATTATTTCATCATTAGCACAACTCGATGCACAATCATCAGGAAGAATGGGTGTACGAGCATTAGTCTATTATATAGGAACAACATTAATTGCATGTATAATTGGTATTGCTCTCGTATTAATTATACGACCAGGATCGCGTGGAGCTCCTCCAGTAAACCCATCTGATACAGAAGCACCTCAAGGTCGAATAATTGATACTGTGTTAGACTTATTTAGGTAAAAATAATCGAATATAAACAAATTCTTTTATATAATACGACTATTTTTTAGAAATTTATTTCCTGATAATATTATGGAAGCTACATTTCGTTCGGTAAATATTTTAATAGAAGAGAAAATAAATAAATTCATAATAGAATTGATTTTATTAATTAGTATGCTACTGAACTGAAAAAAGAGAACAAGTCATTTATATCACCTATTGATAACACAAGTAATATCATTTTATTTTTGTATTTTTAATATTTAAAAATTTGCTAGCGTATTACAAAAATGTTTATACTGCAACAGTTACAAAACGTGATGGTATTAATGTACTTGGTTTACTTATTTTTTGTATTATATTTGGTATTCTTATTAGTCGTTTAAAAGAAAAAGCCGTATTATTGAAGCATTTTTTTGAAGCAATGCTTGAAGTTGTTATGCAACTTGTAGGTATTGCTATGTTATATAGTCCTATTGGAATATTTTTTTTGCTTACTGCAAAAATGCTTGAAATGGATAATCTTGCTGATTTTGTTGGTTCATTAGGTCTTTATATGGTTACAGTTTTAGCTGGTTTATTTGTTCATGGTCTTATTGTTTTACCACTTCTTCTCTTTCTTATAACACGTATAAATAGTTTTAAATATATACGTGGTATGAGTCAAGCATTAGTAACAGCTTTTGGAACGGCTAGTTCATCAGCAACATTACCAGTTACATATCGATGTGTTGAAGAAAAAAATCATATTGATCCAAGAGTTTCACGATTTGTTTTACCACTGGGTGCAACTGTAAATATGGATGGAACAGCATTATATGAAGCCGTAGCAGCTATATATATTGCACAACTTAATAATATTCCATTGAATGCTATAAAAATTATTTTAACAAGGTAACTTTATATATATATTAAAATAAAATTTCTGAAATTTCTTAATTTTAAGTTTAACATCAACATTAGCATCAGTTGGTGCTGCAAGTATTCCTCAAGCTGGTTTAGTAACTATGGTTATTGTTTTGAATGCACTTGGTTTACCAGCAGATGCAGTTGGAACAATCTATGCTGTTGATTGGCTTCTGTTAGTATAGACTAAAAACTATTCAATTGTATTAGTATTGATTCTAATTTTTAGTGATCGTTTTCGTACTGCAATTAATGTATTTGGTGATTCAATTGGTTGTGCTATAGTACAACATCTATCACGTAAAGAACTTGCTGCACTTGATGAGAAGAAAAACGATTCAACTACTGTACTTCCTTTACTTGTCAGTAATCTCGAACCAGCATCAAATACACCTCGTGATACTCTTAAACATCAATCAAATCATGATGTATCTTCATCTTATCATTCTCCAATAATTATGACTCCAATGTAATAAAGATTGAAATCATTTTATTACAGATTGTTAATGAAAACAAAAATATCTAAAAACATTTATTTTACTATATATTGAAATTGTGTGTATTGTTTTTCTTTTATAATACATTTATGTAAAATAAAAGAAGCAGACAAAAAGGAATGTCAATTGAATAGAAAAATTTTTCATCAAAATAATACAATATGGTATAATTATGATCAAGTATAGATTGATCAGAAAGAAAAATAGTATTTCTACGTGATTAAATCTAATCAATCGCTTTCATAACATCATTGATCAATATGAATATAGTAGTTTGATTGTATCATTTAGTACTATTAAGACGATAATCATCTATGATAGTTCTTCTTTTTTCTGCTCTAATGAAACAAGACATAGAAAGATATTTATCGATATGCAATACAGACTGTATTTCATCACAGAAGAAAAATGTCATCAGTCTTCATATAAAAGAAATATTAGCTAAACAGATGAGATTTTCTTTCTGTTATGTTGTTCATCATCTGTCATTCTTTTTCTTTTGCTTGTCTTAATCATCGAATAGATACATGATGAAGGTTGATTTATTCTTTCTTTTCTTCAATCTTTCATTGGCATATGTTTCTTCTTCATGCTAATTGTGCTATTATTGCGATGCTTCACACATTGAGCTATAATCATGGTAAGAACTACGATGACTACAAGTAAAAGCTCAACAACAGCAACGACAATTATAGCAATAAGTAAACCACCAAGTACAATTTGTAGTGGATTTATTGATATTCATGGTATATGGAATAATGGTTCGATTTTTTTTTGATATTAATAAAAGAATAAAATTATTTTTTTTTCTTTCTATTTCATAGGTTTTGCATGTCCCATTCAAAATTCTATTCAATATTTTTGTTGTGGTACAGATAATTATCATTATTGTTGTACACCAGATCGTTTTTTATCGGATATAATTTCTTATAATGATCAAATTTTTATATCTGGTCAATATCAATCATCAAATCATATTATAATGGATCAAACAAGTAGTAATTCATTAATTAATAATTCAAATATAATAAATAAACAATTTGAACAATTTCAAAAAGTTTTTTTACCAATTTTTTTATTAACATCAAGTATACTTTTCCTTGTTGGTCTTGCTATATGGTTTTGGTTATATAAACATAAAGTATTCTATGCAACAGAACGAGATGATACAACTGAACGTAATCCTACAAGAAGAAAAACATCAAAATCAATACATAATAATGATTTGGATAAAAAACGAAAAGAAAGTATTCGTATACCTCTGGAAGAACAATCTGAACATACATCATATCCATCAACAGAAGTTTAATCATATATATATCGAAATAATTGATTGATAAATTCGAGTATTTCATTATTATTTAATATTAATCCGTCCATTGGATTAGGATTTTGTTTTAAATAGATAAACTAAAAAAAATTAAAATAACCTTTTTCTATATATCTAGAATGTTTGTCAAAGATTTCATTATTTTAATAAAAATTCATAATGTATCTATTCTATTAATAGTTCTTTATTAGATTTATCTATTTTCATTAGAAACATTGATGATATGTGTTATCTTTATTAGTGGAAGTCGTCTATATAAATGATCTTGTAGGATTTTTTGAATATTATCATGAAGTAATAAGAATGAGAAACATTATGATTATATTCATTTTTATGTAAATCTATGCTTCTATTAAGATGGAAAGAGAAATTATTTGTTCAATCATTTTTCTAAATAAACAGAACAAATGACTATTTGTCTATTTATTTCATAAGAGTAATATTTAATACTATAACTGCATGAGAATCAATCTTGAGGGTGTGGGTGTCGGTTCGAGTACTGAATGAATAAGGTGTCAACACCCACACCCTCAAGATTCTTAAATTTTCTATTTAAAATATTCCCAAATATGATATGCATGGTATTGTAATTAAAAATTTTATCCGAGCAATTCATGAATAATTTTTATGTCATTTGTTTATACATTATTGACTATAATAGAAAACGTTTGATGCAAAACAAATAAAAACATGAATAAGCTTAAATAATCATCGAACAAAAATATTTTTGTAATGTGGTGCATTGATGCGTGTAGTTATATATAATAACATACATGACTATGAAAATCGTATGTAAATTTTTTATTTGAATTATTTCGATAATAATGAGTGGTTCATCTCATCAACGTCTTAAAGGTATCTTATCCGTAACTGTACTTAAAGCAAAGAATTTAAAAAAAGCTGATTGGTTTGGTGAAAATGATTGTTATGTAGTTGTTTCGCTTGAACCTGTCACAATGCGTCCTGGCGATGAAATTCAACAAACGGAAACATATCAAAAGACACAAATTCATGATGGTTTACATCCAATTTTCAATGAAAAACTTGTCTTTCCTGTACCACATAGATTAGAATCATTATATGTTCAAGTATGGGATTCAGATGTTGGTAAAGACGATCTTTTGGGTTATGGAACATTACATTTAATTGATGATGAATTAGGTGGTCGATACGATACAAATTTGGATAAAGAATGGCTTCATACTGCAACCATTCCATTAATTACTGATGATGGAAAAAATAATAGCACTTTAGAATTAGTACTTCATTACATTCCTGAGAGTATCGCTGCTTATATGGGCAAAAAATTTAATGCAACTCAAGCAGATGTCAAGAAAAAAATAACTCAAAAAGTCGTTGAAAAAGTAACCGGTGCTACCACTACCACTGAAAAGGTTCGAGCCTATGTTGGAATACATGTTTGAACTATGGAACAATATTTAATCTTTTTTTAATGTAATTTTTTTTGAAATTATTGAATATAGAAAAAGTAATAATATGAATCTTCATAATGATCAATAACTGTTTGTAGATTATACACAAACTCATACTCTCTAGTACTCATTAAATATTGATAGTTATGAAATAAAACATTGTCGAACTCATGTGTAAAAGAGGGCAAGTAAGATTTTATCAGACTCTAATTCTTTAGTATATACATGAAGAAAAAAAATCATTCGATTTCTATCAAGAGATGGCGTGAGGTATCGAATAGTTATTGTTCTAAATATCTGAATTGTCCATTTTGTATTTTATAACTTCCATCCTTGATGATTATTATTGATTTCTTTTCTTTTTCCTCACACATCACCTTTAACCTTTTTTCATCTCGTGCATTTACGTGATTATAAAAAATTTCTATCAATTTCTTATTTTTTTTATGGCGTATCTTCATCTTTTTTTTCATATTTAAAATCTTTTAGAACAAAAAATGACTGATTATGCTACATCAGTTAATTTACAAGATCCGTTACTCGAACGTCCTTCAACTGAAACATCATATATTACTGCAAAGGTTTATTTTTAATGAATTAAAATATTTTATTTATTATTTATTATAGTCAATTCCAATTTCAACACGATATGGTTATGTTCTAGTAACACAACAAGGTAAACCTGATCGTACACCAATCGTTACGTATCATGATGTTGGATATAACTGTATGTATAATAAATTTCTAAATAGAAAAATATATATTTAAAAATGATTTTTTTCTTCTAGCTGCAACGCAATTTCATCATTTTTTTGCTTTTAATGAAATGGCAGCAATAACAGATAATTTTACAATATATCATATAAATGCACCGGGTCAAGAAGATCGAGCTAATCCATTACCAGCAACGTAAAAATAATTTTTATATTTCTATTTATCTGACGTTATAATTTAGATCTGTTTATCCTTCTATGGAAGAATTGGCTGAAACAGTAAATGATGTATTCAATCATTTAGAGTATGTTTTGTTTTGCTTTTAGAATTAAATTAAATTTAAATAACATATGTTTTAGAATTAAAACAGCAATTGGATTTGGTGTTGGTGTTGGTGCAAATATTCTAACACGTTTTGCTGTTTGTATTTTAATTGTTTGAAAATATAAAATTAATTATTTGAATTTATGTTTAGTTAAAATATCCATCGAAAATGTATGGTCTTATTTTGATTAATGGTGTTTCACGTGGAATTAATTATTTTGAAGGTTTTACTCTTAAAGTATTGATTTATTTTTCAAATAATAAGAATTTATATATATATGATTTTCATTTCTCCAGTGGCCAACAAAAGATATGCCTCAAACAACATGGACTGATCCACTATTAACATATCTTATTTGGTATCATTTAGGTTTTGTAAGTTTAATAAAATCTTCATCTATCTAGTTTATTTATATAATTATATAATTGAAGGAGACTCAAACAGCACATCCTGATTTAGTACAATCACTTCGTCGTCATTTAGAAGAGAATGTTAATGCTAAAAATGTTATTAAACTTCTTAATTCATTTTTAAAGTATATTAATAAGAAGAATTTCTTTTTGCTTTATCAATTATTATTCTCTTTAGACGTACACCAATTATAATGGAACGACCAAATGAAATGAATAAAAATGCTAATCCACCTATAACTCTTACGTATGATAAAAATATTCTTAAAATATAGAAATATTGTTTTTAATAAATTATTATATAGATGTACTATTATGCATATAACTGGATTTACATCACCACATAAAGATGATGTTATTGATACGAATGATAAATGTGATCCAACGAAATCATCATATGTTGAATTTTCTGATTGTGGTGGTGCTGTTCTTGATGAACAACCAGCAAAAACAGCTGAAGCTATTCGTCTTTTTCTTCAAGGTCTTGGTCATAGTAAGTCATTCAATGTTCTATTTTTATTTTTCTATATTTATTTATTTATTTAGTATCTCATATGAGCATTCCAAAATATTCAATTGCAAATCGTGTCGCTGAACAAGCAGCAGAGAATAAACGTCGTAATGGTTCATTAGGAAGAATATCACGTCGTGGTAGTGCACCATTTGATTCAGTTGATTCAGGACTTTATCGTCGTGATTCACAAGATGATGATAATGTTGGAGATGATTATTATGGTCATGAACTTCAACTTCGTGTTGATTCATTTGATGATCGAAATGTTAAATTATAAGAAAAAAAACATTTATTTCACATGTTTGTTTAATCTGATTCGTATTACTTCTGCAATAGTGATCTTCGTTGTCTAGTTCCTTTTTTTTTAAATGATTGTTCGCATAATAATTTTAATCGATGTGCGTATTTTCAAACAAGAATCTATGTAAAGAATGCAATCAAAAGATGTTTTCTTTGTCAATGTAGTGCACAAAATATCATTTTAATTTTTAGTCTTTAATATAAAAACAAAAATAAACTCAAATGTCTTTTTATGAGCAAGATAAAATCCTCTAATTCGAATTAACAAAGAATTTGATCTACATACGACGATATCTTATCTTTTATCTATAAAAAATTTATAATATTTTCTATCTTTTTATGAATAAAGTGAATATTCAAATCTATTTTATTCCGTTTAATAAATTAGCATAAAAGAAAACATAACATAATTTATTTTACTAACAAATTAGTTTATAATGGTGTAGTTTCAATAAGCATTGTCTCGTTATCTATTTTTTTTAATGATGAAATATTTGAATTTTGTACGACTTCAGTAATTTGAAGAATTTGCTCATTGTTTAATTCAATTATATTAACCTCTGATGTTTGAATATTTTCATAGGATGCACTTCGTTGATATAAATCTTCATTAGAATTTCCATATTGTTCTATAGAACTATTTTGTAGACGATCATCAGATACATTTGGTGAAGCAAGTAATTCAGTTAATGTTTGTTTTGAATCAATAAATACTTTTTCAAATAAAAATCGAATAATACGTTTTTCATATTCATCAGGTTGAATAACACTAAAAAATAAAATCGAAATTGATATCTTTTAAAAAACAAAAACAATAGAAGATTTACCTATATTCTGAACCTCGTTTTGGATCACGAAAGTTCTGTATAGCATGTTGCATACGTTTGAAATTATCAAAAGTTTGTAAACAATCAATAAAAGCTGGATAAAGAAGTACACGATGACCATCATGAGTTACTCCAGGAATACCTAGTAATGTAGTTGCCATTGTATTATCAGTGAATGTATCTTCTTGTGGACATGCAATGAGATGTAATGGTTTCATAATAAATTTTCTAATAAAGTTTGTATCTGTACCATTGGTTTTGTTATTTGTTTCCTCAGAACCATTCATTTTAATAACTGTTCGATCAATATTTGTTGCTGCAAATAATGAACTTATTCCTAATTGTGGTTTTGGTTGTAATCTAAGACTTCCATCACTATTTTCTTTATCTTGAAAATTTTGATCTAATTGATAAACACCTAACATAAGACTAAAATCAGTAATCATCATTTTTCTTAAATCACATATATCATTTTCAAGTGTCATTCTTAATCTTCGATAGATTTCATGTGGAAGACGTATACCATATGGATAAAATGATTCGAAATCAAGATCTTTCAATGCTTTTAAACGTCTTGATGGTAGATCAACACTTGAATAACGACCAATACTTGATCCTTTAAGATCATAAATTTCATGAATATCAAGAATTGATGGTAAATTATTTAACATAACAGCACAATAGATTTCCGATTGGAATGTCGAACGTACATTTACTGAATATAAACCAACATAACGTGTCATTAAAGAACTTGTATGACAATAACGTAAATAAAGGCCAGATAAAATTTGTATTAAAAGTTTTGCTTCATGTTCACGTAATGTTTTTATAATATAAACCTAAATTTATTATAGTAAAAATATAAAAACAGAAAATTTATATTTCCTACATCATCTTTTGTTTTATACATTTGTGAACCTGATTTTCCTGTATTAGCAAAATTAATTAATTCATCATGATTAAATGATGATTGAAAATCATTTCGTGAAATACCAATAATTTCACGCATATATTCAAATGCAATTGGTGCAAATGTTGTTATTTCCATCGGTACGGTTGTTTCTGATGTTTTTCCATCTGTATGACATAATACTTGATATTTATGAGTTCGTGTTGAACGAAATTCATTGCCAAGTACACATGCTAACCGATCAGTTGTATTTAATGTTTCAGCAAAATAAATTATAGATTGACGAAGTGCTGTACCAATTAATTCAGAATTATTTGTAAAAAATGTTTGTTGAAGAGGAGATTTTATATGAGATAGAACACCTGTTTCGGTAGCATTCCAAGTTTCTAAATTTAAAAGATTGATTGTATCAGTGATTTCGTTCATCGTGAATAATTTATCTATCTAAAAAAAAGATAAGACTTGATTTTTATTTACTTCAAAATGAACGAAAGAAATTTGACGAGAGAGAAAGGATTAGTGGAAGATTAATATTACTAACAACCAGACATTTGTTTATTTGTATGTTGTAATAATAAAAGAATATATTTATAATACATTTTGAGATGTCTAAAGACTAATGAAACATGGAAAGAATGTCAATGAATCGAACAGAGATTAGCAGTCGTAAGGTTATTTGGTGTAATAATACGAAGGATTGATGATATAAGAAATATAAATGGCAAGGAGAACAGAAAGAATCTTCGCCAATAAAGATAATAGATATTGCGTATACGATATACTATAACAATAAGCTAACAGGTGTCACCAAATAGTACTTCGATCGTATCAAATATGTTAAAAGAATAGGTTATATAATATAATCAATGTATTGTATATGAAGTGTGTAACAAAATAGATGAACAAGACATGCTAAATACTACACTAATAATTACTTTGTATATTATGGAATAGAGAAATTACAACAAATTTGACATGTTGCCCTATTCTGTCTGAAATAAATTTGTAATCATACGAATATGATATTTTTGGAATTTATGAAATAGACATGCATTTTTTTGAGAATTCTTAACTGTCTACAAGGTACCTTTGTTATAACGACATCTGTTGTTGAACAATTATATACTATTCGTTTAAAATTTTACTTGTGATACGCATTAAAAAGTATCTTGTCAGAAAAATGAATCATTGAATTTTCTTGAATTTTTTTTCTTCTGGTCAAGTCGTTCATTTAATGTATTATTCTATCAATGAATATAAGCGAATTCAATAGTAGCTGCTTTCATTTCAATTTCTTTGTCTTTATCTTTATCCGTTCTGTATTTACTTCTCTTCTCTCATTTTTCTTTTCGTTCGTACGATGATTTATACTCGTCAATTTCTCATCGAAATACTGCCACTAAAGCAGACGATGTTAATGCTGACAGCAGTATATATATATATACATATTCAATCTCATTCTATTCTTGCACTACTGTTCTATGTACCACCTTATTCTATTTAAATGTTATCGACAAATATCAACTTACTTGTTCTAGAAATATTCGTTGATTTATTCTTGTTTTCTTTTATATGCCTCCTTCAGAAGGTAACTGATAACAATCAGTTTAGGTCTTTGTACCCTTGTATATTGCTAACAAAATTTTTTTTTCTTTTCATTCTTACTTGTCCAATGACAAATACAGAAAAGGTCAAATATCTTACCTTCATCTCATTATAAAAACAAATGAATATTGAACTTCATAATGTTATTTGAAATACAAAATCACAAAAAGATTGTTATAAGAAATAATGATCAACAACAGTTGTTGATCAAATATTGTAAAACAAAAAAAAAAGAAAGTTTTACTGCTTGTAATTACATAAAAAATCTATTTTTATAATTGAAAACGAAGGCAACGTAATAGACTATTTGATTTTTTTTCTAGATAAATATGCTTGAAGACTTACCTGGTTATGATTATTACGGTGAGTCATGCAAATTATTTTTTCTTTCTATGTAAACAAGAGGTCATATGTCAAATGATTACACAATCTATAATCAAATTCAAATCTTGATGACTAATAAATTTTTTCTTTGTGACGAGTAAAATAATTATAGAATAGAAAAACTAAATTTTCGAATAATTCATTAGACAAAATGGTGCTTTCAATAGGTGTTTATTTTTGAATAGTACTTGAAAAATTATAATCTTATTTTTTTTTATTTTATTAGTTCCATCTGAATGTTATATAACAGCATTTGAAGATTCGTATTCGAATAATTCTTCATCATGTACACCTCATACGATTGATATTCTTTTACCGGATGGTCTTGTTATTAATCTTAAACGTGATGAATATAAAACATTAGCTGATATTCGTCAAGTATTACGTAAACGTCATTCTATAACATGGCCATTTCATTTTCTTTCCATAACACATACATTTATAAATGATACAGGTGATTTACTCTTAGATGAACAACAATCTTTAGATACACTTGGTCTTGTTTATCCATTTTTACGTATAAGTGCAAAAGGTGAATTACCATCACCTGTATGTAAATGGTTATCATTAATTGATCAATCTGATATTAAATCTCTAACACAGTTTATTGAAGAATTAGTTGAATGGCGTGATACAACTATACCACAAGAAATTCTTCATGCTCCACCATCGATATCTCAAACAATTTTATCAAATATTGATACATTTCTTGTTCATATTGAACGACGAGATAAATCTTATTCATGTTCACCTGAAACAACATGTCAACAATTAATTGAACGTATTGTTAATGATGAACATAAATCTAAATTCGATTATTTTAATTCATCAACACAAGCAATGTTAAAATTTTCTTATCGTAATGAATTTTTATTACCAACAGAATCTTATCCATTACTTCAATATAGTTATATACAAGAATGTTTACAAAAAAATATTCAAATTAATTTACAATTAATTTATATTGAAATACCAAAAAAAAGTAAAAAATCTCGACAAATAAATAATATAATTGAACCTGATATATTTCCATCAACAATTTTACAACAAAAATTAATTATTTCAAATAAAAATATTGATTTAGATCAACAATTATTACCAAATCAATTATCATCAGTATTATTTCGATTTACATTTCGTCTTCCACCATCACCACTTGCTAAACAAACATTATTTCAATTTCATTCAGGTATTTATTATGCACGTCGTTGTTTATATTCATTTGATCAAGTTACTTGGAATAATACATGTATAGAAGAAATAAAACAAACTACAACATTACCCATAGCTAGTTTTCTACCTGGTACATTACTTTGTTTTGCATTAACAAGTAAACAATCTGAAACCTATTTTCTTAATATTAATTTATTTCGTTCAAATGGATTTTTATTAAATGGTTCACATGATTATACATTTAATTTAGTTAATCCTACATATAATATTGCAAATAATAAACATTTATATCCTGATAGTTTTATTGGTTCATCCGATAATGAATCCACAACTATAAAATATGAAATAAAACTTAAATTTGATTTTCCATCCTATCGATTTTATTCAAATGAAGAAATAACAGAAAAATTAATTCATATTAATATGCCAACACCAACTGTAGTGACAACAGCTAAACAACAGCAACATCAAGAATCATCAAGTGACGATGTTGGGAATGGAGAAGCATTAAATTATTTATTAGGTATTCTCAATGATGAAGTATGAATTTATTTAAAATATTTTCTATGATAGTTTTTTTCCTTCTCTTCTTCTTCTTTAGACACAATATTTAGTACGAGAACCTACTTGGCTTTCTGATTGTTCATTAGCACCTATCGATGCTCTTCCTTGTGTTCTTCATTCTATTATTGCTGATATTCATCGTTCTATACTTGCTAAAAATAATAATACTTCAACAATTTATAACAAACTCTTTTCAATGTATAAATTAATTGATTCATGGCCACCTATGTCATTTGAAATGTGTTTTTTTCTTCTCGATTGTACATTACCAGATGCACATATTCGTTCCTATGCAGTTTCACAATTAGCACGTTTACCTAATCATTTATTTCTTTTCTATTTACCACAAATAATTCAAGCTGCACTTCAATTTGAACATTATATTGATACACCATTAATACGTCTAGTTCTTAAACGTGCTCTATGTCATCGTGGTATTGGTCAAAGATTATTTTGGACATTATACAAAAGTTCGACACGTAATGGTCGTGTAATGTATGAAATTTATAAAACATATTGTGGTTTAACTATATACAATGATTTACAAACTCAAGTTACATTAACATTAAAATTAAATACAATTAATCAACGTATAAGACAAACCAATGTTAAAGATGCATCAGGTATGAGACAAGCTTTATTGGAACGTTTAAATGAATCAGAAAAAAATTCTTGGCGTTGTGTATCACCATTAGATACAGGTTGTTATCTTGGTTCATTAATAGTTGATGAATGTCAAGTATATGATTCATTTATGCGACCATTTAAACTTGTTTGGGAAAATGCATTGAATCCAAAACAAGAACGTTTTGAATTAATTTATAAAATTGGTGATGATTTAAGACAAGATGTATTAACATTACAAGTATTTCGTTTATTTGATTCAATTTGGAAAAAAAATAGTATTAAGAATTTAAATGAAGATTTATCACAACTTTTAAATCTTCATATGACATTTTATGATGTTATGTGTACAAGTGAAACAACAGGATTTATTCGTATTGTACCACAAGCATATACAATTTTAAATATTTATCATAAATTTAATACAACAACAACGATAAAACGTAATGTTGTTTATGATTGGTTAGTTACACAAAATAATACTTCACAAAAGTAAATAGAAAAGATTTTAATATACATATATATAAAATATTCGTCGGTTTTTTTAGAATTCCATTAGGAAAAACAGTACGTCGAGGTCCTCGTGATATACCCGGTGATTCAACAGAAGTATCTGTACCGAATAATGTTCTTATGAAATTTCGAAAATCATGTGCAGCTTATTGTACTGCTGGTTTTATTATTGGATTGGGTAATTTAACTTGAGAAATTTATTTCTATTTACTTTTTTTCTTTAATTAGGTGATCGTCATCCATCAAATATTATGTTAACACCTGATGGTCGTTTATTTCATGTTGATTTTGGTCATATATTAGGTGATTATGTTAAATTTGGAAATATATTTCCACGTGAAACAACAAGTATTGTACTTGTTGAACCATTTCTTTATGTAATAAATAATCGTCGACAAAATAATGATACGAATGATTATCGAGAATTTATTCAAATGTGTTTACAAACATTTCGTCTTTTACGTGAACATGCAACATCATTATTTGGTTTACTCTATTTAATTATTTATGCACGTTTACCATTATTGAATAATATTTCAAATTTAAATTATTTACGACAATCATTATTTTTAATCGGAGAAAAACCATGTGAAACAAAACATGCTATCAAAGCATATAAAAGAAAAATTGAATCAGCAGAAAATGATACGAGACGTTTTTTAGATTGGATTGCACATGCTTTTGTTCATAAACCACAACGTTAATATCAGATATTTTTAATGAAATTCTGAATCTATACATATAGTTTTTTTTCTTCTAATTTAATATTTTCTAGACATCTAATAAAAAAACTAAGCAACGTTTTGTTTAAATATCAATATCGTTTTACGACAAATAACACACTTGTTTATTAGCCAAAACACTATTCAAACAAAAAGCAGAATTAAAATATCAAACGAAAACATACGCATTTATATTAAAATTATATACATTTGATATATTATGAAGGAAAAAAAAAGTTCTTTTTTTAAAAATATGTCATGAGATCATGTAAGACTTCATCAGCATTTTCAATTTTACATCCTGCCCATCTAAAATAAACAGAATGAATTTTTATAATAAGAAAAATTTTTATTAACCGTGTTTGCAATAATTGAATAAAATCCGGTGTAAATTGATCAGTATCTTCAAAAAAATTTCCATAAATTGATGCTGGATATTGTTCTCGAGTATCAATTGAAAGTAAACAAGGTTCTTCTTGTTTTTTTAAACCTGTATAAATATGTAATTGAAAATAATTTTCATATATCCAATTATTTAAAAGATTAATATTTGTTGAAAACATAATTCCATAACGACGATTTAAACATACAAGCCATACAGGTACTTTCGGTGTACGTAACATTGAACCAGTTTCTTGTTTATGATAGAAACCATCATCTTCATGTTTTGACCAATAAATAAATCCAACTGAACATCGATCTTTTACACCATATTGAGGATGTTCCTAGAAATATAAAATATTCAATAAATTCTTTTTTCTCTCGATAACAGACCATTAAATTTCCATCTGAATCAACATCAATAACACCATTATGAAAATAATGTAAAGCTCGTCCAGTTAATGCTAATGTAACCATTTGAATGGTTGATTCATCACGATCACCTACTAAACGTGTATGATCAAGATCGTCGATTAATCTACGTAGAAATAGATTTTATTCTTATACAAACAAATCAATGATTGATCTTTTTTTTTACTTTTTTAATGTACGTGATAACATAAGACTATAGAGAAATATAATCACGCCATTTTCTTTCATAAACTATAGTAAAATGCAAAATATAAAAATATATGCGTTTATTATTTATTCACATACGTATGGTAAACATTTGATAATGAATGTACGAAGTTTTGCTATATCGACAAATTCAAACATATGTAACTAAATAATTATCTTTTAATTCTATTGAATACTTTGAAGGAAAAAAATTATTCCTTACTCGTTCTGTTATTCCATCAGCTACATAGTGAACACCATAATTTGAAAAACATTCATCACCTGCATAAGGCACAGAGACTGTTGCTCCTCGACGTTCACCAGCTTGCCATAAAATCTTGTGAAATATAAAATAATAAAATAAATAATTCTAATATATATATATATTTCTTATACTTCAGTAATTGCATCAACAAGTGCTTCATTACGTGCTTCAATACTGACCGAAATAGATCTTAATAAAAAAAGATACGATGAAGAAAAAATTAGTAATTTATATTTAATATAGACCGATGTTTATTTGGTGATAAAAGATTTTTCAAAAGTAAATGACGAATTACAAAAGCTTGAACACTTAAAATAAGGCCGCGGGCACCCGTCTAAAGAAAATAAGAAGATTTTAATTTGATTTTTTTCAAGTTGTAAATGTATTACTCGATCAGCAATAAGACCATAATTAAGAGGATTTGTATAATCTCGAAATGAAAATTTTGCTGAAAGCCAAGGTTCACTAAATGAATGTATTGTTGAATTATTTGCCAATAAACGAAGAGTCTAATAAAGATAAATAAATAAATAAATCAGAGAATAAATAAATTATGATTTTATACTGAAGCAATAGGTAATGTTATTGGATCACCTTGTGAATAAAGTTTTAAAGTACGACTATTACCATAGTTTTTAATATATTCATCTAAAATTCTATTGTCTTTTAAGACATTCAATAAAATTATTTGTTTACCTTCGAATAATTTTGGTGCCTGTGTATCAACTTGTTTTGCTTTAAGAATTGGTTGTGCTAATAATGAATCAACACGCTACGAATATGCAAACAAAAGATAATCTTTGAAAATCTACAGAAAAATGCGTATGCATACATTTTTCAATTCAGCACGGCTAACTTCAAAATAATTAACTAAACTGAGTAAATCTTGATCACTATATTCACCATCGGAATTTTCAGTAGTAAGTCGATACATAGTTGATTGCCCTTCTGTTGTAGGCATATCATTTGGACCTGCAGTCGGCATTGTAGAAAAGTATATACTATAAAATAATCTAAAACATAACCACGTTATATAAAGTGGAGATAGTATATGTGCCAAAATTTTTACATTCATTATCAGTACATTACATCATTGAATAAAATGTACTATCGATTATAAGTTTATTTTTCATCAAAAATATATATAAAAATAGAATTTATAATTACTTTCATTTCAATACATATTTATATGGCAACCACCTTTATTCTCCTCCAAACAATATTTTCTATGTTACACATCTATGCATTAACGATCCATAAAATACACTATGGATATGTCAAGCATATATTGAAACGAAAAGAACAGAACAATGTAAAAAGGAGGGAAAGCGAAAAAATGCTTACTCGTCATCGTCATTTAAAACAAAAAATGATGCCAGATGGTGCTTCAATATCAATAGCCTTAGTATCATCATCTAAGTGCAGCATTTGTCTTTTTACTATTTCGAATAATGGCACCTCGTCGACGTGGCTTGTTAAAATATATAATTTTAATTCCAATAGTATGGTTTCTTGTTGTTCTTACATTTTCAATACGAACTGAATCTCCAATATCACCTCATGCACATAATGATGTTCATGGACATATTGTTAAGCGAACGGCAACAGAAGAATCATTCATTGATCGATTAGGACCAGCACGAGCACTAGTTAATCGTATTCGAAATGCTTTACAATTTCAATTAGAACAACATGCTGATCATGATCATCCAGTTGAAGAACGTCTTAAAGCTCGTGAACAAGTTGATGAAATGAAGGCTCAAGTACAAGTTATTGCACCTGAAGTAAATCATGATGTTAAAAATCCAAATAAAACTGGTCCTGGTGAAATGGGAAGTGCAGTACGAATAGACAAAAATGCATTATCAGAAGAAGACAAAGAAAAGTTTAATATTGGTTGGAAAAATAATGCATTTAATCAATATGCTAGTGATATGATATCAGTACGACGAAGTTTAGCCGATGTTCGAGATGCTGAGTAATTATGAGTTAATTATAAAAAAAATATAATTTTTATTGCTTTTTATATTTTTAATTAATTAGATGTAAAGTAGTTAAGTTTCATCCAAATTTACCTGATACATCAGTCATTATTATATTTCATAATGAAGCACGTTCAGTACTATTACGTACTATTTGGTCTGTTCTTGATCGTTCACCACGTCATTTATTAAAAGAAGTTATTGTTGTTGATGATTTTTCTGATAAAGGTTCGTGTTATTGGTAAGTTTTTATTAGATAAAGAATATTTTTCATGTTTTTGTTATTAGGTGATACATATAAAACGCTTGAAGATGATATTAAACCAATGAAAATTGTTCGAGTACTTCGTACAAAAAAACGTGAAGGTCTTATCAGAGCACGATTAGTGGGCGCTTATGATGCAAATGGAACAGTTTTAGTTTTTTTGGATTCACATTGTGAATGTGCCGAAGGTAATTATTCGAAATTTTAGTCTTACCTCGGACATCTTTAAAAGGAGGCATAACATTATTTTGTAGGATGGCTTGAACCATTGCTGGATCCGATAGCACGAAATCCAAAAGTATCTACCATACCAATTATTGAAATTATTGATGATTCAACATTTGAATTTCGTTCTACAGCAATAAGAAATATTCAAGTAGGTGGATTTGATTGGAATCTTATATATAACTGGCATAATACACCTGAAAGAGAAATGAAAAGACGACGAAACAGAACTGATCCAATACGGTAAAATAAAATGTTTTATTCAATTAATTTAATATATAATTCTATTTTGAAGGAGTCCAACAATGGCTGGTGGATTATTTGCTATCAATCGAGCTTGGTTTGAAGAATTGGGAATGTATGATCCAGGAATGGATATTTGGGGTGGTGAGAATCTTGAACTTTCTTTTAAAGTAAGTAATACAAAAAATTTCCATATTATAAGAATATTAAATAAAATATTTCTTTTCATTAAGCTTTGGCAATGTGGTGGTGAACTTGTATGCGCTCCATGTTCACATGTTGGTCATGTTTTTCGTAAACGTTCACCATACAGTTGGCCTACGACTGTTAATGTTATTAAAAAAAACACTGTTCGTCTCGCTGAAGTATGGCTTGATGATTATAAAGTAATAAATTTCTCAATAAAAAAATTTATCTTTAACTTTTCTTTCTTATTCTATTTTATTTAGAAATATTTTTATGAACGAATCAATTTTGATCTTGTAAAAAATATTTCATTTGAAATTCTTATGCAAAAAATATTTTTCTTTCTAGGGTGATTATGGTGATGTATCTGATCGAATTAAAATTCGTGAACGACTTCAATGTAAACCATTTAAATGGTTTCTTGATAATATTTTTCCTGAACAGTACATTCCAGGTGAAAGTTTATACTATGGCGAAGTAAGATTTTCTTCTAATTAAATATATTGTTATTGAATATATGAAATTTTTTCTGCTTTTAAGATTCGTAATCAAGGTAAAATAAAAGTATGTATTGATTCACAATCATCATCTGACGATGCCGGTAAATCAATTATTGGTTTTCCATGTCATGGTCAAGGTGGAAATCAATTTTTTCTTCTGACAAAAATGTTTGAAATACGAAAAGAAGACAAATGTTTAGATTTTGGTAGTGGAAAATTACACCAAGAAGGAGACATTCGTTCGATGGGTTGTCATTCAATGAAAGGAAATCAGATGTGGTCTTATGAAGTATAAATAACATTTTGAAATAGATTATTTCGATTAATTAATCTTATTTTTTTCTTTGTTAAGAATAAAATGTTACGACATTCATCAGGTAATTGCATTGAATTATCATCAACAAACGATAGAGATATTTATATGGCTCCATGTAACGCGTCAAATACTTGTCAACAATGGTATTGGAAAAAACGTGAACTGAATTCAACATCTACTTAATAATCCAATTTATTTAATTTCTTTTATGCTCTTCCTAGTGTTTTATGTATTTCTTTTTTGTTGTTTTGTTTATTTTTGGTGCTGTTTTTATACTTTACACACCGGTGTGTGAATATCTATGCAAGATTGTTATCATATAAAAAGAAAAAAAAATCTTACATTTTGTTGATTGATTTTCTTTCTTTTTTCTATAGATAGAAAATAATGAATCCTGACGGTACAACAGGAGGAAATAATGTTGGTCTTGGACAAGCAGATGATCAACAAATGATTACATCCGCTGATCGAGAAAATTATATAGCACGATTGTAAATAATAAAATTTCGAAAAGTTTTGTAATTTAATTTGAAATTTTTTTTAGAACACATCATTTTAATGGTAATCGAGAAATGGCTAAACATCTTGATGATCAAGCAATTACAAGAAGTGGTGGAAAAGCAGTTGAGTATATTTTTTTTCTTTATTATCTTCTATTTAAGTTTTCTTTTAAGGGATTGTATAAAAAAACTCTTCAAATGTTATTACAACCAAGAAATCAACAAATACAACAACCGATGATGAACCCACAAGTAAGTGATACTTTAAATTTCATTTTGAAATTTATGTTTCATATTCTTTTAGCAGCAGCAGCAGCAACAACAAATGTATATGCCTTCTCAACAGCAACAACAACCGCCTACTGCTTATACAATGCAAACACCATTGCCATCATCGTCGATGGCACCTGCCACACCAATGATGAATGTCAAACAAGAACCTCAAATGCCAATGTCAAATATTCAAATGAGATCAAATCCACAAAATTTTCCTGTACAGCAACAAATCAAACAAGAATTAATGATGCCACCAATACCACAACAACAACAACAGATTAAACAAGAACTGATGATTCCATCAATAGCGCAACAACAAACAGGAATGCAAGTTCAACAAATGAGACAACAACAGCCATCACAATATAATCAACAGCAACCACCATCTCTTCCAGGTCAACCACCAACGAATGCACCTCAGCAATCTAGTATGGTTCAGGTAAATTAAAATAATAATAATCTGCAATAGAAAAATTCTGTTTTTAAACTTCTACAGCAGTTACAACAAGTACGTCAACAAAATCATCTCAATCAACAACAACAACAACAACAACAAGAATTCTCAAATCCTCCTCAATTACAACAACAACAGCCTTTCAATCCTTCCATGTTACCACAATCATCACCTATGAATCCAGGAGTTACATCATCTTCATCAACACCAACTTCTACTACATCAGCTGGTAGTTCAGATGAAAGTAAATATAAAATCAATTTTAGTATTTATTTTTAATAATCATTATTTAGTACTTCAACAACTACTAACTAGTCCAAATCCACCTAAACAACCATCAGCTATTGCTCAAAATACTGCTCAGGCAAGATTACGTACAGTATGTAGAGAAAAGTATTAATTTATATTCTAGATAATATTATTTCTTTTAGATCAATCGAAATATTCGTAATCAATCATTACCAACATCACAAGTTCCTCAACAACAACAGCAACAATCTAGTCCAATGACACCGTAAATAAAATATCTCTATTTCAAATGAATATTTTCAAATTATTTTTTCTATTCAGAGGTTCTGATCCTATGATGGTTGGTAATATTCCATCACCTCATTCTCATCCTGGTATGATGCAACAACCACAAACACCAATCGGAGCACCTGGTCAAAGTCCATTTGCACGTTATATGATGGCACAATCTCCACAAGCTCCTATGTATCGTCCACAAATGTCTCCAATGAATATGATGAGTAAGATATATAGTTGAATATTTTAATATCAAAATTATTATCTTGTTTGTTATATATTTAGATTATGCAGGTAGTCCAACAGCAATGATTGATGATGAAATGCATTATTTATATAAATTTTTTACTGAACGTATTCATTATTTAACTAGAATCATAGGTCGATGTCAACAAGAAGGTAATTAGAAATGAAGAAAATAATAATTATATTTTATCTTTGTATTAGGTCAACATGATAAAGTAGCAAAATATCGACAATTACATGATCAAATGGCGACGTTTGTTCGTAATCCAGTGCCAGAACATTTAATAGCTGCACGTCGTCTTAAAGAACATGTTGATCGTATATTTGATCCACGTATGTTTGGCCCAGTCATGATGCAACCTATGGCTGATATGCCAGGCATGATTCCACCTGGAAATAACGGTGGTCGTTTAATGTCAAATGGAATTTTTGAACAGTGTCAACGTGCTATTGTGGATTATTTAGGCAAAGATACAACATTAAAATATAATGTTTCAAAACGTTTCTTAGAGCCATTGAGTGAAGTTCTTAATGGTGTACCACATAGGAATATGAGATTAGATACAGAATCAAAACAAACTATTGAACCATATTCATCATTAGATAATACTCACCCATCATCATCATCATCTCTTGTAAATATAATTGAAAATGAATTTGATAATTTATCAACGAATACTTTTACCTATGAATTAAAACCATTGTCTGATAAAATGTCTACATCATCATCATCTATAACTGATATCAAAGATTCATCTATTCATGATTATGAATTAACATGTCGTTTTACTGAAATAAGTTCACCTATTGTACCACCATTAAAAATCAAATTAACATCACAATATCCAAATGAACCACCTGAAGTACTATCATTAACATCAACTACATTATGTCCGACGCCAGCTAAACTACAAAAATCGGGTAAATTAATTTTGCATAACAAAGTAAATTTCATAATAATATAATTATTTATATAGATGGTCATTCATTTTTTGAATCAATATCTCGAAGTTTTATATATTTTTTATTTAAATTACCAGCACAACATACTGTTACTGATATTTTAGATATATGGGTAAGATCTTTTATTATTTGTATTTTGCATTTCTTATATTTATTTAGCGTACTGCCATTCAAAGTGCTTCCTTATCTCAACAAGAATGATATTTAAAAAAAAATCTTTTTTTTGTTTTGTATAATATTGTACATCTATAACTATTATCTATTTCTTAAGTGTATGTGCATTTTCTGTCTATAATTAAATATTTGCTCGTTTTTTTTTCTTATTACAACTTTACTTGTAATGATGTTGAGCGATGTGTAATGTCTTATTTGAAAAAATACAAAAGATAATTATCAAAAATTATTTAATGAATTTCAACTTATCTTTCTTTTTTGGGTGTGGGTGTAGTCCAAATAAAATATCCACACTCAATATTATATTATTGTTTGACCTGAATATGACAATTACGACGAGAAAAAAAGAGAAATATTTATTTTCCAATACATAAAAGAAAAAAATGGTAATAGAAAAAGGTCATTATTAGATGTGTTGTTATTATATTAATCAATGTTATTTGATGATGATGATAATGAATCCATTTCTTCAAATAATTCAATATCAAAATAAATGAGTGATGTTGTACCTTCAAAGACTAGTATATGTATAAGTGGTTTACTATAATTTTGTCGACATTGACTGACATATGACGATCTACAGTTGTTTGTATTATCAACAAATAAAGATGTTGGCGATTGAGTTGAATTTTTCATTTTACTAAACCTGAATAAATTGATTTCAATTGATTTTGATTTGAGACTTAGCTTTTATTTATATCAGCATGCGTTGACCATCTATCTCTATAATATATAATTAATTGTTTCGATATAAAGTTAAAAAACTGCAAAGTTAAATATAATTCATCAGCATTAAATCTTCTTGTTTCTAATCGATCAGATGTAATTAAATAAACAGAATCTAATAAAGATAATAGTGTTTGCCAGGTCGAACAATCCGGCATGGAAACGATTCCAGGACCAAATTCTTGACATTTTCCGACAGGATTCCTGCCGAAAACAGTGATTTTTCGGAGAGTTTTCGCTAAAAATTCATGGAATGCTGCTTGAGGAATCATCGACCTGGATTGCTTAATCGTCTATTGACATTTTTTTCGAAAGAACTAAATCTATCGAAGCGATTCATTATCTTGGTAAACATAAAAGTTTCGACTGTTGATTAAACACAATCATTATTATTTTCCAATGCGTCGTTATTATTTGAAACATTTGTATAACAAGTAACGCTCGTCTAAGGACTCGCTGAGCTCTTTCTCGTAGAAATGGTATTCGACAATGCTATGGGACCTTTTGCTTATATAACTTGCAAACACTAACATCAGATCCGTGTTCCCCGACCTGAAAAAACCATTTCGTCAAATTTTATATGAAAAAAGGTTTTTTTATAAAACAATGATCCTTTGTCTACAAGAACTTTTTTCTTGAAGAATTTTGAAAACTAACATTAGATTCGAAGTTCCTGCATCGAAATACCTCTAGAAATGTCTTTTCTGAAAAATTAGTCTTCGATGTTTTTTTGACCCTGCGGACAGACAAGCAATCAGACAATTTATGTTTACTGGACTCTTCTCTACGAGAAAGAGAATAATTATTAATATCATTTAATATTTCATGTTGGCACACATTATTGTTATCAGTTTCATCATCTTCTAACTGATGATCTACAACGAAAAATGAATTATCATTTAATTTAATTATATTATGGAATGTTGGTCTATTTGAATCATTATCATCACATTCAAGAATTATTTTATTAAAATTTATTTTATATGTTTCAGACTGTTGTCCATCAATAATAAATGAATCAGTAATTGTTGAACCACAATAATCTGTTAATTACTTTTCTTCTAGAATATTTGTTTGTTGTTCATTTTCTTCTTTTAATATAGAGAATGCACAACTTTTTCGGAAGTTTTCAACGAAATCAACTTTGTTTTTTATATCATTTTCGTCAAATTTTAATAATAAAACTTTTTCAAGTGTCTCATCACTACCGGATAAAATATTCGCATCATATAAACCATCTTGAGGGTGTGGGTGAGGGTGTTAGACTATTACTGATCTGCATCCATACCTATACCCTAATAAAAGGGCTTTTTCATACATGAAAGGAATTTTTTTGTAAAGCTCACGAGGGAACCTCGCCAACTGTCCAATCGCTTTTTTACTAAAAACCATTGGAATAAAGGTTATCAGCCATGCTGATCTGAATTTGACCATGAGAGGTGCTCTTAGGCCTTTACGGGATGGTTTTCTAGAAAATCGGTTTCCAAAAACCACATATGTTTCACTAACTGTTCTTTTTTTATTTGCTCAGATTATAGAGCGTATTGAATTGTCTATGTAACAATAAATCTTTCTGTTTCAAATAGAATATTCGAGAAAATACAGCCAAATAAATCTATAAAAGAGGTGCATATCATAACAACTTAGTACCAAAATACAAAGTTTATATTATTTTCCTTGAAGTTCATTTTTGCAAAACAGGAAAAACTGTCATTTCATAAGCAGTTCGATATGCTCTATAATCTGAGCAAATAAAAAACAACATTTGGTAAAACGTATGTGGTTTTTGGAAACCGGTTTTCCAGAAAACCACCCTATGAAGGTGTACGAGCACTTCTCATGGTCAAAGTCGGAATTAGCATCATGAGATGCCTAATTATACTTATAATATAAATGGACCATTAAGAGTCTAATATCAATTATAATATAAATGTAGATATATTCCTCCTTACTCATATAAGTTTAGGAATTTAGGAATAGATTTAGTTTCATTTATAATTATAAATAGATATAGATATGTTAGCGTCCAAAGTGGGATTCAGGCCAATCTAAGATCCGCCTAGGCCAATCTAAGATCAACCAAAATTTCATTTTTTACGATAGTAAACACCAATGATAAGAGTGAGGGTGAGGTGGGAGTGACAGTCAGGCCAATCTTAGATTCGCCTAATCCAATGTGAGTCTAATTTTTCGATCCAAGGTTCGCCTAGGCCAATCTTACATCCGCCTAGGCGAATTTAAAATTGGAAAAATGGATATCAGATTGGCCTAGGCCAATCTCAGATTGGACGTAATCTCACATTGGCCGCTAACATATATATCTATCTATTTATAATTATAAATTGAAGAATATCTTGCTCTAAATTCCTAAACTGATTAGTATGGATAGGAATATAGATATCTGCAATTCTGCATTTATATTATAAGTCGAATTAGGCACGTACTCATTAGCATGGTTGATAACCTCTATCCCGATAGTTTTTATTAAAAAAGCGATTGGACAGTTCGTGAGGCTCCCTCGTTGGTCGAATACAACTTGAGTGGGAAAAGTGAAGTCTGAAGTTAGTTGTGAAGAGTTTTCAGTTGAAGTGTTACCTTTTGCGATATGAATTCTCGAAACAGCGTACCATTCCATATGCAATTAGAGATTCGTGTCCGAGTGGAGTTATACAATTCTCGTGAAATGATATGTCTAATTCAATATTATTCAACTTTAGTCAAATCTTTTTTTGGACAGTTTGAGGTCGATTATTTCCACTTTTTGAAGTAGACATAACACTCGGATTCTCGACCGAGCTTTTCTCATTTGTTTATTGGTCAGTTTAAATAATTCAACAAACTGCAACATTGTATTGTTGATGAAGACTTGAATGTGGGCCTTATCTTTTCTGTGAGGTAGTCATATTTCTGTTGCGCCCCTTATCACATTCTGTTTAACACAGGGGACATGTATATAGTATCTCGTCTTTTAGAGATCTCAATTTCAGACTGTAAAGGTTTTTATCGTCGTGTGCCGTTTCAAATTACAGGTATGCTGTATCTAATGAGAAATGTTACAAAATTATATGCCTTTTGAGGAGAGCAAAATTTTTTGTCTTTGTAGTGCCATAAACCTTTTAATAAAAATCATATTTCAAAATCTAAGATATGACGAAATTAATACGCACTATTTATTCTATGTGTAACATAAGCATCTTTTCGTTCGATGAATAAATGGGAAAATTTTCAGTCTAAAACTGCGAACTACAAACGAATAATTTTTCTGAAAGTTTTCAGAAATTCCAACTAAGGAACGTATATGACACTAAACTTATTGGAATTGTGAAGTGACATTGAATAATACGAGGAAGGGTGTGAGTAGGTGCGTTCTATAGGACGGGTTTGAAGCAGTCTTTGGAAGCGAGCGAAACATGCCAGTCAAAGAAATGTGGCTCGCTTTATATAAAAAACACTAGCTGATCACACCATACTTCTTACTTTACCATTATCTAACCTGTATTCTGTCTTCCTTCCATCAGCACATCTGGACACAATACCCATAGTTTTTCAAGATCTACTTGGATGTAGCACCTGTAGTTTTTCAAACTCTGTCTGAACGTAGTATGTGTAGTTTTTCTAGATCTGCTCGACTATGGAAGAATTATAAGGAGCGAACATATACCCGAAAAAAATTAGTTCGCCTGACATAAAAAAAATAACGCAATCTATTTCGAGTCTTTAGTTTCTTCTAAGTTGAGATAATTTGCATGAATATCCTTGCTATCATAAGACGTTGAATCAGGTAAATTGTGCTTTAAGTTGAACTGTTTTTTATCCAGCTTTTAGTGACAACCTCAAAAAGTACATGACGCGAAGAGTCTAATCAATTTAAAAAATGAGTCGTGTTTTCTATGACACCTTGTTCGTACCTCCATTCTATGTCCTTGAGAATTTGACAAAGATCCTGCAGAGGGATTCCTTGTGTTTTTGGTTACAGGAAATGAGCAAAACATGCACGCATTTTCTGCGAACACAGTTTACTCTCATTCTTACATAGTGCCTTCTGAAAAAATTGTTTTTTGGTTGTGTTGTAACACTTTTATCCCGGAAAAAACTTGTCCATCATTATAATTATATCCTTCTTGTTGGAAGAATTTTTTTGCACTCACTTCTGCATTTTCCTTCCCAGAAAAAAAACTTATTTATTTCAATCCTCACAGACTCTTTCCCGAAAAAGAAATTTGTCTATGATCATTTTCGCATTCATAGACAGACGTATTTTTCTTGCTCATATTCCTATGCTCTCCTTCCTGGAAAAAAGCGTATTTCTTTTTACTTCAGTCTTTTATGCAAAACAAAACTTGTGTATAATCGTTCTTGTATTCTCAATATTGAAAGAAATATTTTTGCTGTCATTGTTACATTTTCTTTTTTAGAAAAAATTATTGTCATTCTCGTATGAAGAGAAGGAAGCTATTTTATAACTCATTAGTAAGTAGTAAGTGTGGTGTGATGTGGTGTAGTAGGTGTGAGTGTGCAGAGCGAAGCGATTCACACCCACATCGAGCCACAAGCACGCCCACACACCCACATCCACATCCTCAAACAATACCCACATCGACTCGTATATCGATATCTTCACCTACTCCACGCTCGTAACCGTTAAGATGTTGCACGTTCTGATAATTTAAACTAAATATATGGAACAGACCCATATACTATCACCAAAAATATCAAAGAATACTATTTTTCGCAGTTAGTGTGACGATTTTTGATAGAAGAATGGTTGACACTGACGAAACTATACTTTGTTATATTTCTTCTT